TTGGAAACGAACATTCCTTGGAAATGACTAAGCTGCTGCACACTGAGTTCGAAAGTGTAATGAAATTGGAGATAGAAAACTGGGGCTTTTTTACCGAGGGAAACGAACTTATTTGTGGTTTTCAATCAAACTAGTGCATGTGTATTGTATGTAGGTAATTTATGAAACAATTTATTGTTCATTTCCGCTTTTTCCGCTTTAAGTGCGAACAACTTTATGGTTTCACACATCCTGTGACCTAAAAAGCACTCAAAGGGGCAACAATGTTCAGAGGCCACTTTAATGGGTCAATTAGCTGGTTCCACATATCGCGGCGTAAAAGGGAAAAATTCTCGATTGCGTGACCCGGGAACATCGACAGTTTCTAGTAGGATTCTAGGGGTAAATTTGCCATTAATGTGTGCTTAATCTAGGTCAAAACAAGGATACCGGAAGCCTTTTCGCTGAGACTCATAATTAAAAGCAAGAATGTAAAAAAACGCAATTATGTGGAAAAGTGAAAACTCATTTGGACACATGTTTACCCTTGCTTGACCAGCAAAATGAGAAAATCACCCAGACCACATACAAACACGTAAGCATATAGGTTAATTTATTTATTTTGGGTGCACGCTTTTATTTGCATAAGCTTAAAGGATTTTTGGACAGCGCGCTTAGATTTACCTCAGCCTGCAGCTGTTTTATTGTCCTGCACATGAAAACCCAATGGCCCCCAAATGCTTAACCCTGAAATTGAGTTGAAAGGAGTCCCCCATAAAGCTTCAAAAGCTTTGAAGCTCTGGCGCACGCTTTCTAATAATCCAAACTTAATGTCCTGAAAACTTTTCATGGGAAAAGTACTAAAAGCTTTGCAGGAAAATTCTTAAAGCTTTTTGGGAATTTTCCTGGTTCTGATTTCGGATTTAGAACTCCTTCAGGACAGAAATTGAAAAATATTTAAATTAAACACTTGAGACCACAACCGTTGCACCACAGGAACCTTAAGGACTTCTATGTCCTGGCGACAGACCGTCTAGACCAGAATCCCGAGTTGAACACCTGACAAATTTCTTCGTTTACTTACAGGTAGGCGGTAGATTTTCAACGGAATTTCATCTGTTCATTTCAGCCGGAATCGTTGGCCTAATGACCTTTTAACAGGCCCAAAGAACCTGGGGGAATTTCCCAGCCTTGATGCCAGGCAGTGCAGCACATTCATTCATGAGGCCAATTCAAAAAGAAAGATTCCACTTTAAACTGAAGAGGTTCTGCACTTCAGGATGTATTCATTCATGAAGTGTCTGCCGGGCGGGAGATCGACACAGCGAGGAATCCTAGAATCAGCGGGACATTCGAAAGTTGGCAAGACATCTGGCTAAAGGTACTTCTAAAAGTGGAACCCACGGAGAGGAGGTGTATGCAAATTTGTTTACGGAAACACTTTTTGGAAAAAGACTCTGCTTACGAATTAGTCTTACGGGCTTGTTATATCAGTAAGAATAGGATTTTAAGTCAACTAATATAATTTTATTATTTCCGATTAGATTTTTCTACAAGTTTCCAAAAAAAACTAGATAAAATGCTTCAGTCCAGCTCCCCGACTACCAGATACCCCTTACTCACCTAGTGCAAATTTAAATTAAAAAATAACATAGGTTGGGTTATGGAGTTTAAAACTTCAGCCATGGCACATTTTTTAATTTTATGAATTTCAAAACTTCAAAAAAATTTAAAAAAAAATTTTAAAATGATTTTCTAAATTTTAATTGTAATATTAATATTAGTTGATTAATATTAGTTGAGTTATGGGTATACAAAAAAAAGGACCTTTAGGCACCGAACAGCAAGTATTCTTACTTATAAATACTTATTGATACTGCTTTTTTATATCTTTCTTTAAATTAAACACTGCCTTTCTCATTTCCTTGCCCAATCTTACAGCCAATTAACTTAGTTCACATGTCTCCAAATTGCAGTCCCACCATTCACTCGAATAGTCGCGAATGCTATCTGTGATTTCCTAAAAATCACTTTAAATCTGCCAACCGATAAGAATCGCAGAGCCCACGCAACACAATTTGGCACAACGAATTTCGCTACGCTCCTTGAATGAATTTGCGGAAAATGGGCAGATCCTGAATGGAGTCAAGGAGTCCTACCTGCTGACCCAGCACTTCAAACTCAAGAGCCGAGCTCTTCAGCTCAAGTGGAAGAGGCGCACACTTGAGCAAGGAACTCCGCTAGATAACGATCGGGATGCGATCAGGTAGAGATCGGAGTCCAACAGTTTCGAGAACACTCGCACCAAGGAGAATGGAATACAGAAATTCCGTTTAAAACCGCCGACTGGGCTATTTTGCCCATTGGCATTCCGATTTCCATTTTCGGACCGAAGGCCCAGAGGGGCGTAGTTGCAATTGCGTTTATTAGCACCGCACCCCTTGGGCCCGCACAAAAGGATGAGTTAGTCCTCGTTTCGGTTCCGAGTTAGAGGACCCATTCAGGAATTATCAGTCCGCCATTCAATGAATGCTGAATGAGTCGGCTGCGTCAGGTTTTGTTGCGCTTGATTCGTTTTGGGTTTGTCACCCATCTCCACTTTTGGGCAAATCACTGTCATATCTTGGCTGATAGCCATCGGCGAGTTGGCATCATCAGTATGTGCAATTTGAAGTGTCGTGGGAAATGCTTAAAAACCCTACCCACTCCAAGGCGAAAAGTGTCCTTGATTAATTGGAAGTTTTGATGATTCAGCACTTATGCTCGGTGTCATCATTTGCGGTTCTATTGGTGGCAGACCACACATTTCGCTGGAGACATTATATTCTGGCGGAACTAATTGATAAGCGGTTCCATTCGATATGTCTGCCTTCTATGCCTAACTTACATAACATCAATAACAAATGTTCAGTTAGAATAGTTATTACTAAATACTGTAATTTCAATAAAAAGAATACCAATACTTAAGCAAGATGTGATTTTTACATAACATCAATAACAAATGTTAAGTTAGAATACTTATATTATTAAATACTGGTATTTCAATAAAAAGAATATCAATAACATCAATAGCAAATGTTAAGTTAGAATTAAATACTGGTATTTCATTAAAAAGAATACCAATAACATCAATAACAAATATTAAGTTAGAATACTTATTTTTAAATACTGGTATTTCAATAAAAAGAATACCAATAACATCAATAACAAATCTTAAGTTAGAATTAATACCAATAACAAATATTAAGTTAGAATACTTAATTTTAAATACTGGTATTTCAATAAAAAGAATACCGGTTACATCAATAACAAATATTAAGTTAGAATTAAATACTGGTATTTCAATAAAAAGAATACCAATAACATCAATGACAAATATTAAGTTAGAATACTTATATTATTAAATACTGGTATGTCAATAAAAAGAATACCAATCCTTAAGCAAGATGTGATTTTGACATAACATCAGTAACAAATATTAAGTTAGAATACTTATATTATTACATACTGGTATTTCAATAAAAAGAATACCAATTCTTAAGCAAGATGTGATGTTAACTATTCCCAAAAGGAACCCCAATTCCTTTTAGGACTAAGTACCTTCCTATGAAACGTATCCGTATCCTAACAACCATCATATTGGCCTGCCACTCACTAAGCACCTCTAACAATCATCCTATGAAAGATTTGCAAATGAGATTTCGCCAGAAAACATTTCCCAACCCATAATTTGTCAAGCCTGTCGACTTAGCGGCCCTCTGAGCAACTCAATTTTGCACATTTTGTGCCAAAAAATAAACGAGTGAAGCCATTGAGAAGTGTGAAAAATTAAATCTGACAAATTTCCGGTTCGCTATTTACTGATTTCTCGATGAATGTATAAATGCTGGATATTATTTTCTGGTTGAGGGGATTAGGAAGAACAGGAATTCAAACAATCTTCTCCAGCTCTTGGACATAAGTGAGATTATGGGTGGCGATGTCCTTGGCGGGCACCTTCTCCATTGGCCTGGTATGGAGTCCGGCATAGTCGTAGTTGCCCTCCGCGTCCAGACACCACTGACGTTTGGTGGCCAGCTCCAAGAGCTCCTTGGAACCGGGACGAAGTCCCAAGCGCTGAGCAGCCTGCTTGGGTGCAATCTTCAGGTAGGATTTCTCCATGCAGGATGCGATCTCCTCACGCGCCGTGTTCACCAGGATGTCCATGAAATTCGAGTAGATCTCCGAGGGCATGGACTTCTTGGCCTGCAGGATCTTGTTGTATCTGCCCTCCATGTAGTAGTTCTCCAGAGCCAAAACGGGCCTGATGAAGCTATCGTGGAGCAGCAGTGCCAACGGCAGACGCTCCAGCTCGATGTGAAAGTCGGCAATGCGATTGGTGGCCAACATATAGAGCAGATTTAGGCCCATGAACTTGTGCATGTGTCTCGATGATTCCAAGTACTTATCGTAATCATAGTAGTAGGTATTCAACTGGGCCATGTATCTTTCGAAAGCAGCATAATCCTTGATGGTGATGCTGTGTTCCACGGCGATTTCCAGCATCTCCCGCGATTTGATCAGCTGATCCTTCTGCTTGGAACTCGATGCCGTTTGGATTGTTCCGAAGTTGGACCTCACCAGCTCCAATTTGAAGCCATCCAGCAGGCTGGAGCACAGCGCCAGGTTGGGCGCATGTTTGCTCCACTCGTTCTTCAATTCGGTGTACAGATTCGACATGATCACAGCAAAGTTGGACAAGGACTAGATTTTCGGCAATGAAAATTTGGTTCGCCTTGATTGACAGCACACAATTTTGAACGATATATCGCTGGCAAAGATTTGGTGATATTCCAGGGCTGCTATATATTATTTTCTTTATTTAATTTAATCCCTATAAATCATATTTGTTAAAACATTTAAGTTGCAAGTCTAAAACGATCTTTGGCAGAGCATTAAACTGCTAAAGGAATAATTCCTTGCTTTTCATAGATTTTGTATATATTCGTGCGCAGTATCGCCAAAACATTGCTTTTCATTTTGATTAAAATTTATTCACTTTAACGTACTTAAGGCTGAAAACAGACTACGATCTACTGTACAATATACTAGGTGAATCTACGCCTCCACCTTCAGTTCGTGCACTTTGACTTGGGGCGACACTGGAGATGCTTGGGGGCTTCCATTGGAGTTGGTCGACAGATTGAAGGTGGGACTTTCGGAGCCGCCCTTCTTCTGCTTGACACGTCGGTTCTGGAACCAGATCTTCACCTGCTTCTCGGAGAGGCGCAATCGGTTGGCGATCTCGATGCGACGCAGGCGGGACAGGTAGGCGTTGTGCGAGAATTCCCGCTCGAGCTCCAGCAACTGGGTGCTGGTGAAGGCAGTGCGAATCCTTTTGCTGGAATCGGCGTAGTCGTTGATCAAGGGCGTGATCTCGGCAGGAGCTCCCGAGGAGTGGCTCTTCAGCGGCGAGCTGTTCGGCGAGCAGGAGGACTCGTGCTTGAAGCGCTTTCCCTGCGGCTCATCGAAGTTATTGGTGTAATCCAAGGAGGCGGATGATGAAGCGGATGGTGATGTGCAGAAGCTGCCAGGTTCCGGCAAGGGCAGTCCGCCCACAACTGGGGATCCGTAGAGGTTGTGTAGTGGCGGCAATTGCTGGGAGTTGGGATTGGCCGAGAGCGGTGGCGATGGATAACAACCTTCGTAGTTGCTGAATCCGCTGGACTTCCTCTTGCTGGCGAACAGCTGCGCGTATGGATGGTATAGTGAACCTGGACTCGAGCTGACATGTGGACGTTGCTGCAGGGCAGCTGCTGCTGCTGCTGCGGCCGCCGCTGCTGCGTGTTGCTGCTGCTGCTGCTGTTGCTGCTGCTGCTGCTGGATGCCCAAGGAGAAGAGATAGCTGCCCACATAGCTGGCCGGATAAGGCAGCATCGGTATCGATGGCAACATGGCAGCGGCGGCCACCGCAGCAGCAGCCGCAGGACTTCCTCCTGGCGATCCCAGTTTCTCCTTCTTCTGGCTCAGGTTGGGCCTATCGCTGAGCAGGGAATCCATCAAAAAGGAACGCGACATCTTGGCTGCTTAGGTTGTTTGCTCTTCCAACTGGTTTCGCTATGAACTACTGAACACGATCGCTGACTGTGCGAGACTGTCTGGCTGCTGCGCCCTCGCCCTGGTCTTATATACCTCGACACCCTGTTCCGGGGGTTGGTTTTCCACTTCCACACCCCTGAGGGCCAATTCGAGGGTTGTTTGAGCCAGTGTGCTCGGCCATTTAGTCACCATTGAGCAGCAACTGTTGCCATTTACGCTCCGCCCTTGTTCGATCACTCACAATGCCGCGAATGGCAGGTAAGCGATGCTTCACTGTATCTGTGCGACAGGACAATGGCGAACCCTCCTCTGTGTGTGTGTGGCGTTGAGTCTGTGTTGGTGTCCCTGTGGAACGAATCCGTCCTTCCAATTCGTATTATCACTCGAGTTTAATTGAAAGTTGAACAGAGTGCGTAAAAGCTTTTTAAACGGAACTGAATTAGTTCGGCCTAAGCTAGATCAAATTACTTTATTGCTTTTTGGAACTTTAAAGTAAATCATTAGTTTGTTAGGCATTTTGAAAAATGTGTGGAATTAAATATATAAAATATATAAGTAGTAGTATTGAGAAATCAATTAATACTTATATTGCACATATACTTTTCTTGGTAATATTGATCGAAAAACAAACAAATGTTTAAATTTTGTAATACTTGAACTTGTGTTTAAACATCAATATATTTCAAAAAAGAAACTTCACTCATTTAGTTTTAAAGTGATATAAGCTGCTCGTTTGCTTTCAAACATTTTTATTATTTGCGAAATTTAAAGGTTTTGAGGTTTTTTTAAATTATTTATATGGTAAGTAAGTCAAACTGTTTGAAAGTTGTTGTTTCTATGATATATGACGATATGTTTGTTAGGTCTCGAAGAAGACAAACTAGCTTCCAATATAAAAAACTTAGTTATCCACACGAAGCTCGGAGTAGGAACTAGAAATATTAAGGCCCTTGGATTTTACTTAAAACTAAGCGCATTGCAATCATTTTTGTAGGACGATCGCTTAAATAGCCAGCGGCACTTACACAGTATCTCGTTTGTAATTTATTGCATTGAAAGAAAACCTCTTCAGTGACCCTCCACAAGCGAATCGATTAATTTTACAACCATTGCAAACTGCAAGCCCTCCAACCGTTTAATGCCAATTTCATGGCAACTTATGGCCCGAAGTGGTGGCTGCCGGAATCTCGAATCGAACCTCTACATCCACAACTCCCGATCACTGGACCCTCCAGCACATTGGGCATATGACGCTCCTTTGAGTTTAAGTCCTCGTCTTGGCGTAATTTTATTGATGCATTCTGCTGCTTGTGCAACTACGGCGAACAATGTGGCAAGGATCATCCATTCAGAACGATCCCATTCATGGCTGCAGTCCTTTGGTCCTTTGACAAATGCAAGACACGACGCACGTTGCGCCTTTGTTTGTGTGTATTTTGGGCCAGGTCTGGACATTTAAGCCAGACAGTGCGTCGCCGAAACGTTGTTTTTGGGCTATATTACACAGAATTATGGCGGCAGTTTTATCATTTGTTAACTGACTTTAGGGATTTACCTATAATTGTCCTTTTCATGGCTTTGTGCCGAGGTGCGGCATTGTCGTCCTTCTGCCAGTTGATCGTATGTTAAGTGGCTATAAAACCGTTCACAATTGCTGACGTTAATTGTTAATTGTGGAGCGTCTTCCACGTAGGCGATCCGAATGTTCGCCCACTTTTTAAGGTTTTTAAGTATTTGGCTTCTGCTTAATTGGCGGGCTGTGCAAAAAATAAAATAAAAGGATCTGGACGCTGGTCGATGGCAAAATCGGGAGCAGATGCTGTTGTGTTAATATTTTTGTAGAAATTTCCCCTCTTCGGGCGTTGCGTTGGTCTCGTGCGAGAGGTCCTTTTGACCGCCTTTTACCAATTGTCTGGACCACTTGAGATCTTCTCCATTGACCACTTCCGTTTTTTGTCTGCGATTACTTCACGCTCGATCGATTCGGGTTTTCTTTTCACAATTTCACAATTGGATCGTGCTATTGACTTAGACATCGTCTATGGCTTGTAGAGAAAACAAATGTTTCGGATTGGGAAATATGCAAATTCTCGTATCTCCAAGATAGATCAGCGCCGTTCAAGCGAACAATTTCATTTTAATTGTGAACAAAAGTCGCCTAAACGCTGAACAAATGAAAGCATATCGAAATGCTTACTTCCCCTTATTTTTATTTTTATTTTTTGATATGGATACAACGCAAAACTAACTGAGCCGGGGAGAGTATCAAACCGGATTTGCCCATTAAAGGGGTGTTTCTCAAAACTACAGAGTACTGAACCACCACCATCATGGGCATTCGAAACCCTTATAAATGGGGATTGGGTTAATCATTTATTGACATTAATTGGTTGTGACATTTGCATTTTGACTGATTGTTCTAGTTGCCATTGTTGCTACTTAGCCAGGGGTTTGTTTATCCACTCTCTCGATTTGTATATTTGTTGGTTTAACAAATATGACTTCATTTTTATACAGCCACATGCTCGGACCCATGGGCTCGGATGAATTATTATTTACCCCTGAATAATTTACGAATGAGCTTCTGGCTTCTCTGCGTGTTACTGAGTCAATAGGCCTCAGGGAATGCTCTGTGTATCTCGATATAGGATGGGTTCTTGTGCAATTAAATTATACGCTGAGTTGTATACTCTAATGGTTATAATGATGCTACCGTGAGAAATAGTATCGTTGTATTTAAACAGATAAGCACGTTTTGATATCAGAAAAACATCATTCCCCATTAAAATTGCAAATAGAAAACTCTTTTGGGATTGTAAGTAAAGTTGGATAGGTTTCAAGATACAATTATCAGGAAATCCATCGGAACCAAAATAAAGTGAAACTAAATCAAATTAAATCAACGCTTTGATAAATAGAAAAATTAAAAAAGAATTAAGAAGTATAAATAAATGTATGAAATATGAATAAATGTATGGCTTATATGTTACTTTTCTAAGCAAAAGAAAGTTGCCTTCGCACTGGTTGCTTTTAGCTGTTCTCCAACTATTGAAAACAAATATCAAAGTATCGCACCGCCAAGTGTCCAAAAACTGAAGCCAAAACAAAAGGAACTTTTTCATTCTTTTCGAGTATTATTTCATGAATGAAAAGTCAGTGGCTGGACAAAGGACACTGCACAAAGGACCCAAACACGATCCGCACTTGCAGTGATCTGCAGTTTTACTTTTTGTTTTTCCTTTGTCCGAGAAGAGCGAACCTTGCGAGGTACAAATCCAGGTAAGGCGAAATTCCTTTAAAAAATATTGGACAGGACCGCCGTTTAAATGGAGGTTTATAGGTTTCTTTTTTAGCTGCGGTCAAGGCCGCTGGACAATGCTATTAATCAGCTCCCATTTATGGTGGTAAATGTTGTGGCTAGTTTGAAGGGCCTGTTTTGGGTGTGCAATTGTACAGTGTAAATCATGGAGTGGTGGGGGGACATGCAGACTCGAAAATGGTGACGATTCCACCCCGACACAACCAGAAAACACTTAAACACTTAACGTCTAATCAAATTATATAATAAATAGCAAACAAAACGAAACCAGAAACGCTTAGCACCCTTAAGTCCACCACTTACCCCGCTGTCAACGAGCAAAGCCAGTTAGTTAATAAAAACAGCATTTGCAGTCGTAGAACGCTTCACTGATCCTCCCCTTCCGCCAGCACGCGTTGGGTTAGGTCACCATCCGCATCCTTGGAAACAAGGTAGGATTCCAAATCGGAACAACCCCCATTGCCCATTGCCCATTGCCGAGGGGTACATCAAATGCATAATGAAACAGATTTTGATACGGCCGCAGTTATTCATTCGATTGCAGCCGCTCTCGCAGGAGCACCAGACACATTTGTATCCTTGTGGTTGTCTGCGATCCTTCTGATTTCCCACCGGTTCAAAATGGCTGAACAACGCAGTTCTCTGGCCTGTGATTGATAGATATTTCAGACAGGATTTCTTGGCAACAAGGCCAACACTTTCCAAGCATTTTTGTAATATGCAACATTGCAGCACGGCAACTCTCGGTAATTCATTCTTAGAAGGTAAATATTAGCTATTCAATTTTAAACTACTTTTCAAATCAAAAATAAACTTAATAAATAAATAAATAAACTTAATATTGAACTAAGCTTCAAGGATGTTGATCAACCCAAATTAGCATATTTTACAGGTTTCCCATTTCACAGAAAGTAATAAAACATAACATAGGAATTAAGTAGAAATGATTGTAGAGGAACTTTATCAGATCCTATTGCATTTAAATAACATATTGTGTGTTTCATCTCATTTACTAAGGCTTTTTTAAATAGCAACCGAACACATTTCTGCATTGTATAGCTCCCTGAAATACATATTTGCTGTGGTGTCAGGCTTAAAACTTTTTTCTTTTCTGCGTTATGTTTTTTTGCTAATACTTTTCTTAATATTGTTACGAAAAAAACGTAAGTTACGAGTCTTTACATATTGTAATCAGAAAAACCAGTATTTTACATGGTTTGTAGACGCCGTGTAGAGCATGGTAGTTCAGAAGTTACCCGCCACATTTCACTGAAATAGTGGCGCCACTGGAGTGCAAGGGTGTAAACTGAAATCTCAGCCGTTTTTGCAGGCCACCAAAAAATCGTACTGTCTATATTAAGGTATAAGTATTACTAATACTTAGGCTCAATTGGAAATATATTTAAAAGATTTCTTAAAGAGACTTCAAAAGATTTGTTTCAAGGGACATAAAATGTATTTATGAAACCATTTGACCCATGTCATTTACGTCGGTCTGCCCCCCACGCTTTTTGCTCCATTGCGCCCAGGCCTGGTAGTGTCAGCTGTGCGTCTGCAACTCCACGGGCGTCCTCGCCCGTCTTAGCCACAATCACATTAACGTTAGCGGAGTGCGTCAGTCACCTACCTTCATCTGCAGCTTCCGCATAATGCGGGTCTCCTCCCAGCGGTCCAGCTCGTCCCACTCCTTGCCACGCTTACGCAGGAGGTAGTAGCGATACATGACGATGGTCACGGCCAGGATCAGGGCCAGTCCTGTTCCGGCTGCGGCCCCCAGAACCGCGGAACTAACCATAACCATCTTGCCGATGAGTTGGATTCCCTGTAAATGCAAAATGAATAATTATTCGCTGAATTTATTAAAGAAAGCAATTGAGTTACTGCTTTCAAATAATACTTAAAATATTATTTTGAATATATTCAAATATATTTCAAATATTACTGCTATGTAAATAATATATTTTAGGAATAAGCAAGACATACCAACATATATATTTTATATAAAACTCTTTTTAGCCCAAAGAACAATAAACCTTGTTTATAGTATGTTTTACAAGTAGATTTTTATTGAGCACAGTATTCTCAGCTGTTTATTCCTAAACAGCGAATTTAAATGACTTTCTCTTGTGGCTCTTTTGTTTCCCCTGACAGCTATTGGCTTCCACACTCTCCGTACTTTCACATGACGCCATTAGCTTGTCACTTTCTTGGTTATTAAATCTCTCGATCTCTAGGTCGAAACGATCCTCTCGATTTCGGGATTTTCCAGATGAATCAGCACAAGTGATTAAGGCAAGCATGAAAATAGCGGCCAAAACCAACAGAAAGCCAACGTAGAGTCGCATTTTGGTAACTGAAAACAAAACTACTCAAATGCGTGGCTCGAAGCATACTGTTTATATGTAGGTGTAGCTGTTGGAAAACAAACTCAAACTCAGGTAGCAATCTTCTAAACTTTATTCAGAGTCGCAGCTGTGCAAAGCTGACTGTAGTCGGAATTTCCCCATCTATCGACATAAACTGGCTTTGTTCTGGAGAACAAGTCAATAGCATTTGTTTTGTGATGAAATGCGTTGACTAAAAGTCCATGTTCATGTGATGCACATAGCCATTTCGGAGGATTGCAAACCTTGGGTAAGCCTTAAAGTCCGGTTCGTGCTTGGGATAGTTTAGGTACATAACTGCTAGGTCATCAGTTGGTCTATCCAGAGACGCTTCATCTATCTCCTCCTCATCTTCGACCTCATCTTCTCCAGCTTCTCCGGTCAGACTTTTTATTTCCTCTCCTGCAGGTTCCTTGGTTTCCTCTCCAGTATGTTCCTTAGTTTCCTCTCCAGTTGGTTCCTTAGTTTCCGCTCCAGTTGGTTCCTTAGTTAAATAAGTCACCTTTGTGCTGGGATCTGGTGAATAATATGATTCATTGGCCAATTTCTCAAGCAACAGCAAGTTCTCCATCATTGTATCTATTTTCGAATCTTTCTGTTTGCTTGATATTGACTTTGTAGATATTAGGGTTACGCCCATAAAAGCGATCAGACTCAGAGCACTCAAGATACGCATTTCTTCGACGTTCTCAACAATACTGTGTGCTGCGACATTAGAATCAACTGTTTTTAATGTTTATTAATTCGAAATTTTACTTTATTTGTTTTACAAATTTAGAGAAATTAGATAACAGAGAAATTAGAGCAACATGCAGTTGAAGTTAACATTTTTTATTTAGAAAAATAGAAAAGAGTGTTTAAGCAAACCAGTTTATTGGGCTTTGACCTTGACAAGGCTGCGGTGAGGTCTGACCACGACTGGACCATGACCTCCGAATCTGGGCCAGAAGGGACGCACTTGCTTCTTGACCGGAGCAGCAGTTATTGGCTCTTCCTCATCGGCATCATCGCTGGATTCGTCAGCGGAATCGCCAGAATCTTCACCATCATCAGCCGACTCCTCGTCATCAGTAGATTCATCCGCATCCACATCCGCATCGTTGCTGGTCGAATCCTCATCGGCACTCTCAACCACGGCAGGTGCGGACTCCTCATCCTCAGCTGGACGGGCAGCCACAAAGCCAACAGCCAAGAAGGCCAAAAGAGCGACAAGCATCAGGGAACGCATCTTGAAGTTGAGTCCAAGGAGTTATTGCGAAAACTACTTTCCAATTTCGTACTGCATTCAGCTTTTTATAGGAAAAGTCTGGCGAATTTCGGACGATTCGTAGAATCTGCTACAAAATATTTATTTGTGCTTTGGTATTTGAACAATTGTCTCGCTGGAAAGTTTTACAAGCGGTTCTTTTTTTTGGAGATCTTTTTTTTAGGTTCGATGTGAGCTTTCAAGATCATTTATTTCCGTAGTTCAATGCTTCAGCGGTCGGGGAGTTTTTAAAATGACTGGACCGGGTCCAGCCCACTTAGGCCAGTTGGGGAAAGGAGTTATTGGCGTCACAGCGGAAATGGCCAGGAGAGCGAGGACAGCAATGAATAGAAGGACACGCATGTTGATGCTCTTGGATTTTCACAGCTGTGCAATCTGTAAATTATTGCAATATTGCAGTTTTATCCGCCAACTCTTCAGTCGCCTCACGATGTAAGTGAACTATAAGAACTGAGAGGTATTACGAGGTATATATAACAAGCAGTTGATTTGCACTAAAATGCCTTGAAAATTTATAAATTCTGTTGCACGACGTTATTAAAATTCGCGAAAAATAAAATGGCCTTAAAAAAACTCGTGTTACAGAATTACATTTGCAATTTATGTAATTCTGTAAAACGAGTTTTTTTAAATTTTAAAAAGTCGCGGTTAATTAATATTATTATACTTGAACTTATTTTTATACTCGTTACTTGTAGTGTAAAAGAATATACTAAACTCGTTGAAAAGTATCCCACCATATAGGCGATTGTGTTAATTGTGTAGCCAGCTTATAACTAACAATGTGTTACATTACAATACTTGAAGTAGAGCAAAACGAACACTTGTATATTCTATATACTTTTTTTATCTGTGTAGACAAGCCTCTCTAGCTTAACAAATTCTGCAAAAAGTATTAAATACTTTGTGGCGTTTTTTTAATAGATCCGCATACATTGTTTTAAATTCTTACTGTAGTATAATTTATACGCATTCTTTATAATATTTATTATTTAGGTATATTTTATGAAGACTTGTCATCTTCCTTATTGTTATTATCTCCGTTTGATTCATTATCTGACTCCTCCTGATTGTCCTCCTTATTTTCTTCATCCTGGTCATCCTCATTTCCATAACCCAGACTTTCTTCAACAGCATCGGAGTTTCCCTCACCATCATTGCCGTATAAATCATCATTGGTGTCCTCCGGAGGAATCCTCATCCTCAGCTGGACGGGCAGCCACAAAGCCAACAGCCAAAAAGGCCAAAAGAGTGACAAGAATCAGGGAACGCATCTTGAAGTTGAGTCCAAGGAGAAACTAATTTCCAATTTCGTACCATATTCAGCTTTTTATAGGAAAAGTCTGGCAAATTTCGGACAATTCGTAGAATCTGCTACAAAATATTTATTTGTGCTTTGGTATTTGAACAATTGTCTCGCTGGAAAGTTTTAGAAGGGTTCTTTTTTTTTTAGATATTTTGTAGGTTAATTTTTTCCGTGTTTCTTCAGTGGGGGTAAATGACTGAACCGTGTCCACCCCTCTTAGGCCATTTGGGGAAAGGACGAGTAGTCGGTATGTTCTTAGTTATTAATGGCGTCACAGCGGAAATGGCCAGGAGAGCGAGGACAGCAATGAATAGAAGGACACGCATGTTGATGCTCTTGAATTTTCACAGCTGTGCAATTGCAGTTTTATCCGCCAACTCTTCAGTCGCCTGACGATGTAAGTTAACTATAAGTACTGAGAGGTATTACGAGGTATATATAATTAGCAGTTGGCTTGCACTAAAGTACCTTGAAAATTTATAAATTCTGTTGCACGAAGTTATTAAAATTCGCGAAAAATAAAATGGCCTTGAAATGGCTAATATAATTCTGTAACACGAGCTTTTTTAAATTTTAAAAAGGTCATCGTGGTTAATTATCATTATTATACTTGAACTTATTTCATACCCGTTACTCGTAGTGTAAAAGGGTATACTAAATTCGTTGAAAAGTATCCGACCATATAAGCGATTGTGTTAATTGTGTAGCTAGCTTATAAATAAAAATGTATGTTACAATACAATACTTGAAGTAGAGCGAAACAGAACACTTGTATATTCTGTATACTTTTTTTATCTGTGTAGACAAGCAAATTCTGCAAAAAGTATTATATACTTTGTGGCGTTCTTTTAATAGATCCACACACACTTTTTTAAATTTTAACACTTCTTACCGTGGTATAATTTATACGCATTTTTTATAATATATTTAGGTATATAATATATTAGGTATATTTTATGAAGACTTGTTATTGATAAAGGAACAGGGTCTTGGTGTTAATGGTCAAATCTGCTTCTTGGGTGGAGCATCCTTCTCCTGATCGCCCTTTGAATTGTCATTATTATCCGATTCGGTATTATCATCTTCCTTATTGTTATTATATCCGTTTGATTCATTATCTGACTCCTCCTGATTGTCCTCCTTATTTTCTTCATCCTGGTTATCCTCATTTCCATAATTCAGACTTTCTTCAACAGCAGATCCTTCTTCGACAGCATCGGGGTTTCCCTCACCATTATTGCCGTAGAAATCATCATTGGTGTCCTCCTGGACGGAGGAATCCTTATCTGGACGGGCAGCCACAAAGCCAACAGCCAAGAAGGCCAAAAGAGCGGCAAGAATCAGGAAACGCATCTTGAAGTTGAGTCCAAGGAGTTATTGACAAAACTACTTTCCAATTTCGTACCCCAGTCAGCTTTTTATAGGAAAATCTGGCAAAAACAATTCTGCTACAAAATATTTATTTGTGCTTTGGTATTTAAACAATTGTCTCGCTGGAAAGTTTTACTAGCTGATGTTTCTATGAATTTTTCCGTGCTTCTTCAGTGGGGGAAGATGCCCAATGACTGGACCGGGTCCACCCCCCTTAGGCCATTTGGGCAAAGGAGGAATAGTCGGTCTGTTCTTATGTCTTCTTAATGGCATCACACCGGAAATGGCCAGGAGAGCGAGGACAGCAATTAATAGAAGGACACGCATGTTGATGCTCTTGAATTTTCACAGTAACTATAACTTGTAGCTAGAAACGGCACATTTAGTACAAAAAAATCAGTGTTATTCTGAAACGTTTTACCTACCAAGCTGTGCAATCTGTAAATTGCAAATCTGTAAACTCTTCAGTCGCCTGACGATGTAAGTGAACTATAAGTACTGAGAGATATTGCGAGGTTTATATAACAAGCAGTTGGCTTGCACTAAAATACCCTGAAAATTTATAAATTCTGTTGCACGAAGTTATTAAAATTCGCGAAAAATAAAATGGCCTTGAAAATTGCACATATAATTCTGTAACACGAGCATTTTTACATTTTAAAAAGTCGTGGTTAATTAATAGTATTATACTGGAACTTATTTTTATACTCGTTACTCGTGGTGTAAAAGAATATACTAAACTCGTTGAAAAGTATCCCACCATATAGCGATTGTGTTGATATTGTGTAGCCAGCTTATAAATAACAATGTATGCTACATTACAATACTTGATATTACAATATTCTGTATACTTTTTTTATCTGTGTAGACAAGCCTCTAGGTTAAGAAATTTTGCAAAAGGTATCATATACTTTGTGGCGTTTGTTTAATAGCTTTAGATATTTAGGTATATTTTATGAAGACTTGCTATTAATAGAGGAACAGGGGTCTTGCTTGGATGAGAAGCGGTGATTCGTGATCCTAGGTTTGAATGGTCGAATCTGCTTCTTGGGTGGAGCATCCTGCTCCTGATCGCCTTCTGAAGCTTCATTATTATCCGATTCGGTATTATCAGCAGTTTCGTTGCTATCTTCCTCATTACATCTCCGTTATCATCTCCGTTTGATTCATTAACTGACTCCTCCTGATTGTCCTCCTTATTTTCTTCATCCTGGTTATCCTCATTTCCATATGTTAATAATTTTATGTTAAAAACCTAATTTCTGGACAGTAGCTGTATTTGTTAGAATTTGAATAAGTCATTTACGAATTTTATATTTGAACAATTGCTTATCGCATTGTTGTGTAATGACGCACTTTCTCAATTGATATGATTCTAAGAATTTGCTAGAATTTATTTGACTGACGTGGTACGAGGTTCTTGTATCCCAACACTCTTGCGCTTTATTATCTAAGTAACGGGTATCTAATAGTCGTGGCACCGACTATTGCGTTCTGTTTTTTTTTTCGATTTTATTATAAACACGATATGCAAACATTGGAAGTTGTATTTGATAACCTTGTAAATTCTAAAGCAAATAACATTTTACTTACATTTGTCTACTGTATAAGCAAATTGTATAAGCAATTTGTAAAAGCAAAGAAAATGGATGTCATTTCATGTTATTTACCTTTATTTAAAGGAATAACTAATTAAAGAAATTTACCCTGAAAAGTTTTTGCTGAATATTTATTATCAGTTGCCTATTTTCTATTTTCTAAAAAGGTTGTTTGAACTTTTAAAATCTGCTAGAGTTAGCAAGATGTTGTATTATAAAAGCCATCTGGGACTTTTGGGTTGACAATAACGATGACTTCTCCATTGGGATGCGGAAATGGGTTCGCACTCACAAAGGCCATGGCCAAAAGAGCAATTAGGACGAGTACCATCAGAAAGTGCATCTCCACTCAGTGTATCTAGGTCTTCTTGGAATAAGTTTTTCCAAGTACTGCACTACTTTTATATGCATGCGGTGTTTGCTTTAAAATTTCTATTGCAAACTGCACATTGGCTGCACTTTACTTTGTTAATTAAATATTTGAGCGATGCAACTTTTATTGATAGTTTAAGCCACACCATACTACCAGAAAATTATTTTTTTCTTCCAGCGCTAAACTAAAAGAATTAATATATGCCTGAAGTAGGCGATTGAATAAGAATCTTGAATTTTGTAGTATACTTTCGTTTTATTATTTTTCACAAAAACATAGAGGAGCTGTATTGAAACAAGTTTAGCTAAAAACCACCAATTATGATCACGGGTGTTTCAGAAAGTGTGTATTTGCTAGAATAATATAAAAAATGTACTTGTTTGTTTGTCGGAGGTGAACTGTATTTTGCCGTGTAAACAGCTGTTTAAATATCTAACGATCGGCAGAAACGTGTAGCTGAAAACAATAAATGAATTAGAGCAACTTTTCATTTGCATTGTTCTGGTTGCTCTCCACGCTTCCGGAATCATCATCATCATCATCATCATTGGAGTTATCATCCTGGGATTCGGGTTCATCTAGGTCGTCGTCGGATTCGGGTTCATTTGCATCCTCATCGTCTTCCTCGTCATCCTTGACATTATCCTGCTCCTCCGCAATTAGTTTCTCCTCATCGAGGTCCTCCAAATCGTCGATATCCACCGGGTTGGCGGAAACTGTGGCCAAAAGCACACATCCAAAAAGGGCAAGCAGCAAATAGGCACGCATAGTATTGTCAAATGAAGTCTTTAACTAACTAAGTTTGGGCCTACATCGAAAATACGCTTTTATAGCAAATCTCCAAATTGGCAGAAAAATAAAAGCTGGCATTGTGACCATTTATTTGGCTCATTTTGTGTTTACCCGGCGACAGCTGTTGCCTTGGTTTGAACCTTAAAAAAATGAGACAAAGTGCGTAAACATTTGACTGACGGAACTTGGATACCTTATACAACAAATACAGTGGCGCATGGCCAACCGATATGCTCATATTAACAATAACTTGCTTAAGAAAATGTATATATTTCTGGCATGAAGACTGCTTTTTTCTTCTTAGTAGAATAAAACCTGTACCAACTACAATTGTTCACGAAATTTTGGCAGTGGACCTACATATTTTTGTCTTCTGATTCATAACATATTTACTTTGGCTGCGATTACTAGAAACTTCTCAATATTTACACACATGTTCGGTGCCATATTTGTGGTAAGCCGAAAACAAAAACTACTTCTCTGAAGTACAAAATATATCTTAGACATGGAACCTTGATGATTGTTAGCATAATGTAATCATTTCACAATAAAGCGATCGATTTGGATCAGTTTTTAAAGATATAAAAACAAAATTGAGCTAATGGAAATCATTGTCTCAGTTGCATTCAGCGTGCACACATTTTGATAATCATGCGATCCATAGCACTTGCACTCCTGATCCTTGCCGGAATCCTGGCCTACGGCAATGCAGCTCCTCAGCTGAATTTGGCTTGGCTGCAGGGGATCCTGGAAGAGGCTGGTCAAAGGAATACGACGGTTAAGTTTGGAAACAACACGGTGATCATTACGGGAGTATCCAATGCCGTCGCCAACAGCAACGAGGCAACCAATCGTCCAACTCCACAAGGCCCATGGAATAACCATAGGCTTCCGTACGACGGCTTATACGGTTACAACGGCTACAACGGCTACAACGGTTACAACGGTTACTACGGCTACTATCGCATGGTGCCCACCATCGATGGTCAGACTGTCGAGGAGCCACAGGAATCCGACGAGGTTTCCCAGGATCAGAGTGACGATGAATCTGGCGAGGATCAATACCAGCTGGAGGATCAAAGTGAAGAGCTCAAAGACGTGAGCGTAGTATATCTTTCAGAGGACGAGCTCATGGAGCTGGAAAAGGATCAGCTCCATGATGAGGAGAAGGCGGAAGATGGGCCCCATGACCAATCCGGGGAGGCTTCCCAGGAAGTCAACGAAAATGAGTAGCTTGCCGCTATATAAAATGAATAGGCAATGAGCCATATTGAAAGTGTTCATAGAACACACGTTATGTTACATTAATTTCATTTCATATTTTTCAAAAATTTGGTTTTTACTTGAAGCATATTTCAGACAACAAACTCGTTTAACTAATTAGGATTTGATTAAACCACACTGTGCTTTGCCAGAACTCTCTGTGACAAATTAAATGTTCTTAAAGAAGCCACAATCATAAAATTGCAGCTTAAGTTGCTTATTTGCGTGGGGCAACTAGAAAAGCGTAATGATGTTTGGTTGAATGCACAATCTGTGAAAAATCTAGGAAAAGTGAAAGCAGTTCGTGTTGTTACATCCAGATTCCTTTCTAAGGGCGCCCAAGGACGAGGACAGCCATTGACGACTTGTGCGCAATTGTAAACATTTCTCGCAGGTGGCTAAAAGGGCAGGAAAATGTGGCCAACGAAGGAGTCAACAGGAAGGATGGCGATGGTGGCAGTCAGGTGCTCGTCGAACAAAGGCGCATTGCATTATAATGCGGCGCGTGTTTGTAATTTTTAATGCCGCGAATGAGATTAGTTGGTCGGCGGTTGGACATGTCGTGGGCTTAAACGGCATCCACATGCGCTTAACACGATTGCCGCTGATGGCCGAGAATGTGTTCGCCCATTTGCCTACGCCCAGCTCAATGCCAATCAATGTCACGCACACAGATACTCACTCACACCGAGGCGGCCGCAGGACGCATTCGTAGGGACATTCACGCACGCGTTCCCCCGACAGGCGTCCGTAAGGACTTAATCATAATTTGATTCAAGTTCGAACGCGGCCTCGTGCCACTGACAGAAATCGTAGCATACATTTCAGCGCGCTAAAAATAGGCTGCCCAAGAAGTTGCTCCCCTGAGGTAGCTTACGAATTCGAGGCCAACCTGACATAATTGGCATACTTTTTCAATTATGTGGCATCATGCTCGCTTAATTGAGGCATTTTCATTGGCCTCATTGAGGTTCGGGGACACCTACAAATTTCGCATGAATAATTACAGCGTACCTTTTTGTCGCTTACATAATTTTGCTTAAGACTTTTTGAATGGTTAGTAGAACGATGGCTGAGCAAGCTTAGTAAAATTCGTATATACGTGCAGATCTTTAATGTGATTTCTTGGACTGATTCGTTAATGTATTGATTAGCCACAACATTCTGCACAAGTCAATTAACATCGTATCTATCAACCCAATGTACTTAGTGCTGAATGCTTGCAAGCTGAATCAAAAGATACGTGTATTTCAAAGGCAAGCTGATGGGAAAGATCATCTATTGAATTTCAATTGAATAAGGAAAACCACACGAGCGAATGGAATTCAATAAAACTGCGTTTATTTTGCTCGGCCACTATTTAATTAAAATGGAAACCTCTTAGTGATCAGCTGCAGAGCCTAAACCGCAATATTAAACGAAGACAAAGGGAAATAAGCCGCGGGAGCGCACATTTCCTTTGCTGACTCAATGACCCGGCCTAGGAGACAATGGCTGCTCCAACTTCAATGGCCTGGTCAGCAGTCCGTGCATCACATGCTCATGTCCATTACACTTGACCCCCATATGGGGGCAACCCCCATAGCCGCCGTATCAATCCCTAACCCCATTTATACCCCATGTGAACCGAAGGCATGCTTGCTGCCTGTGCGCTTCGGGTTCAAAGTAATTCGCTTTATGGCTGTGATTGCAATCGATTCCTTGGTCCCCGTATATGCCCGCCCATAACCACTGACCCGTTCAATTGTCGGTGACCTTGCCCCGCCTTCTGCCAATTAAAGTAATTCTCTTGGCGGTCCAATTATCCGAAATGAAGCGAACTAACATTGATTACCACAGAACATTACATTTCAATCCTTTAATTGTGCATCCGAAGTTGGCTAACTGGGCTACTCCAAAAGTTACAATATTCCATGAATTGCATTTAAATTGAAAGTGGAAAATGCGTTCTTGAAAAGGTGGGTGGATTAACCCTAATTATAATTGATTAAAAATGCCAGATTAAAGTGCTAAGTTTGCACACATAAATAGTTAAACTAGTTATTGTTGCATCGACTATCACATACCCGTTACTCAACTGGTAGGAGTGCTATAGAGAAATTCAAACTATTTGTTGGGAAAAGCATAGAAATTCACAAGGAAAATAGAAAGTGTGGGTGTGGCAGCTTTGGGCGAAATATACATTGTACAAAATATAATGATTTACTTGCATAAAATTTAATAATCCATTAGTTTATCTTGCATACGCGCTTCTTTCGCATTTCCAAAAATCGTAATAAATATAAAGCATTAAATTTGGAACAAATTCGAACTCGCCAGTGGAGTGGTAACTTTTTGGTAGTCGTTCCAGGAACTTTTCATTCTGACCTTTGCCAGGTCAAATTATTGCAATCGACGTAGAACCAGCGCAATTGCTATAATTCTTGTTGACACAGTTGACATGTTTTGGTCAATTTGCCATGGCCTGAACCCCCCTGCACGGTAATTTGCATACAAAAAATTACGAAACTTTGTCTAGTGCCACGGGGAGTCGCGACCTCCAGGGGCGTAAAATATGCCATGCGTTGGCTTTAAATTATTATTTGTTGATGGGAATATTGCGGGTTCATGGTTTATGACAAGATGAAAGACAGATGAAGTCACGCAGAGAGGAAGAGTGTGGGGCTGTGCAGTTTCCCAGGAACTTGGCTTAATTTCGAAAATATTAATTTTAATAACTGCAGAAACTGTAGGCAAGCACCGCAAATATTTAAACACTTTAAATATTATTTAACATTTTATACACCTAGAAAGTTATTCCTGGGACCATCATATAAAAAGGCATTATTGACATTAAAATTCATTGATAATATTAATATTAATAGTATATCAATTAAAATATTAAATTATATTATATTATATATTAACAATGACGTTTGCAAAGTATTATACCTTGTAGGCAGGGTCTTATGCGAAAATAGCAAATAAAACTCTTACACATCTAAGTATTTGCCTTTGATGCATTTATCCTGAACTTAAAGGAACTATTGAAAATATCTCTGAGCAAAAAATTCCTGCATGATAACAGTTTAAGCCAAGATACCCTACCCATGACTCCCACTTAGCTTTTCTCCGATGAGACAGACGCCCATAACAGCGCTCATCTGCTGGGCAATCATTTCCCTCGACGTCGGACGCTAATTTCTGTTTGCTCGTAGGCCACATTTCCCATTTTCCCGCTGCCAGCGGAAAAACCAGGCCTGGCCCACCAGGAAAACAGCCTGTGGCTGCTCATGTGGAAACGGAAGTGTTTCCAATTGTTATGTCAATGATGGTGATGGCTGAGCTCCCATCAAGTCGTTCGAGTGACAGGACATCACAGCGAAAAAAAAAGGAAAACCGAAGAGAAAACAGCCAGGCGATTTATTTGACACTCGGAAGCCAAAGGAGGCAGTAAAACATTTCGCTCAGTGTACACATATGCTGTCATGTGCATGGGATTACTGGCGGCTAGCGCTCATATCCGATGTTTATTCATTACTTTCAGCTTATTAAGCCCGCCATTGTGATTGGAATAAAGAAATAACGCTTAGCTTAACCAAGTGAAGTGCTGCCAACTATGAAGTGGCAAGCATTTGGCCTTAGCATTACATAATTGATACCCAAAGGTAGTTATTTATTCAGGAGCATATGCTGCATTGCTCACATTAGCGAGCAAGTCAAGTTCTTAAGATATTTAGCGTTTGCAATTCAACCATTGGCATTTGCATACTTAATTGATGCAATTAAGCGAAACTGCAGAAGAAAGTACTCTGCCATCGGCCGGCGGAAAGTTTCATGGGCATTAATTCATTTGCATAGCCCAAAGCTCTTCGGTGGGAAAGCGCGCTGGATAAATAGGGGAGGTTGGGAGTGGGAGTGGCCGATGGCGCCAGTCCCTAAGACCCGGCCAAAACCCTAAAAATAAACATGGGGGCAAAAAGCACGTCACTGCCATCCCAACTCCCACCAGTCCGGCGAGCATAGAAAGTCCCTCAATATGCTCCGGTTACATAGGCGAAAACAAAAGCATTTTTTGTAACCAAACAAACTAGGAGCGAAAATAACAATAAGCCCCCTCTTTTTATGTATATTCCCATCGGTCGCGCCTTTAATGAATCAACAAGTGTGAAAGGGTTATTTTGTTCACCTGAATCTATCTTTGCGCGCGTATCGTAAATTTACATAAAACCCTTGAAGTTTCGATTGAATATTTCACCTGCAGCGAGTCGATCCTTGGCCGGGATCCAGGATCCAGTATCCAGGATTCAAACAATGCCCGGCCCTGAAAAGAAAACTGGTCCTTTGGCTTCGCATCTCCCGTCGCTTCTTCTATCCTCGAATTAACATTTTGATTGGATATTTCAATATTGCGCCATATGGCAAGGCTCTGCGCCAGTTGCTTTTTTCTGGCTCTCTGCCGCTGGTCAAAACCGGTTGTCCACTGGTTGGCAGCGGATAGTTCGCACCTTTGATGCCCCACTGCCTCTGTGTTTGCACTCCACTCAATGCCACAAATGGCGTTCAGTATATAGGAAAATCCGCGATAAGATAGCCGACGGGTACTCGTTCTGGTTTTAGGCCCAAAGTGGCCATAAAATGATAATTAACTTTGATACAAGTCCTGAATCATAGATTTGAGCTAATGAGTTCAAAGTGCATCATAATAGGTAGTTAACTTTACACAACCGCTCTCCAAATAAAACAGTAATTGCTCAAGATATTAATTTTAATTATTATTTCGCCGACTGCTCCTTAGATCACCTGGGTGCTGAACACCTGATTTTCGGAAGAGGCAGCAGCCTGGTCGGCAGTCACAGCTGGGGAATCCTCGCCAGACACAGTGGTGGTGGTGGTGGTGGTGGAAGAGGAGGAGGTGGACGAGGGTGCGCTGACCACGGTGGCGGACACAGCGGGCTGGGCGTGACGACGTCTGCGCAAGAAGGGTGCTCCATAATTGTAGTAGTTGTTGTTCCAGTAGCCAGGAGCGTTCCAGCCGGCGGGATAGCCGGGATAGGATTCAAAGTTGGGCCAGTAGCGGGGGTAGTAGGGCAAGATGTTGTCGGAAACCTGGGGCAGGATGCTGGGGGCTTCCACATCGGCGGCCACATTGACGGCGGGCAGGATTTGGGCTGCATCCTTTACCAGCACAGTGGGCACAATGCCGGCATTCTTCACGAGCACAGTGGGCACAATACCGGCAGCCTTGGCCAGCAGCGTGGGTGGCTCCACCGCCAAGTCCACCTTGGCCGAGCGGCCCAATCTTCCGCGCAGGGACAACTGGGCAGAGGACACTGCCACCAAGCTGACACAAACCAGAGCCACGAACAGACGCATATTTTCCAAACGAGCAACCTCTTTCAACTGCCTTTCGTTGGCCATTGCTCCCCATTTTATAGAGCTCCTCTTTTTCGGCTATAATTAATTAGTTTAAATATTGATTCAACTAACATTTCGCTGCTGGGAATCCGTGCAAATTATTTAACCATGTTTTGCGTAGTTTCATATTTGCTTAGTTGGGCTCGGCGGTCGGAGAATCGAAAACAGATTTTGTTGAATAGTTGTCATTAGCGGTTTGCCAAAAACTTGGTTGCTCGATGTTTCCATCTGTTCTATTGTCTCGCACAATCCGGCAATTAAAATGTCTAGCTTGTGAGTTCCGATCCGGATTTCGGTTTTGATGGTGCAAAAGGAGCTTAGATAAATTATTTCAGAAAGTATCTTAGAAACAATTTCTGTTTCGTTCCCCACATATTTGTAAGTTTCAAGTCCAACCGAATTCATTTATTTGCTATAGAATTTACTTGCATAGTTTACATATTTATTGTTATTTATATTGTAATCATATTTTGTAACCATATTTTTATTCAACCACATGCATCAGAAGGAATTTTATATAATGTTTGCATTCACAACCAAACAAAGTAACACTAAAAGCAATTTCCAAGCCAAGGCACACTGTTTAATTTAACAACTTAGTATGATTACTACTGCAATTTTTTGTAGGTGGCAGTTGGAAACTATTGCAAATGCGAAGAGGACCAACTGCGAATTCAAGCAAATAAACTGTCTTCTTCTGCGAGCTATTTCTTACATCTTAGCTAGTTTAATCTATTTCAAGTGAGATATTGTACTCCCTCACGGTAATCCAATCTGCTTTAGGTGCTGCGAGTAAAGCTAGCCAGAACAACGCCGAAAATATTAGAAGCCTCATCCTGATGCAAGTTTCAAGTGAACTAAGCTGCTATTTCAAAGTAGGCGTATATATATGAAATGCCTGAATAACTTATGCCAGTCTGAACCAACTAAGTAAGTGCCTATTTAAGAAGCTTATCGAATCAGTTGCGCATTAGTTAGTTAATTATAAATTAACGAGAACGGCTGGCAAACCGAATGGCGAATAGTTGAGTGTAAACCTTTCCATATGCCTGTTTTCAATTAGGCTAATTGCAAGTGCTGCACAGTGCAGTCCCAAAATTGGTTCACCAACTAAACATTTGGGTCACCTTCGTCTAGTGTCAATCAACAGCAAAAACCCAAGGAAAATGATCAAAAATTAAAAGGATTTGTATTCTGTGGCTTTAATATTGCCGCTATACTTTGAAGAGTTAATTTCTACTAAAGTTCAGGTTAAAGTTAAGTTAAGGAAACAGTGATTTAAGACCAAGGAATGCCATATTTATACTTGCAAAAAATAGTTAGAGAAAGCTCATAAACGCCGAGCAAGTAAAGCACACACTTTGATCATGTCATAAATTTTCTGTGTGCTTTAGCCAGACATCAAGTAATTCACAATTCCCCTTACCATCACGCATACGCCATGTATGCCGCCTTTAAAACGGATTAAAACGGGTACTTAAGCAGGCAGCATAATTAAAAAACTTAAAGCTTAAAACTTAAAGTGCAGCACGTCGAGGGAGCGGGAAGTGTCAACAATGAACTTGTGTGCTGGCAAGGAAGCGTGAAGGATGAAATTTAAGTCCTGGACATGTCAGTGACAAGCTGTCTCGCCATCGACTGGCTGTCTTCGCTACTGCTCCTTGCTTTCTCTCATTCTAGCCGTCCCTTTTGTACTTTCTCCGCCTGGTGACATGGAAGCCATCCAAGCATGCCACCCCATTCCGCGCCTGAATGTCACCACCACCATCAGCAAAAGTTTGCTGACTTGGTCAAGTTTCGGCCAGCAGAGTCGGAACACAAATTAACAACTATAAATTCGGAAATTGCCACAGCAACTTTAACCAATTTGCAGATATATTCACCTACCTGTTGGTCACTCAATCGCACCAAAATTGACGTCATTAGACAGAGAATCCTATGTAACGCCTACCAGGAAAAAAATTCTGCAGGGGCGTAACGAATATGAAGCCGAATTGTACATTCAAAACCCGTATATTGTTCGCAGATAAGGGAGAACTATCTTATCAGCAAATAGCAGATGCAGATACACATGTGCGATAGGAAAGCGAGACGAGTTAGCTTTCATTCTCAGGAATGCTAAGCCCTCGAAAATAAGCGAGTAAATCAAGGAGCTAAACTATTTCGTCCTTTGACCTGGCGAACTTTTGCAGGGATTCACAGATTTAATAAGCCAAGCCAAAGCATAAAAATATATACAGAAAAATATCAACTTGAATGGTAAGTATTCAACAGGCAGGCGATGAAAGGCGACTTTTTGGGTGCCATAAAAAAATGCTGGCTTTGGCTGGTTTAGTGTTTAAATGGCTGGGATTAGGGGCTCGAAGACGCTTTAAGTGCGAATTTCAAGGCTTTTGGCTGATGCGATTACTTATCAAATTGGATTTCTTCATTGCCGTCCCCTTCCCCCTCCACTTACTGCTTCTCAGTTCTTTGTCGTTGGCTTAAAGTGGCAGAGACATTTTAAACTGGAAACTCTTTCAATTGGGGAATTAATGTCGAGATAACAAGGGGGCAGCAAATTGCAGTTTTAACCATTAATTTAAGCTAAAACAATTAAGAGGTACGTTAAGGGGAATGGAAGTGTTTAAGTAACATATAACATTTTCTAAGCTAGAAAGTTAAGAATGCATTTTTAAAATCCATTAATGAGATTTTCAAGACTCATTATACGTTGTGGTTAAATAAATGAATTATTCCTTACCTTCTTATTCTTGATTTGAAGAACTTCTATTTCACAGGAATCAATTGTTTTCAAAACGAATTTTATTGTTTGTGTTTACACTAAATCGGGATAATTAATCATCTCCCTGGGCACAACTCATCAATATTCAAACACTCTTGGCATATGCAAATCCAGGAATGAATTTAACACCAAAGGCGCAATAAGCGAATTCACTGAGTTTCGTTTCAAAACAATTTTGATATCTATGCGCAAAGGCAGTCTATTCAAATTGCAGACAACTGAATCTCATTTTGTGCTGGCCCACACACCGCGCGAAGGTAAAAACAAGAAACATAAACCGTATCAGAATCCAAATCGGAATCCGTATCGAAAACGCTCGCAACCGCCGTGTGAGAGTGACAGGATATGAGTGGCAGGATGTTGGCAGGACCGCTTGCCACAACGACAGGATGGCCAATGCTAGACGCTGCGCCATTCAACGCTACCATATGTTAGCGATTTCTGCCTGTCCGCCGCCGAATCCACGGTTGCTGCAGGGAAAGCTCTGCTTTTCCGGCCGTAAGCCTTCGGCCAACTTCGGCTGCGGCCGAACGGAAAGCTCCTTATCAGTGGGCGGTGTGCGGCTGCGGCTGATAACGAGCTGGCCAGTAATTATCAAGGGTATGCCGCAGGGTTGCTAGTTTTTTAAGCGAACTCGAGCGCAATCTTGTAAAGGAAATCAAAGGTTTCCACATGGGCTATGCACATATTGAACAGTTTTTCTTAACCAAAATATATACATATTTCATTTAGTACTAATACTAATGTGTAGCTAAAAATTAAATGCCCTATTCTAACAAATTCGAAAAGAAATAAATGGTTTTTCACACCATTACACAGATCAGCGTAATAGCGAACTCACGCAACTTGCTTCAAATAAAATGAAGAGTATTTTCAATTTCGCCACCTTCACTTGCCTTGGCCATAAGGGGGTTAAAAAGGGGGGGATCCAACCGAATCCCTGCTGGACGCGCAAAAACATTGCAGCTTTTGCGTTCATTTGACGGAGAGCCGCCCTGCGGCAAGGTACTTTACTGTATGTCCGGCTTAGGTGTCCTTGCAGCACTTGACATTTGCCCAAGCTACCCCTCCTATGGAACCTGTTGAGCTTAGCCGGCATTGGGAAAGTGGAGCAGCTGCATCCGTTTGGCCCCTTAGCATATTGCTAAAGAACACTTTTGTTTATGTCCATGCTCGATACTTGAAGTACTTATTTCCACTCTTTGTTATTTGAAAATATCAAGTATACGCACCAAGTACACGATTTTAAGCATGTTATTGCGTTTCCTTTGACTAAGTGAATTTCCTTTGCTTGTCGACTTCATTACCATAATTTTATCGCTGTGCTTATCAAACGCCTTTTTGTATCTACCCATCTTTTATGTCACCAATATCCCAATAAAGTCCAACGTAAAAGGCTCAAATATATGATTCGTGTACCCACATTTCATTTTATCTGCTGCATAAGTACATATGAGTAATGCATTTTACACCTCTTTAAGATGGCAACTTTTATTCGAATTTGCGATGAATTTAATTCGTAATTGTCCAGTGAATTCTCACCATTAAGGCACATTCCGTATGTACAGAAAACATTGGAGTTAGGAAAAGGTAAATAATAAACATAATATTCTCCAATGTGAAATAAATTTGTTTAATCAACTTAGCAGGAAACTTATACAGTCAGAACCCAAATAAGATAGAACTAAATATAAGTGACTCTGGGACTTGTCGAACCAATCAAAATACTGGGACACGGATAGGTTTATGCTTATGGCTACATTTGGGCGGTAAATACAAGTAACACTTACAGACGATTACACTTCTAGGTTTGGTGTGGTTGCGCGCACGCTTAAAATAGGTTACAACAGCTTAAGATCTAATGATGAGGGAAATGGTACAGGTGATTAACACTAAAATGGATCGCTTGTCCTACATCCTTGATGCTTTCATGCTTGCAGTGTCTTCGATATGGCTTCACTTAAAGTTAGTGCCTTCAGTTGAGTTCACCTTAATGGAACTGTGTGCCATTCACGGCCTAATGGTGCCGCGCATGCGCTCTTTTTGGTTTTTGCATCGTGGGCCAGTCCAGTCTGGCCAGCGAGGGCAGGTTGTTTTCACTATTGTTAGGGGCGATGGTGCTTTGCAACGAAGTGGTTGGCGCTTGGAGGGTGAAGTCCGAAGGGAGCATGATGGGCTGCACGGTGCTGAAGTTGACCATCGGCGGTGAGAGGGGCGCATAACTGAGGCGGCCCATGAGGTTGTTGTTATTGGTGGGTGGATTCGAGTTGGGCCCAGGCAGTGGGGATTGGGGCGGCGCCACATTGAGGTTCATTCCAGGACTTCTAAAACGATGAATCACATTAGTCTGCATTCAGAACAAAACAAAATGAGTTTAAGTGAATGGGTGATTTCAATCAAGTTCGAAGTGATTTAAAGCAAGATTGCATAGTTAGTAAACTACAATTTGGTCAATTCAGTGATTCCTGATTGAACTCTACTGCACAAAAATCTAAAGGCTATTATTATTCCTAATCAATAATGTTGCATCCAAACAATATGCAAAGGTATAAATTTGGAGATTTAGAAAAATACATTTTGCTAATTGTGGGTAAGGCACCTTGATTATTAATAAATTAATTACAGCTACTTCAGTGACTAAAGATACTTTATATCAGGTGCATTCATTTGGGAACCCAGACCTTGTGGACGCTAGTTCTTGGCTGAATCGCCTTTTTTTAGTTTAACTTTCATATTGACGGTTACTATGGGCGTCTTAGAGCTTAGAGGGACGAGAAAATGAGGATTATGGCAAGGCTTCTATGTACAGCAATTGATTTCAAAAAGACCTTTGCACAGCTCACCTCTGCTGAGTTATTGTGAAGACTGACTTGCTCACAATCCGCTTTCCCGTGTGCCAGATGCGTCCAATGTACTTGATTCGCTGGATGGCAATGATCGCCAGGGCTACCGTCCTAAAGGAAATAATTGCCGTTAATAATAATAACCATTTTAAACTCATTTTAAGCACAAACTCACTTAAACTTCTTTTTGATGTTTCGCTGTGGAGGCTGCGCAGCTCCACCCCTCAGATTCTGCAGAGCCAATTGCTCGCTGGCCTGGTAGCCCTCCAAGGTGAGCTTCAAATACCGCTTCTGGTAGACCAGCGCCTTCCGATGTGACTCCACTCGCAAATAGCGACCGATCAGCTGCCGGCAGCGCTCCTCCAGCTCGGTGACATTGGTGTTGCCAGCGCCACCCAGCTCCTCGCATTTCTTCTGCAGAGCAATGCGTTCGCCCACCAAAAACTGAACAGTCTCAGCCATTTGCCGGTTCTCCTGAGTGTTCTCCGCCAGCAGGGCGTTGATCTCCTTCATCTTCTGCAGGAACTGCGCCGGCACATTGTCATCGGTGCTATGAGCCAATCGATCATTGGCCTGGGCCAACGCCTCAGCTAGTTTGGCCTCCCTCTGGCCAGAGCGACTCACATCGAAACGCAGTTGGGTGACTTTTTGTTCTAGGCAATCCTTTGCTGATTCCGCCGCCAAAAGCTTGGACTTAAGTTCATGAATCTCGGCCTGGAGTTTCACGTTCTCTTGGTGCTGACGGGTGCGTGTGTTGGCCCTTCGTGTTTCCGCCTCCTGGAGAGTGACTAGCCTGGCCTCCAAACTTTCGATCTCGCTGGCTTGCAGGGTTAAACGTTCATTAAAGTGTTCCAACTCTGTTTCCGCGGACTCCTTATCTCGCGATAGCTTCTCCATTTCCTGTTTCAGGCGCTCACAGTACGCCACTCTCTCCTGGAGCTCATTTTCATACCGCTGCCGTTCCCGCTCACTGCTTCGTTGGGCATCCGCAGATCGCTCCCGTTCCCTCTCGTTCTGCGCCACCAGCAGCTTAATCTCACTGCGTAGACGATCTCCGAGTTCGGATTCGAAATCAGCTCGTGGTGATTTCCTAGGCGAGTCGCCCGGTGATTTCAGTAGCAGGGAACTGTTTCGTCTACTTTCCGCCCGTTGCAGGGATGTCAACTGCGTTTGAAGACGCTCACAGCGTTCCCGTTCCTGATCCAGCTGCTTGTGGAGCTCGTCCTCGGCATCAAGAGCAGTCTCCAGTCGCTTCCTCATGGCTTCTATGATGATCACATCCTGCTCTTGAATGTCCTGCGAGTGCTGCTTCTCTCCCAGGAGCTCCTTGCTCATTGCCTCGCATTGCTCGCGCTCCACGGCCAATTGCGCACGAAGGGCTTCCAACTGATTCAGTAGTTCCCGCTCGCCAGTGAAGTTCTCGTCGTCGGTTCCATTGCCCGTTCCTGGCAAAGTCTCCTCCTCCGTTTGGACGCCTTTCTGCAGCTTCTTGTCCAGATTGTTTTCCTCTTCGCTTTCAATGGCTTTCAGGATGTTCGAGTCCAGCTGGGCAGAGTAGTTCAATTCCTTTTCCACCTGCTGCGCAATCTCGTCCACCGAGTATTGTTTCGAACTGTTTTCACTGTTCTTCAAGCGCTCCAAATCGCGTTCTAGTGTTAGAACCTGCAGTTCGAGATCCCCGCAACGTCGTAGAGCAGCATGCAGCTGGTCGGCCTTAATCTTGACCTCAGTATTAAGTTTTTCCAACTCCCGTTTGCGAGCAGCAGTTGCATCTTCGCACTGTTCATGCGCCGCACTAATACAAATCAGTTCCTTGCGGAGATTTTCTCGATCAGAAGCCGCCTGGGCAGCTGTTTCCAGCACCTTGGCCTCCAGGGTCTCTATGCGGAGCCTATACTTCACTTCACATTCCTCGTAGCTCTGCAGACTTTGCGCTTGACGACTCAGTTTCTCCTTCTCCTGCTCCAGTTCCTTTTGCAGATCGTGTAACTTGTTCTCCATGTCACTCTGCTGTCGCTGCTTTTCGGTTTGCAAATCGGATAGCTTCGCACGCAGTTGATTAATCTCTGGAGGAGTGGTTGGCCTGGGCAATACCGGTGTGTGCATCAGGAGACTGGGCGTCTTTAGCTTGGAATCCTCTGTTAGGTTGGAGAAGTTGATCTGCCTCGGCACCAGACCAGGCGTTAGACCTTCGGTGCTCTGGGCAGTGACTCCCAGAGCCTGGAAGTAGTGCGGATGCTCGAAAGTGTTAATCGGGTAGGGGGCAATAAAGCCACTTAGGTCATCGGTGCGCTTGTGCGTTAAGTTGGCCACGGCTTCCTTAGAAGTTTCCTGAAACAAAATTATAGAATGACACAGTGCACAAATTGTGTAACTACTAAAGATGGCATGTCAGTCCTTAGTGCCTTAAGAAGTGGCAGACACTTACCATTGTCTGGTGCAGGAAGCCGCCCGCACCTTCGCTCATCTGCAAGGGAGCGTTCATACTTCGCATGGCTGCCCGACGCTCCACATCCGGCTCGGGGAACTCTGTAATCGATCCGATATCGCTTAGGGTTCGGGCACTCAACTTGCCACCACTTCCCTCCTGTTTTCCTGCTGCTCCCGCCGGGGTTGAAATCAAGCTGCCATCCTGATGAGCTGCCTGCAGCTCCTTCTCCCTGGCCTCCAGTTGATCGCGCAGGTGATCTATCTCGTCGTTCTTGTCCGCCAGCATGGTCTCCATAAGATCCGGAATAGCCAGGCGGTTGATCATCTCTGTGCGTATCTTATCCTTCAGCTTTCCGATCTCCGCTCCTTTTTGCTGCACTTCAGCCTTCAGTTTGTCCACCAGACTGCGATCTGGTTGTGTGCGAGCCGCGACTTCCGCCTCCAGTCGCATTATCTCCTCCTTGCTGCGCTCCAGTTGCTGTCGCATGGTGGCCATCTGCTTGTCCCGCGCCGCCAACTGCTCGCTCAGATTCTGGACCTCACCCTGGAGCTCATGTACTCGGGTACTCAAGTCGGAGGTGCCAGCACGATGCAGTTGCTCCGCCCGCTGGCGCTGCTCTTCCAGGCGATTTTGCAGTGTAGAAATACGCTGGGTCTGTTCATCCATGCGACCCTGCAGCGAGTCCCGCTCATGCTGGAGCTCCTTTAAAGGAAGATGAGATTAATTTAGACAAAAACTAAGTTTATGTATAATATACATATGTATTTAATAATATTTTTATTTAATAATATGATGTGACTTCATAGCTTCATATGGCTTCCATATTTGTGGGATTCTACTCAGTCAAGTGGTTGTATCTGGCTGTCAGTTCGTAGACTCTGGAGCTGGTGGGTGAGTCAATGGCCGACCATTTGACCGTTGGCTCCATCTGCATTTAACCCTTTCCAACTTCAATTAAAGTTGATGTATTTATCGTATCCCTCTGCACTGTGGTATTAATGGATGAAATTTAAGACAATTGAAGAGAATTTTTGTTCTAAAGCTCGAATGAGGAACTGACATGACTAAATGTGCCATTTCCTTATCTAAGCTATAAATATATCTGTTTTTTTAGGAATCAGAATAACTCGGAAAAAAAACTCGGAATTTTTCTTTGGAGAAACATGTGCGCTTAAAATATTAAAATTTAACCAAAAGCAGCGAGTTTGGTGAATTTCTTAACATCTTAGATATTTTCATTCAAATTGAGGGAGCACTTTGAAATGCATATAAACAAGTTCCTCCACTGTTCTCGGTATCTTTGCTTTAGTACTGCATCTCTTTGCTGTTGTTTACTCGGTTTGATCCATTTATATTCATACGGGTATGGATGCCGCTTCCCCAGCAATCTGCATCCCCTTCTCAATCGGCCAGCCTCCCCTTTCTCCAAACAACTCAGCGGGATGCGTGCCACAGCATAAATAAATTTATGGAGGCATTACCGCATATTAGTGTTCCAATTGGGCTTCAGTGCGAGAATGCATACTGTAAACAAGCTGGGCTCTTGTTTTTTTCTTTGAATCGGATGCCCAGTGACAATAAGGTGCAACACGTAGGGGCTGATGGAAATGTGGCAGTTGCCAGAGGCGCCAAATGATTTGTTTCACATTCGATTTTCAAGTGGAATAAAGATTGAGGCGTTAATTTGGGGTGGCCCAAGATATGATATCTATTTTTGAAGTGGAACAAACCGGGCATGTGGAAAGGGAACAGGGAGCGATATATTTTGGTGACAGCGTGTGCCAAATGACACAAAAAAAAAGCAATAAATCTGCCATAAATCGTGTCCGCAATGAATGCGTGAAGAAAACATTATGACAAGCGACAGCACAGCAAATTAAAATAAATTGAATTATATATTTATATATTTTATGATTGCCTTCGGCGCAATTCATCAAAATAAATAAACATTCGCTGCCGCACAATTGTCGCACTGAGAAACCTTGATCGGATATTAGAAGCTCCATTTGAAAAACTCACTCGCAGCGGGATCTTCGGACCCTGAAACATTTTCGAAACTTCCGCAGCTTGCATCCAAAATAATAAATTTATTCTCAATGAAAATTATATATAAATATATATCTGGCGAATATTTAGTTTGCGATTCAAAATTGTCTATATAGATGCGGGCATTCCTCCCGATTCGACCGTTCAGAGTGCCATTCTGAAGGCAACTGAGAGATGCTGCCGATCGAGAAAACTAAGAAGAACACAAGAAAATTTGTTTTGATGCTCTATTGCGTGAGAGGAAAAAAAGAGAACAAAAGCATCTAAATATACTTTGCGACCAACCGCTGCATTTGAAATAAACGATTTATCAAAGACACAAACACAACCGCTTCGAGTTCGAATGTAACGAGGTTGCTGAAATGGATAGCCTGCGGTTCAGCCGGCATACAAACCATATCGGTTCAAACGGGCCGTTTCGAAAATTATTTAAATAGGATATCAAACAAACATTTCATTTCCTTGAAGTTATAAAAGCACTAGTTATGGAAATTGTTGTAAGCTGCACAAATGAAATTGTACATATTTTTATGGCAGTAGATTTTTTAAAGCAAACTAAAAAAAATGAATTTCAGATACAAACATTTTAACTTGATCAGTTAAACACAAGTTCCGCGTTTCAACATATATTTTAATGTACTTACCACGCAAGCGGCGCGCATTTGATGAGCCTGCATCTCCAGGTCGCGTATCCGCTTGATGGCCGCCTCCTCGACGCGAGTGTGCTTGTCCAGCTTTTCGGTGACCCGTTGAACACCCTCCACGGTGAGCGATGGATGCGAGGGAGAACCCACTGCCGTGGGTTCCTTGCTGCCATGAATAGATACATCTTCGGTGACACTCAAGCTGGCCGAATTGGAGGCTGCGTTGGAGTTATGCAGAGATTCCAGAACTTTGGTTTTTTGATCCAGCGTGGTTTCAATGTCTCTCAACTTTTCCGCAACCTGACTCAAGACCACACCTTGTTCTGCCGTTGGTCTGCTCTGTTGCAGCTTCTCCTCCAGCAATCTGATACGGGACTGATAGCCCTCCCCGATGTCTGTCTTCAGGCTGTGCACCTCCTGCTGCAGGACATCGTTGTCCCGCATCTGCAAGCTCACATATTCCTCCAGTTGCTTGGACTTCTCGGCCAGAACTTGTTCATTGAGTGCCTTGGTTTGGACTTGCGTTTCCAGCTCCGAGATGATCTCCCGCAGCACGAAGATTTTGTCAATTGAAGCCTTCAGTTCCACCTCGAATTTATCCCGCTTCGCATTCGACTCGCTCAACTGTTGATTCACCTCCCTGAACTGACTCTCAAGTTGTGCGTACTGTATAAAAGCAAGAAATACGTTAGTAATGTTGTAAAAATATAATTATTAATGGACCAATGGGATGAAAAGTGTGCGGGTGCGGGTTTCCATGTTAGTGACAAACTTACATGCTTTCGCTTCGCTAACTTCAACTATTTTTTTGGGTGCACGCGGTGGCAAAAGGGTACAGGTGCATTAGTTTGTAATTTTAGTTGCGGTTTGATTTATTGAGTGCATGCAAAGAATTACAAATACGTTAATCAGTTGACTATAATTTTCCATATATATTATTGATTAGCACAGAGAACACTTATGGTAATTGGGATTTATGTAACATATGTCGAGACTTAACAGAAAATAACCCTTCAAATAAAGAAAACACTATAAAAGTATACATAAATATACCCTTGCTTAATTAAAAATGTAATTAGTAACGTAATTTAATCAGGAAACCATTGAAAACCATTTGCAAACTTTACAACTCAAAAAGAAATTGAAACGAAAGAAATTCAATTTAAATTTAAGCATAATTGATTATTTTGCAACAAAGTGCATATATCAGAGCGACATTGAAAGTATTCTCAACCCCCCAGAGATCTTAAACTTGAGGTAGTTGGGCTAAATGGAAACTGATTGAAAGGCTCCGACTCGCTCGCACTTAAGTGCCCATTTCTCGGGGTCTATAAATATGTCGGCAGATGCTTACAAAAGCTCAGGCATACATATAGACACGAATCGGAGGATGCCCTTGACTCCGTTGAATGGCCCCCATGGGATTTACAATTGAATTATGGGCGAACAGGTGCCCCATGCGATTTGGTAAACTCTGGTAGGAAATGATGACTTCAATGGCTTCCACAATTCAGTGCCTTTGAAGCAGTTCTGTGTTAATATTTTGAAAATGTGCGGAATTGTGTCAGTTAATGAAAAGGGAAGGCCACATGCTGGGGCAACTTAAATATTTATATGTCTATGACCAAACTTACAACCAAAACTTAAGCTATGAAATAATAATCGAAAACATAGAAAGAAAAGAAAAAATAAAGAGATATGAAAGGACAGAGGAAAGGACTTTGTGAACCCAGGCAAGAACGCAAACGAAAGTCAAACCAAGCCCAAAATCAAGATCAAGATCATGATCCGAGAGATCATGGATAAGAATCATGGACTGGACTCACCTCCTCGGAGGCATTGGCATAGGAGCTGTGCTCCTTCTCTTTGTCGCGCAACTGAGCCTTCAGCCGCTCGATTTCGCGCTGGAACTCATCGCGTTCCTGTTCGCGCTCGGCGGCCTGATCCTCCAGGAATCGCCTTGTATCCTTCAGCTGCTTGTCAGCGGTATCGATCTGTGTTTGTGTGTGGTTATAGGTCAGAGGAGAGGGCACCAAAAGGGTGGTAAATTCATAAATTCCTGGCTTACGTACTAATCGAATTTATTTTTGGATCATGCGTTTAGCACTCAAAATAAAAAAGGTGGGGAGGGAAAACTCAAAAGGGGAAGATGATCTGTGTGAAGATCGTTTCTGAACTCACCTGGGACTGCAGATCCTCGCGGTCCTTCTTGCTCCACTCCACCACTTTGTCGCCCTCGCGGCAAAAGTCTTCGATCATTTGCAACAAGGTAACGGTGGAATTCCCCTGGTCTCGTGAAGGTTGCTCCTTGACCGGCGAGGACGAAAGCAAGTGACGCGCTCTCTCTTGGAGGGCAAGGAAACTGGCCGACGATTGATCCAAGCCCTGTTCCTGCAAGCTCTTCATTGTTCCCAAGCCATAGCCCTCATTGTAATCTGTGTGGTTGAGGGAGTTCAATTGGGAGAGCTGATCCCTTAGTGCTTGCAGCTCCTGTCCCAGCTCCGCATTGCGATCAATAGTGTGGCTCAGTTGCTGTTGCAAGTTCTGACGATCTGCTTCCGATTTAATCAAGCGATTCTTCAGCTGCACAAGCTGGAAGGATAGCTCGGAGGCATTTCCCGCATGCTCTTGAAGATCTGGAGGCAGGGAGGAATGGGATTTTCCCGCCTCGGGATTGCTGTTCTTCCTCTGATTGGCCACGCCCATTTGCTGATCGTTCAAGGAATTTGTGCGCAGGAATTTGGACAGTACTTGCTGATGCACCGCAGCTGTGGTCTTCAGACCATCTTCCGCCTCGCAGCAGAGCTCATGCTCCTGCTTTTCCGGTTCGTCCAAGTGCTCCGACGACTCATCGTGTGTGCGCTGCTTATGCAGATCCTCTGACAAATGCAACAGGTAGGAAGCCTCCGACTTCAAGCGCTCCAGACAATCATTCAAATCGAAGTCCTCGCTTGGCTCTTCGTTGCTCTTGCTGTCGATGAACTGCACCAAACTGGGATCCTCCACAACCTCCAGCAGACTGTGGACATCAGGCACACGAAGCAGTTGCTTCGTGTTATTTAGGGAGCCACTAAGGGTAACCTCCAGATCATCAGCCCCATCCTGACTGCGACTGTGGAACAGCAGGCGTTGCACCTCCTCGGAGATTGTGGCATTCAAATCCTCCTCACAGTTGGCCACACACTTGGCCAGCCGGCAGAGCACGCTGCGGAAACTCTTGGACAGCTCCCTCAATCCATCACGTTCGCAGATCACCTGCTCCAGGCCACGGGCTGCATCGAAGGTCAGATGGCGCTTGTTCTTGCGATTCAGCTGCTTTTCAAATTCTAGTTTCACGCGCGACATCTACGACATGCGACAATTATTAGGGATCAAGTTGTATATGGACTGAATATATATGCAGCTGCTACTCACCTCTTCGGCATGTTTAATGTTCAGCTGAGTGATCTCCAGTTGACTCTTGGCCGTAAACTTCTCGCGCAGCAAGATCAGCTCCTTGGGCCAATGCTGATCGTCCACGGAATTCTCCGACAACAAACTCTGAAAATGCAAATTGTTTACATGGATTATAAACTTTTGTTTACGGACAATGTGTGAAAAGCTGTTGCAACATTCGGCTGCATATTGCATGGGAAAATGCGGACAGATCAAGCTTTTAGAAGAAACTTTTTCCGCCTTTCACCAGAGCATAAATATTTATGGTTTCAACTCAAAATATTTAGCTGATATGGATGGGAAGTGATCACATTTTTGATCTCTATTCTGGCTCATCCCAAGTCGGGTGTGTCGAGTCCCTTGAGGGTGGCACAAACGGAAACCGAGCCAGATACATAAATCTTAATAAAAATCTCCCCCACACAAAACGTAGAAATGAAAGAAAAGAGGGAGTGGATGGAGTTGGAGCTTATTTTTGGAGTGGACTACACACCCTCTCTCATGATTTAAACATGAAATCGCATTAAATACAATTAAATATAGCTCAGAGTTGATGATTTGAAAGTATTTCAATGAATTATCATCACCGAGTTGTCTTATCTCCCATTTGCTTCTCAATTCCCCACTAAAGGGTCGTGATCCCGGCAGATTGTGAATTTTCTTTGTTTTCAATCATTTTCAATATTTACTTGAGACTTTTACGTAGCCAAACAAAACGGTGCGCTACAGACTTATATAAACGTAATTGAGATGAAAGGTGAATGGAGTGGATGAACTTTTTAGAAATATATTTTTTAAATTTAATGATTTCAAAACGAAGTTTATTAAACTTAAATTTTTTGCATTAAGTTACTTCAGTTAATTAAAATATCGTGCTTATACCAATGACAGTTTCTCGATCCTCCTTTGCCTAATTGGAAAACTACATATTGCCAGAGCTAAAGCTTTTCCCGCAATTTTTGAGTACGTCCAAATTCGAATTTTATTTTCGTCACTTGCAATTCTACATTTCATGTGCACTCAACATATAGTGTATATAGAAAAAGTGTATTTCGTGCAATGCTACTATATATTTTTAGATCTTTGCATAACACGACGCGCGGCAATAAATCTCCAAACGAGCTGCGAAATCTTTGGGCTAATCCAAAATAGAATGCAGAGTATTTAATGGGACACAACTTCGTCTCTATTGGTTCATGTTGAGCAGCAAGGCCAGCAAGCTGTATGCTTGATTCATGGTCTGAAATGAAGACATCTTATAGAAGGAGTTTCCAAAAAGACAATACAACCTTGGTGAACAGAGGTAAGCCCATATGAAAAAAGCCACCGGCTTTTAAAGTCATCGGTCGGTTTAAGTACACCATAAAAATTAGAACTAGGCGACGCATTCGAGAGTTCATATCCGGCCAATCGGAATTGTACATGGAATCGGTCAACATATTTGCAGAATCGATGACCGCGTTACCATATATGGTGGGTAGCATGATTTGCATGACCATGGCCAATAGGTAATTCATCATGCCTGCAAATCCTGGCAAGTCCTGCAAGACGGGACTCTAAACAGGAATCAACGGAGTAATAGCCGATTGGAAATTGTTAGCTTTAGACTCTCACCATCTGCATGCTGTAAATGGTGAAGCAAATGATCAGGGAACTGACCAGGATTTGGGTGAAAGTGCTCTTCGAAATAAAGGTCTCTATGCCCAAGGCCTGTTGCTTGAGTTTCTGGTGCAGTTGGACCAGTTCCAGGAACTTCTGCCTCAGATCCTTGTCATCATGCTGAAGCTTCGTCAATCGTTGGCCCAGCATTCGCAGGCACAAGGACAGATGCAGCATCATGTACCAATTAACTCCGTCCATGGTTATGTTGCAAATGCAGGTAACCGGAATGGTTATGGCCTGATAGATAAATGGATACCAAAAGAGCACCGGCTGATGCCAGTCGAACGGTGTCCACATCCAGAAGGGCAATTGATTTGGGATATCGAACAGCGGCTGAATCACAATGAATGGAATTACGCCAGCACTGCACAAGCAATAGAAGATGAAAACGCGGCTGAAACGTCGATGCTCGAATCGCCACATATCCACTTCCTGGTTGCTTCTTAGCTCGAAAAGCTCATACGTGCTCCATTCGGATAAAATGCCTTGGGCCACATGGGCATACTTCCAGTTGTTGATCATTTTAGCGCCCAACGCAGTTGTGGTTAGGCAAATCAAAAGGACATCCGCGGTATGCTGTATGTCCCTGCTCCTGATTGCCTCCACCCACAAGAGCACCACAAACAACCAGGTGAATGGAACATGCAACGTATATCCCTGCCAGTTAGTCCAGTCCGGTCTGGAGACCGATTCCTTCCTCGGCCAGAGGCGCCACCACTTTAGAATACCCGTCAAATAGCGCACTGGTCGAATTCGATCGTAGTCCATCGCACAAGTCCTAGCTCGGATTGATACAGTCCGATTTGGGAGCTACTTTATATAGGGCTGCCCTAATTGATTTCCTTGATTGCTTAATTTTTGGGGGCGGACCTCGACTTTTCAATTAAAATTCACTTAGCCAGCCAGTTGGCTGATTTTACATGAATCCGTAAGATTGAATACCCTATATAAATTCACCATCCACATTTGCCAATTTGATAGTTACATTTTCTTATAGTTTTTGAATTATTAAATTATCATAATATTGCTTAACTATTGATTATTAGTTGGAGTCGATCTAAAAGTCTTTCTTTATAGCCTGTCCAGAGTCCCGGGAAGTTGACTAAATATAACCGAAAAGAACCCACAAAGATTCCAAGAGAAACCGAAAATTTCGCGCCTGGCACAAAAATAAACTCCTCATGGACTGATTGCGACTGGAAATGGGAATTCTTCGGTTTTAATTTCCTTTATTTTTGGGGAGAAAGGGCAACGACTCTTAAAGTAATTTGGGAGCAAGACACATCTTTGACAAAGTGCAGACTGTTTGTTTATTTAGTCTGTGTTTTGTGGGCGACTTTTGAGTGATGGACGCTTAACAAATGTAGTTTGTTTAGTCAATTTGATTTGCTTACTTGTAAATTCCTTTTTTAGATCTGTAGTTTCCTTTTTCAGATCCGCAGTTCTCCGTTTTTGTTTTCCAATATTTTAGCACACAAAAACCGTTAGATCTTAGACACACACTCACAAAAAAGAATGCCAATTAATGGGCACAACAAAAGCACGTAAATAAGTTCTTTGTATGTGCAATTATTTTCCGCTTTTCGGCAATGATTTGCATATTAAACTGTTCACAAGAACCACTTGAACATCGCAAAGATTTTTAGAATCTATAGCTAAAAGAGAAGAGAGGAGAATCCGCTCTCGCAAACCGTTTGTATTTTATTTAGATGAATGAAATATACGATATAGACGTACGCACGCGTTGAAGTAACGGAGATGACTGAACAGCAGCCGAAGCAGGCAGCGCCTTATATAGGAAATCGGAGAAAGAGCGCACTGCTTGCTTTTGCTTTCTCTCTCTCTCTCTCTCTCTCTCTCTCTCTCTCTTGTTCTCTCTTTCTCTCTTTCTCTTTCTCTCTTTCTCTTTCTCTCTCTCTCTCTCTTTCTTTCTCTCTCTCTCTCTTTCTCTCTCTCTCTCTTTCTCTATTTCTCTCTCTCTCTCTCTCTCGCCGTGCGTGTTGGAATTAATTCAAATTTATGAGCGTTAATTTTGAAAATTCATACAGGCAGAATCTACTCTGTCTTTCCACTTTTGTAGGGGTGTTTCTGCTCCACTTTTCCCCTTTTATTAATCCTCATTTGAGCCACACTTCCTGCTTGGACTTTATTAGCTCCATTTCAAGACTTCATTAGATAGGTGTGAAGTATATAAATGATTATGCTGTGACAACAGGACGAGCACATGTCTTTCAGCGGCAATTTGGAGCGTTCTTTTGCTGCCTTTAGATATATTTGTATCTTTGCATTGTCATATTGCCCACAGAATGTCTGCGAAATTTGCTGTTGGCAAACAGACCGATCGCCGACCAGATAGCCCCCATATGATACATATAAAAGACTATTTTCTGACAGCATAAGTGGGGCGGGAAATTTTTGGTGAACAGTGGTGGGGTTTTGTGGCAGAGAGATGAGTTCTCATAGTATTTGAATAGTGCGTAAAATCACAGTAAATATAAGTGTTACTAGAAAAAGACGATGTTTTTATAGACTTTAACAAGCGGAGTTTTGAATCCAATTATAAATTATTTTAACAATCAAAACAATTTTGATGTTTGAATATTATTCAAATTAATTGTCTTTGCCATGTCTGCGATATAATATAATTAACATACCAATACTTGATAATATTTCAATTATTTACCCAACTAATCTCATAGAATATAAAATATAATCCATACAAAATCCCCTACAATCTCAAATATTTGTAGTACAGGATGGGAGAAAATCCAAAACATTTTCCAATCAAAATGACCTTTAAGCAGTATCTACTGTAAACACAACGGCATATCCAGCAGTCTTTGACCTTCGATGGACCTATTTTGGTGTCGCACAAAAGAACAACGAGTAGTGTCCCGAGAAGCGCCACCTAAAGGGAGGTCTTCTCTATTTATCCCAACCATTTGCGGACACGTGGCCACCATATTTGGTGAGGCAGCGAGGATTGAGCGGCTGCTGGAAAGGATTGGGGCATCTGTCAACGAGACGAGGGGATCATTGACTGCCGGGTATAAATAGAGGCATCCCAGGTATCAAAGTGCACACTGATTTAATGCTACATAATTCGAAGTGAGTTGAAAGTTCTTTTGGCACACGTTTGTGGCAGCATGATTTTCATGTTGCTCTGTTTTTAGCCCTCTCTTTTTTTTTCCTCTTGCTTTCATTTCAGATTTTGGCTACTTGACAAATTTCGCACGTTTTTTTCATGTGAGCTGCGTGCAGCGTTTAAAAATAATTTATGCTCGGGAAGCGATTTTTGTTCAAGGGAGACACTTTAAGATTAGACCAATCAGTGGAGTGAATCATGCATACAACGATTGCCTGATCATTAATTAAGCAGCTTATGATTTTAAAATCTCCTTGTACAATCTTTAGAAAATACTTTTTAAATTGTTTCGAACGATTAATGAATTAATGTTATGTGACAAACAGCGAGCAATGAACGATTTATCATGTAATTTTTAATAACAAAACCGTGCAATGAGTTGAGTTGCATGCCACATGCCTGCCTGTTCGTCTCACCTGAATCTGCTGCTCCAACTCGGTGGCGATGTCCTGCCGAGCCAAGGTCAACTGCTCCTGCAATCTCCGCTCATACTCCTCGATGATTCGCTGGATCACCTGCGACTCGTTGTTGAAATTCAGCTCATCCTCATCGATGATAATCAGGGAGGTATTCGCGACCCCCTCTGCGGATTCCTGAGCCGGACAGGTACGTTCGGTTGATTCGATTGCAGGCTGGGTTAGTTTTTGCAGTTGGGTGTTGATTGCAGGTAGTAACAATGGGTTTAGTTCGTTTTATTGGGTTATAAAATTAGGTCGGAGGGAGAAACAAGAATGGGCATGCAGTTAGCACAGTTAGTGAAAACAAGCTTAGATGTACACTGTGAACTGGGATTTCAAAAGTTGAGTGCATACCTTGTAGTCATCATCACCCTGACGGCGCTCATAGAACTTGATCCGATCGCTCAGTTTGCGTATCTGATCCTCATGTGCGCGCTTTAGCTCCTTGATGTGGGTTTGGTAAAAGATCTTGAGGTCGGCTATATCCGCAGTATTCTAAAAATATAATTGTGCACATTATAATAGGTAATTCTTAATTAATACCAGGTTGACTAGAAGTCCCACTCACGTCTTTTCCAGTTTGTCCGGTATTTTCTCCCAGCGAGTCCAAGCCGCATGGAGTCATTTGCCTGTGACTGGGACTAAGAAGCAGCTCAGCTCGCTTTCGTTTGCGGGGAGAAGGTTCCTTGGAGGACGCTGCGGCGGCAGCTTCTTCGGGCAACTGATCAGCCTCAGAGCACTCCGATGAACTGTCCCCAGCCAGATGCTGTGACTTGTGCGAGAAGACATCGTCCGAGAATTGCTTCTCCAGATCGGCGCACTTGTGCTCAAAGTACTTGCGCAGATCCTCCATTTGCTTGGCATGAGCTGCCTGCTGGTTCTGTTCGCTGGTCAGCTTCTCGCTCTCCCACTGATCGCGGGCAATCTTCAGCTCCTGGGCGCCAAGATCACGACACAAGGCAATCTGTTGGTTCAAATAGTCGTCGAACTTGCGCTGGACCATCTGGAAGATGCGTTGTTCGGTGGGCAACAGATATGTGTGGAACTGTTCGATCTGCTTGCTAAATGCCGGTGTCCACTCCGGGTTAGAGGTCTGCAGTCCCAGTTCATCGTTGGTTTGGAACTGAGATAGCTGCCTTTCCTTGGAGCTGCGCGATCCGCGCTCTTCGTTGTCCGTGAGGAAATGACGATCCAGATCATCATCGCTTTCGCTAATCAAATCCATGGAGATCTCTGAGATACGCTGACCGGGATTGCATTCCTGATCTGGCCATAGGGCACTCGAACGTTTCACTGCCTCGATCGTCTCTTGAAGTTGCCTGCGCAAGTTCTGCACTTCGCCGCCCAGACGATCTGAGTCCGCCTGCAGCTTGTCACGCACATTCAGCGATTGCTGCAGTGAATCGGTTAGTTTGGCAATCAACTCATCCCTCCGTGACATCTCCACGTAAATGTCCAATGTCTGTGGGGCAAAGAGTTATGATTAGTTAATGTCCAAATAAATAAATATGGATTCACTTACGGGGCCGCCTAGTTCATCCTGAAGGGTGCGATACTCTGTCGAATTGGTCATTAGCGAACTGGAATCCCTTGCCGAAGCTGGGCCCGCACTGGATTCTCTTCTTGCTGTCTCAAGCTGCAGATTGAGCGACGCCAAACAGTTGTCCTTGGTCTCCAGTTGGGTGTGCAGTTCCTGCACTTTGGCCTCCAGTTGCTTAAGCATGTTTAGACTCACCAAACTGGAACTGCTGCCTCCAGCTTTATGTGCTCCTGGCTGCAGCAGAGTTTTAGACTCGTCTAAGGAGAGGGAAGGCGGATCCTGCTCCTCTTCGACAGTTGTGCTCAGGGAGAGCATTCTCTCGCTTTCCTCGGTGATATCCTCCAGAACATCCTTGGAGAACTCTGTGAGGGGCACTCGCTCCATTTGCTTGAGTTCTAAATTGTGGCCGCTGCTGGTTACTTGGGTTTGCTCCGCTTCCGTGGGCGAAAGTTTGGGTGCATTGTCCACAATCATTTGCTGATTCATGGCCATCAATCGCAGCTTCATTAGCTGCAGGGAACTCTCCTCATCATCGTCATCTTCCTCTTCATTTTCCTCCATTTCCAGAATGGTCAACTCTAAAGGCTCCATCACATCTGCTTGCAGACGTAATGCGGTCAATGCTGTAGCAGCTTTTCTTTCTACAATCTGAGGTTGTTGCAGCGCAGGAAGATTCAATTCTTGCAAAGTAGCAGTGGGTCTGATGTCCACTTGCACCTGATCCTCTGGCTCTTCATCCAAATCGGTGATTAGATCTTGTTTCTGTGAAGTATTGAGAGTTTCCTCAGCCTCGTACGTCACCTCAATCGACTCATTTGTGGCCACTATTTCTTCCATTGAGTGATCCTGCTCCTCGGTTATTTGGCTTTCGTCCACCTGAGTTTCCTGAGGAGCACTGGCGCTTATGGCCTCACTGCCTTCGGTTTTATCTTCCCTCTGCTGGACTGGTTCCTCTACCAATTCGGATACATCATCCGTAGTGCTTTGGTTACTTAAACTTTGATCTACAGTCTCCTCATCCTCGTGCAGGGAATGTTGCACAGGTTTCATCTGCTCCAATGGCAAACTAATATCAAAGTCTTCATCATTGGAGGAGAGACTAACCTCCACTTTGGAGGCAGCTGGAAGATCCGAACCCACCTCGCTTTCATCCTCATCGACCAGGAAGTGCTGAGCCAAATGACCACCAGATAGCTGGGCATCATCGATGCGAAACTCATCAGCATCCTCATCCTCATCCTCTGCCGGATTGCTACTCAAACTTTTGGCACTTGATTGCTCATCCTTTGGCCGGGCATAGGCAGCCGCCTCCGATAGAGATTCCAGTGGCGTATTCAGCTGCTCCTCCACCTCACTGATCTCGATGGCCTCTTCGATCTCCTCCTCAATACTACTGCTAGTTGTGGTTGTGGTCGTTGCCGTTGTGGCCACAACAGCGGCACTGCTCGGCGTTGTTGCCGCCGTCGTTGTTGTGGTCATGGTTGTCCGTTGATCGGCCATGTCAATGGTCATGGAACTGGTGGGTTGCTCAATGCTAAACGACGACACCGACTGATCGTCTTCCGTTAGACTGAGATTGTTCTGGCGCCTAAGTAGTTCGGCGGTATCCGTGGATGTAACTGCATATGGGGTGCTACTCGATGTTGCCCCCGTCCAACTGCTCCGCGAAATTATGTACGTGCGCGTGGAATCATTGTCGGAGTCGCAATCATCTGCTTGTTCCTTATCGGACACACCACTGGCCACATGTTCCGATTTCTCGGCGGACTGTTGCTCACTCGACGAAGTCGGCTTCTCAAATACGATATTTAGCGTGGGTATGAACTCAACTTCCACACAAGTTGCTGCTGCCACTCCAGTGGCGCGTGATGTTGCAGCTGTGGATGTTGCTGTTGCCACGGATGTTGCCGGCAACTCTTCGAGGGACGCCGCTTCGATCGCCTTATAGCTTACACTGGCACTGGGCGGCCGGAGCAACGATGTGATCTGTAACGTAAATAAAGCAATATTAATGGCCATTGCATTTATGTTTCCCCGAAACGTATTGCCAAAACTTTTCTTTGATGAATAACACTTTAAAGTGTTGGAGTAACGGCATTTCGCTTAATAGATTGCTTAAAAAGCAACTAGAATGTATGCTTATCGCTATATAATAATAACAAAATAATAAATAATAATGAATTTCCTAGGAATTATGGTTTACAGTTAAAATAAAAAGGTCTGAATAATATTCATAAAAATCTTAGATTTAAAACATAATTTGCTAAGGGATATTTAAGGGAATGTTCTAATCACAAAAACTAATAGTTTCCTTACAATTTATTACAGTAAGGTAATATAACAAATGGATTTAAGGGAAATACACTTATTATGATCAAAAGTTTGATACAAAACTGAGTTATTGCCCAAGAATTGATACCACTTGTGTTGGACATTCGGCTGCTGGTATATTACCACCCCAAGAACATTAGAACATTCGGATTTGCTTGAACAAATGAAATGAAAACAAGAGCAGGTTTTCATGTTTCGTTGGCCCACTTGTTGTGCCACCAGGCCGTGCCACTTGAGTTATAAGGCAACACGCGTCGTCTGCCGCCATAAATTTATTTTCTAGATTTTGATTCGATCTAATGATGTCACCCAGTTGTCAACGTCCGAAACGCATTGTGAGGATTCTTTTCGAGGTGCGCAGTCTTGGCGGCCCACTAAACTTGGGCGAAAGGTATTAAAAAGCAACTTAATGAGTAAACAAATGCGATGGGAAATGTGGGCAACATCCAATTTCAAATTGACCTGCATCTCAAGTGTAGATCGTTGGATAGGTGGATCGTTGGCTATCTTTTGGAGAAGGGAAGACGCCACTGCTGCCCACATCCATTCCTTGATGGATTGCAGCTGTGTCGGTTGTTGGTTTCCCATTTAAATTATAATTAGAAGCATTCGAGGCATCTTTATGTTTGGTAATAAAGTTCCCTTCGCGGAGGAGTTGCATACGTTTGGATTATTTATTTTTGGACCTGCCCACATTAATTAGGAAAGACGTCTCTGTCCACTTGAGTGATCTATATGTCTGAAGGTGTTCGAAACGTGTGCCACACATGCATCCGTTCCCGAATCGAGTGAGGAAATATTTAGGCATTTTCCAATTACATTTTTCACAGCTGGAGATCTAATTAGATCGCTTGCATTTTTTCATATATAGACATGTGCCAAGGCAATGCATTCGTCGGTTGAATAATAAACCTTTTTGACTTATGGCGTAGATCATACAGTAGATGTTCGTTTATATGCAACTTATTTGAGGAAGTGTTATTCAGCCTATTAATCATTAATTTCTTAAAAAAAATAAATCAAAAAATGAAAATAATATGTTTAATGTTGCCCGAATCCCGTATATTTGTAATTTTATAATAACTACAAGTATTGCCCCTCGAATTATTGGATTAATTTTATTTGAAAAGTAGTAATAATTGCTATAAATTGCCTTAGATGTGTACGAAGTTTAAAGTGTAATTTGCATTCGAGCCCGTACTGCAATTGAACATCTGCATAAGATATTTTCCATATTACACATACGCCATGTGGGTCAGGCCGTAACGCTTGACAAGTTTTTAGAACATTTGCGGAAAGTATTTGTGCAAAAGTTATCCAATTCCCGGCCACATGGCGGCTTGAACGTCCTTGAACTTGTCAGGACAAAGACAATGACAAGCCATTCAGGAAGTACCAGGCCCGCGATAAGGATATCGGGATAACAAGTTTGCACCCATAACCATGACAACGGATTTTCTTTGAGTGTGCGTGAAAAACGAAAACGAAAGTCTTTCCCATACCGTGCAAACTCTTTAATTTGTTGCTATAGTTTGGACCTCCTTTGTGGGCCGTTGTTTGGGTGTGACACACATTTCAGGTGGATCGTCTGAGGTTTTTGCACTTCGGCGACTAATAACAACAATGCCACTCCCCTATAGCGCGGGAAAAGGGGAGGAGGACCTAGCCCAACGTCTCTTTTAATGGCGCTGACGCCTTTCCTTTGATTTTCCACAAGATATTGTCGATAAACCCTCAATAATGGCACGCATATTGGCGAAAATGATTAAATTAATAGCGTTGCCTGGCGAAAAACTGACAGTGAAATATGTCGGGCAGAAATAAATTTGGATCGAAGAAAGGATTTTCTTTTGCGTTGTTATGAAGAAGGTTACTTCACTTTAAAGACCATCAATATTTTATACAGACACCTTCATATTTTACATAAATATATAAATATATATTTATACAAATATAAATATATATTATATATTATAAATATATATTCACAATTTTTAAGAGTAGATGCAGTGGAAATGGTTTTTATCATACCCACACATTAAATTAAATTACATTATTTGTTTTTTTATAAATATAATTATTCTTTAAAATAATTATTCTGATAAATAATATTCAAAAGCATAATATTCGTAACGTACTATACATTCCCCTACGACCAATGGGATATATATTTTGAAACGAAATTTATGGAACATATAGTAGATATGCACAAAATACCTCTAATGAGGTTCATTATCAGGCGGTTTCGAATGATATTAACACACTTCCACCGACAAGTGATGCAAATGTCACTGGGAGATGTTAAAGATCACATTGCGCACAATGACTGAACTCACATGCAATTTCCCCATTTCGCTGCTCGCCTCTCATTCGATTCAATTCAGCAATGAAGTTATCAATTAAATGCAATTTACAATCACTTAAAAAGTCCATATATCGACAATGGCTATTATGGGATACATTGTGTGAAGTTCTGCGTATATGCAAATGTTTCGTAGATTTGTTAAACAATTTTTAAACTGGCACTGCACTCTTATCTTTATAGAGCTAAAAATGACGGAAAACCGAAAAACGAGCGACGCGACCGCCTGCAGTGCAAGTTCTTTTATAAATAAAACGCCCGAAGAGACATTCAATTGAAATCAGTCACTCAATCCGAGGAAAATCAAAAGAAAAGCGTTGGAAAAGAGCAGCCCCGGAGAGCCCAAGCGATTGAGAGCGAGTGCCACGGAAATTTGCAACGCGGTTCCACGCGGTTCCGTGCACCGAATGTTCGCTCCCATTTTTTATTTATAAACAAAATGTGTGTGTGGAACATAAATTTGTTTGGAAGATGGTAATATATGCTAAAGAGTAGTTTTAAAGGCATTTGAATTATTGTGTTACGTTTAGAGATAGCGACAAATGCTGAAGTAAGTATACAAGTATTTATTTATACAATATTTCATAATTATTATTTTATAATTATTATTATTAATTGATTAATTTTGTATTTTAGTTACCATTTTATACAAATATCTTTTTTAAAGAAAAAATTCATTTTAAAGCTCACTGATTAATTGATAATTTTTGTATGCGCCACATTATTATGTTTTTTCAGCAACAAGTTGCGGAAACATTCTTCGTCAACACATACTACAAGCGAATCGGTTATTGTTGCGAAGCATTTTTTTAAAACAAACTAAAATTCACTGATAAATATATGCATTTTTTAAAATCAGAATCAGTTAAAATTCGAAAAAATGGACTATTAAAATATAATAGAAAGATTTAATTTAGTAAGCCAAAACATGCTATTTAATGATGCTTAATGTTAAAATGTTATGCTTATCAAAAAGTATATTATTTATTTACATTTTAATTCCGATAAGCGTTTTTCACAGTAGATTGTTTACAGATTGCTGAAGGGCCTTGTGGTCTTCTAATCGAAAGTTCAAAGGCGCATTCAATTTCGTTTTCGTTTGTAAACACACTTGAAAAACAACATGTTCTGTTTGTGGATTGTATTGAATTGAAAACACACATATCAAGGCGCATTCAGCCCACATTTTCGGGATTTTATCCACAATCCAAGAGGGGAAATGATGGATGTTTGGCTCTCAAATGGGTTAATACTTTAATGGATTCCCGTGCTTGTTTGGCTTACCCAATCGTATAGAGTGTACAGATTCATGGCGACTGCACTTGAACCAAATAATTTATGGCCTATTCCCTGTCTTTTGGCCGCCTTTGTTGACACTTGCGCCTGTCAGTTGGCTATATCTATAGGCGTTCTAGATGTGGCCCAAATGCGATCCATTTTCTTGTTGATGTTTACGTTGTGATTTTGATGACACAATATTTCTAAACTTTTTTGGGTTGATTTGCTTACAAACACAGACGAATGCAACGAACCGAATAATTTTGTAGGTTATGTTGGACACTTTACGTAAAATTTGAAATTTTTCGAGAATTTTAGAGTTCCGCACGAAGACAACACAATGGGGGAAACTAGCTACTTAAACCGTGAACTCTTAATTTATCATTGTGTGATTTTCAGTGCTCCTCGAGGGAGTAAAAAAACCGATAAATCCGAAACTTAAAAACAAAATAAACCAATGGTGCAACCGATCTGAAGCAGTTGCACGTAATAGCGAGCGCGATGCAACTGAGTACCAAATCCATTGCGAAGACTCTTTATATTTTTGGGGTATCGGGGGATAAACCCGCTCTTTTTCTCCCCTATGGGTGGGGAGTAATGCTCAGTGAAGCACAACACGAGATTGTTTAAAAATAATCAATCGTAAACAAAATCCGTTGCAGTGCCATCGAAATGGGGAGAACCAGAAAGAGAACTCACTGTATTACTAACAGATCGCGAGAGAAACAAAGAGAAATCCGAGACATAAAGGGGAGGAAAGTAATCAAGTTTTATCGCCTGTTCTATAAATAAACTCTAAGCAGAGGTTCAGAAACTACAAGATATGTATATTCGATAAGGAATGATTTAAGGAAGTGAGAACATATTTATGAACATTAATGGGACACATATTTATAGGCTAAGGAAACATAAACTTCCATTTTACATCAATTATTCCGCGTGATATGGTATCTTAATGAGATAGGAAAAATATGAAAATCTCTACGAAATATTTAAGTAATCTTAGATGAATAAAAACAAATTCGCGTATATTTCAATATAAAATATTTATTTTTATCTACTTGTTATTGCTTGTCGGTAGTTAGTCTTAAAGAATTCGGTGAATATACCAGTATCCATTCTGTATATTCATATAAAAATATCATTCGATTAGTATAAATATAGTCCTTTATACACTTATTAACAATTGCTAGTCAGTTTTTTTTTTATAAATGCTGTAAACTCTATAAATATTTCCATATTTTCTAGGCATCCTGTTGTAAGGCGATTTCTGTCCCCCTCGGGGATAATATTGTCATGATTTTTGTACTTTAAAAATTCAATACAAAACTTGAATGTCGTTCGATAAATTGCTTTCAATACGTCAGTTTTCAGTTTGGCAGATCTTTTGAGCATTGTTATTTTACATTAATTCAGTTAGTTCTTGATCCTAAATAATTTGGCTAACGAACTTAAAATTCGAAAGGCGTCAAATAATTAGAGCCACTCTTGCAGCTTTTTTGTAGCATCTCAGTGCTACAAAATTAGTTTAATCACATTAAAAGGTGAACGTGGATGCGAATTCCGTATAACCTTATAGGTCAATTGGGATTTCCGCCCTCCTTTTGCTTAAACTTGGTGGAGTATTTGTAGAAATCGGACATTTCGAAGGGTTTCGTCACTTCTTTGTATGGCTGGAAAGTGGCTTGCTGGACTACGGTCATGTTCTTAGGGGACTCGATGCGAATTTCCGGCGATAAACTGGCTGTGGCCACGGTTAATGGCGGTGACACCAGCGCTGTTTGTACCGCATTGCCATGTCCAAGTCCGCTGTTATTGCCACTGCCACTGTGACTTAGGTTCTGGTTCTGAGTATGAGCCTGATTTGCAGGTGGAGGTCTGGGCGGCGGCGTTGGCTGTTGCATTTGACTTGGCTTAGGTGGTAAGTTTCGCAGTGCCGGTATGTCGAGAGGTTCCAGCGGATACGACACCGATATCCCCAAAGTTTGCTCCATGGCATTGAGGTACGATGTCGATTGACTCAGCAGGGCTTTCGAACTGGTATTCACCGCATAGCTGGCACTGGGATAATTCGGTGTCGGCCGCTGGTTGGACATGGAATAGTGACGACCCGCTACCGACATGGACTGCGAGGAGAGCTTGGCGCGGGGTTTACTCGAGACCATGGCAGCTGCGCCGGGATTACTACTACCATTACTACTCCCAGCTGGACTGTGCGGCTGTGAATCCATCTGCCTAATCACAGCTGGCCCATCTAGCGAAGATTCCAGCCATTGCTTGGGCTTGGGCTTCTTTTCAATGGTCGTGGACGAGGATGACAGTGAGATCTCATCGTGCGGCGGATAGCGGCTGGGCGGCATAGGCACCGCCAGCATATCGCTGGAGTGCGATTTCACCTCTATTATGCCCAATTGTGGCGGAGTTAGGGGTGCTATGTGTGACTGAGAACGCCAGCGATATTGCTGCTGGTGCTGGGCGGCGTCCATGTCCACGGACACATAGCTGGGCGCCAGGGATATCGCATCTAGTTGCCGCTGGTGATGTAAAGGATTACGCTGTTGCTGCTGCTCGTAGCTGATATTGCTTGGCGATGCCATTGGCGACACATATTTCTTGATGTTCTGACTTGATTTTATGAAGCCGCCCTCATTGTAACTTTGATGTGTGGGCGATAAGTAGTATTTATCACACTGCACTATAATTGGTTGCTGCTGGGGAGCCACTTGTGGCGGTTGCCTTAAAGTTGCTACATTGGATGAATTCGCCGAGTACATGGATATGACATCCGGCTGTGACCTCTGGTAGTTCATGTTCATTGCTAAGTGAGCTTGTTGCTGATGCTGCTGGCGCATATATTGCATTTGGCTCGGCGTGGGAGTGGGTCGCTTCTTCAGGGCACTCTTCACCAGAGGCGGTTGCTGATGCGCCTGCTGCTGGGCCACGCCTATCACCAGCATATCGCCCGCCCCCGCCGATGAGGAGGGTTGGTAATTGTCATATTCTGAACTTCGATTTGATAACGTTTCCGACTGTCGATTGTTGTTGTTGTTGGTCATCTGGCTTTCGCGGCTTTCCCGACTCGTTGTACTTTGTTTTCTTCGCAGAATTGAGCTGTTTTCCCTGGCCAAAGCTTGAAGCTGCTGTTCGTGTTTGTACTGTTGGGCTAATTGGACAAAAAACTCATTGACTGTCATGTGCTCGTAGTTGCCATTGATGATCGCAGTCTCCTGCTTCTGGATTTGCTGCAGCAACCAGCTCTTTTCGCTAAGACGCTGCTCCAAAGCCTGTTTCCTGGCCTCCAAATTCTCCTTCCTGACCTTTGGATCATCGTCGTTTTTGTTGTTATTGTTGTTGCTACTGCTACTGCTGCTGTGGTTATTGTTTATGTTATTCGTATTGTTGTTGTTGTTAAGACTGTGCGTGGAGTTGCTTGTAGTTGCCGCCTGCTCTTCATCTTTAAGACTGGCCATATTTCTGCTCTTGGGCGCTTTCAATTGCATCGCCAGTGGTTCGTCGGCTTCGTTGGTGGGTTGTTGGTGCGGGTTTTGATATTTCGGGGGATCCTAGAAAAGACAAGCAGTCTTCGATCAATCGCCTCCTTAGCTCACTTTGTTTTTATGTAATTTATGATTTCATTTTGGGGTATTCAACCAACTCTGATACAGATATATTTTCACTTTACTTCACTACCGTTTTATAAGAAAATATCACCGAATGAATCTGATATTTCTTAGCTAATCTACAAAAGATATATGCAATTATTTCAAATATTCCTTAGGGCTTATGTACATATATTGTATGAGATCTCATTGTATCAGAGCTCTTGAATACCCCTGGATGAGTTCGTTCAGAGTTAGCTTTTTGAATTAGAGACGTGCACTAGTTTATTAGGTATTAATGCATTTTGTTGTATGTACAGACTTAGTTATTGTTTGTTGCCGATTTCCAACCCGTTCCATCACGCACCACAACCACTGTAAACCTTGAAGCGAACCCTCTCCAAAAAATGGCCACAGCATTTACATAAACATAGATCATCCCGATGAGGTGTTATTAGTTTGTTGTGTCCGTGTTTGAAAACAGTTTTTGTTTTGTTTCGTACAGTCTTGAGTTCGGCCTTCGTGGCCGGCAATGACTTAATATCAAACGTGCAAAAGTCGTTGAAATAAGTGCGCCTACAGTGGATGCTCGTTGAGAGGAACCAAACTGGTTCTTTCTCCGCATTCTTAATAATTTCCATCGTGGGGGTTGGTTTCTAATTAAAGAACCTCCGCTGTGCATGTTTAATGATGTGAAATGGTGTGCACACATACACGTACAATAACAAGCTACGCTTATGACTAATAAATAAATTATAATGCATACTTTAAACAGATCGATTGGCCCACTCATAAAAAACCAACATGACAACAACAAAAACAGGTCAAGAACGGAAAACGGTTAAACAAAAACAACTCTTAACTCACCGAACGAAGACCTTTGTTGTTGTTGCCGCTGCCTCTTTGGTATGTGTGTGTGCGTCGTCGTAAAAACAAACATGAACCGTTATGTGTGGCAGCGCCTGTGAATGAGTTAATTTTTAATTGCTTGCAATTTAGATTTCGGCAAATTGACAGAAAAACAACATTTTGTTTAGCAGCTCAGGTGAGAGAAACTGCGGAGAGAGGGAGTGGGAGAGAGGAGCACACCTTTCCGTTTTATCGCTCGAAATGCGGTCGCATAGCGTCGCTGTTGTTGCAACGCCGCGTCCTCTCAGATAGAAAACAACTAAACTCGTCCTATTTTCCACTTTAAGCGCTTGTTTTTCAATTTGAGCGTTGCGCGTTTGAGCAATTGTTTCGTGCAGCACTCCAGCTCGACGTAACTAAACCAAAATTGAGCAAATTATATGGGAAAAACTCGCAAAAAAACAGACTGCAATGCTGCGCCTACATAATTAAAACAAAAACTAAAGATATCGATAACGACGAAGGCCCTACCCGATATCGATATACTGTTGTGTTGGACAACACCTGAATGAATGCGCTGTTACTAAGCCGTGCTGTTAGGGACAAGTGATCGATGTTACCGGCAAGTTAACATTCACTTTGTGATCAATTAATTTTGTCAGAAAATAAATAAAAATAATAATATGTATTTTAATTTAAACATAAGGTCAAACTTTTATTCAACTTTAAAGTACAGGTTTCAAATTATTTTCTATTGTGTAACCGAACTTTCCTAGTTACATTTGAAAATATTTTTACGAGACGCAATAATGCGCATTACTGAGGAGCTCTGTTAACCACAATCAGTGTTGTGCAGCGTCTGCAAAATCAGTGCTGCAAGCCGGCCGACAAAGACTCATCCAAGTCGAAATTGCAGCCGCAAGTGAAGGTATTGCAGTAGTTACCAATTGGACGGTTTATTACATAAATTCGCGTTTTTCGGCTGGAAAAATAAAAGCCTCTTTATGTCATTGCAGTTGTTGAAAGCGCTACCCCACCTGCGCAGCGCCACCACCGCCGTGAGAACTCAGATTGCGAAAGCAACGTGGAGCGAGCACATTGCCACGAAAGTCTTTTTTGGAACCACCACCACAAAAGCTACACCCGCTGCACCACCTCCACCTCCGCCCACACAACCACAGCAGCCTACACCACCTGCAACCACAAGTTGGGGCACCAAGAAGCAAAATAGAAAGGTCAAACTAAGATCCGCAGCTGCCGAATTCATCATGTCGAATCCGGAGATTGAGGCCCAACTGGCTCCATTGAGGGAACGAGTTCAGGAGCAGGGCAACCTGGTGAGGGATCTCAAGGCCAAGGGTGCCCCCGAGATCGATGTGAAAAAGGCAGTAGCCGAGTTGAAGGCACGAAAGAAGCTGCTGGAGGACAAGGAGCTCGCTCTGACCCCCAGTGTCGTTAGCTTCGATCGCGCCAAGATGGAGGATCTTCTCAAGCGTCGCTTCTTCTACGACCAGAGCTTTGCCATTTATGGCGGCATTACCGGCCAGTACGACTTTGGACCCATGGGCTGTGCCCTCAAGTCCAACATTCTGGCCCTGTGGCGTCAGTATTTCGCCCTCGAAGAGCAAATGCTGGAGGTGGACTGCTCTATTCTTACTCCGGAACCTGTACTCAAAGCTTCTGGTCATGTGGAGCGATTCGCCGATCTGATGGTCAAGGATGTCAAGACCGGCGAATGTTTCCGCCTGGATCATCTCATCAAGCAGGCTTTGGAGAAGCTGTCCAAGGCCAAGGATGCCACTCCCGCCCTGCAGGCCGAGTGCGAGGACATTATCATCAAACTGGATGGCCTGAACAAACAGGAATTGGCTGGGGTCCTGGCCAAATACAACATCAAATCTCCTTTAACCGGCAATGATTTAACGGAGCCAATTGAGTTCAACCTGATGTTTGCCACCCAAATTGGACCAACTGGCTTGGTAAAGGGATTCTTGCGGCCGGAAACTGCCCAGGGTATCTTCGTGAACTTCAAGCGACTGCTGGAATTCAATCAGGGCAAGCTTCCCTTCGCTGTGGCTCAAATTGGCAACTCGTTCCGCAATGAAATCTCACCCCGATCGGGCTTGATCCGTGTGCGAGAGTTTACCATGGCGGAGATTGAACATTTCTGCGATCCGGTGCTCAAGGACCATCCCAAATTTGGCAACATCAAATCAGAGAAGTTGACCCTTTACTCGGCCTGCAACCAGATGGATGGAAAGTCTGCAGCGCAGGTGCAAATTGGTGAAGCAGTGGCATCCAAACTGGTGGCTAACGAGACACTTGGATACTATATGGCCCGCATTCAGCAGTTCCTTTTAGCCATTGGTATCAAACCGGAGTGCTTGCGATTCCGGCAGCACATGTCCAATGAGATGGCTCACTATGCCTGCGATTGCTGGGATGCCGAGATCCTTACCTCCTACGGATGGGTGGAGTGCGTAGGATGTGCGGATCGCAGTGCCTACGATTTGGGACAGCATACGGCAGCCACTGGTGTGCGCTTAGTGGCCGAGAAGCGTTTGCCGGCTCCCAAAACTGTGGAGGTCTGCGAGATTGTGCCCAACAAGCAGGCTCTGGGCAAGACCTTCAAGAAGGAGGCGAAGAACATCACGGATGCTTTGGCCAAGCTTTCGCTGGAGGAGATAACCAAGGTGGAGGAACAGCTGACTGGCGATGGTCAATACAAACTGACCACGGCCGATGGCCAAAGCCACGAGCTTGGCAAGGATACCATCAGCGTGAAGCACTCTACGAAAACGGTCCATGTGGAGGAGTTCATCCCGAGTGTGGTTGAGCCTTCGTTTGGCATTGGTCGCATTATGTACTCTCTGCTGGAGCACAGTTTCCAGTGCCGCGAAGGCGACGAGCAGCGGTGCTACTTCACGCTGCCCCCTCTGGTGGCGCCCATCAAGTGCTCCATTCTCCCGCTGTCCAACAACACCGACTTCCAACCTTATACTCAGAAACTTTCTTCGGCCCTGACCAAAGCGGAACTTTCGCACAAGGTGGACGACTCCAGCGGCTCCATTGGCAGGCGGTATGCCCGCACGGATGAGATTGCCATTCCCTATGGCATCACCGTCGACTTCGACACTCTGAAGGAACCGCATACGGTGACTCTGCGGGATCGGAATACAATGAAGCAGGTGCGCGTAGGTCTGGAGGAGGTTGTGGGCGTGGTCAAGGACTTGGCAACGGCGAGAACAACTTGGGAGAAGGTCGCCGAGCAGTATCCTCTGTTCGAGCAGCAGGAGGCCAGCAAGTAACCGGTTGACCAAGGAGATTCTTACGCCTGGCACGCATTTACAGAGTTTCACAGTTTTCTAATTCTTTTATACCTACGCTTACAATTCAATAAATATGCAACATTTAATGCTTTGCGCGATGAAATTGTTGTTGTTTATTTTATTTATTTATTGTTGGTGAATATTTTAGTTTCATTTTCCAAACATATTTTTAAGGGTATATTTTACAAAAATGAATAAATATAAATTGATATACTGCTTAACATTAAAGTATGCACATTTAAAATGGCCTTTATGAATGGCAATACAAATTTAACGGCAATATGATTTACTTACAATTATAATGAGTCAACAAATCCTGAAATTCCTATTTTAAACACAAATTACACAGAGTAAAATAAAATGAAATCCAACTAAGGCAAAGCTTTAGTACTATTTTAAAATAATTGAAAGTTATACAAATTGTAGGTCATTTGTGCTATAGGTCTCAATCTCAAGTATGCTTTGTATATATGTATGTATGTACATATAAATGGGTAATTTTAACATAGCGGCCAGAATAAATTTCATTTGATTCTTAAAAGCGCGCGCTTTGTGGTGTTTACCAACACATGGTGAGTCACCTACACTGGTATTATACTGAAAATAGACACTGGTCATACGAATTCCATTTCCACGTGTTGGGGAATGCGAATAAAAAGTAATTTGCGATCCGGGTAATACGATAATCCGCGAGTTTCAAGTTCAAGGCGAAAAGATGAAATACATCCTGGTCACAGGCGGCGTCATCAGCGGCGTGGGAAAAGGCGTGATTGCCTCCTCGTTCGGAACGCTTTTGAAATCCTGTGGTCTAGATGTCACCTCGATCAAGATTGACCCCTATATCAATATAGATGCTGGAACCTTTTCACCTTATGAGCATGGTGAGTTTTCAAGACCTCTTCCGCATTATATATGGGTGTGTATAGTATATACAACATGCATATATATTTGCTTTCGACATACGCGATTTTGGCAATTTTTCAATATTTTGCCCATCTGTGTGAGAGTGAGTGTGTGGGCGAGTGTCTGTGTCTGCCAGTATGTGCATCTATTGTTGTAAGGTGCAAGCAGTTGTTGTTGTCAAAGGTCACGCGGCTGGTTGCACCACATGGCGTGAACGAGGGTGCGATGTGGCAGTGTTTCGATTGCCATGCGGCGAAAAAAGCGCTCTCCCGCTAAAAACAAAAACCTGTGCAAAAACAAATGCTCAATAACAAATATCATAAGTAACCATAATAGTGAATTGTGTTTACCATAAGCGCATAAAAATATTCCACGCCAAGCTCTGTAAATTTACAAAGAAACTATAATCAATTCAAAAGGAAAATGGCAATATTAAACAATAATAATAAAGTGAAACTAAGTTGTACGATACATAGTACAGAGACATAGTGGCATTTGTTTTGCGAGAGGCATAAGAGATGTGTGAAAGAGATAACCAGACAGTGCTGTCGTCAGCTGTTCCCCACTCTTTATGTCCCCACTCTTTCACGCGCTCTGCAAATCAGCAACAGTTGCACGTGTTTTGAAATCTTGCACTTTGACAATTACGTTTTGTTTATAAACAGATTAAGTCGGAAATCAAAACGAAATAAATGCTCGTGGCAACAGAGACGCAAGCAATTGCTACAAAAATATTCATGCTCTTGTGCAAAAAAATACAAAGTTAGATCTCTCTCACCTTCTCTCATTCTTTTTCTTAGTCCCGCTCTCTGTTTTTAGCTCTCTCTTCACAAAACGACTCCCGCAACCGGCAGACATTCTGTTTGTTGTTATTGTTGCTTGACATTGAAAATGAAAGTTCTTTCTCTCCGTTTCACTTGCTTTGCTTTCCTCGGTTGTTTCTTATTTTTGTCTTGCTCTCCTTTTTGTCTCTGTTTAGTGCTTTTATTTGTATGATTGTGAAAAAGGGAAACGATTGAAAGTGATCCGAAGCTACTGACGATTCAATTATAACTGAGCCGTATTTTGTGAAATAAGAAGTGAGGCTTCTTATCTTTTTGATAATGTTATTAGTAATAAGTGGTATTTACAGTGTTACCACTGTTAATTGATTTAATTTGTATACAAAATTGTAATCGGTCAATGAATATGGAATAAGACAATTACTACTGTATTACTTCGTATATTACATATATTAATTTTGTTATTACAAATATTAAATATTGCATAGCTATTCAATATATTTAAGTTGGTATTTGTTGCAAAAGTTTACTGTACCTCTGTGCATTCTCTTGCTGATCTGTTGCACTCACTCACTCTTCACGCCCGCCGACACTTTCTCCCACCACCCCCTCCTGACCACTCCCATAAAAGAACTTCCTCTACCAAAATGGCGCCAGCAACAATAACAACAACAATAAATAAATAAATAAACGGCACAGCGACACACACTTGAAAATGTATTTATGCAACGTGCAAATGCAATTACGGTGCGTTGTTTGCCTGCGTGTGCGTGTGTGTTTGGGTGGTGGGCGCATACCTCTGTGCGTAAGTATGCATGTGTGTGTGTGTGGCATGTGCCGCAGCGTTGACCTGCACGTTTGGCGAGGCCGCTCTACACGTGCGATTTATTTATATATTTAATGGATTAAAGTATAAGCAAAAAGTTGTTGCTGTGGAGTAGATAACGTTTTTTTGCTTATGGCGATTAGTCTAGGGGGGAACTTAACAAAGACTGCTAATATGATTTCATAGTATTAGTCACAAATAATATTTTTTTTTTTTACTTTTGTTGAAATGGAAATATTTGAAAATTGAACCTTATGTGGTGGAATAAAATCCAAGAACAACAGGAGCGACATTTATTTAGTCGGTTATTAAATGATTCAAACCATTTGGATGGTCTATCAGTTTAATGTTATATTATATTTACAAATATTACAACTAATATAAAAAGGTGCATCTGGCAATTACGTATAGTTATAAAAGTTATTAAGGTTGTTGCTAAGACTTAATAACACTCATTATATTAGAGCTTTGTAGCTATGTATATCTACTCACCGTATCAATTATGACTCACTTTGAGTGGTGCAAAGAGACCCAAGCAACTTCGGTGAGTGGAAAGCACGGTTATTCCGGATGCCTCTCGCAACGCACCACCCGCCACCCCCCGCATTGGGCAACCCACTCATGAGGGCTTACTGTCTGCCGCCTGTCATTTGCATTTTTGCGCCCAGCTTCCACTTTTTGGGGGTCGAAATGCACAAAATGCAATTCTGCTCATTTGTTGTGGCTGCTGTTGTTGTTGTGGTTCTTGTTGCTGCCCATTTGTGTTCGCTGCCGACGTCGACTGAGACTGGGCAGTGGCAGCGGCAGCGGCAGCGGCACATGCGTGTGCTTCATTTGTTTTGCGTTAATTTCGGTAGTGTGAGTGTGAGTGGGTGCGAAGAAGGTCGGTAAGGGTGGTGGGGGAGGTAAAGTGGAATGGGAAATGGCAAGGGTCGCCATATTGGCCGCTGCGGTGTTCCATCTTTTGAGGGTGTCTTCTTCTAGCTGCCGAGTGTTTCTGTTGCTGTCGTTGTTCTTGCCGCCTGGGCTTTTTGCGCGTGCTTTGCGCTCCGTCATGCTCCCTCATCCACTCCCCTTGCCCCCATCTACACATCCCGATCCATCGGTCACATTAGCGTTTTTAGCCATAAAAGAGCCAAGCTCTTGTGCTCTCCGCTTGCCCTTCTCCCCCTCCTCGTCCTCTTCCCCCCTCCTCGTCCTCGTCCTCTTCCCCCTCGTCCTCTTTGTCCTCTCTTTCGCAGCTCTGTCTGCCCATTTGGTTGTGCGGCCGTCATCGGCGCGTCAACATCGTTAGCAGCTGTTGCTCTTTGCCTGTGCGCCATTAACTGCCCCCCCCTGCACCGCCCCTCGCGGTACCATCTCCTTTTTGGCCTGCATTTGCTTTGTTGCTGGATTTCTGCTTGCGCATTCGTTACGCTCACGTTTCGTTTCGCGACGACAATAATGCTTGGGCCTCTGCTGTTGCTTCTGCCGCCGTGTTGCTGTTTTTGTTCCTCTTGCTGTTGTTGTTGTTGCCACCTCTGCTCTGCTTCTCCTCTTACTCTTTTTTCTTGCTCACGCTCCTGCTCCGCCTTGTGCGTGTGCTGCTACATACAGTAGTACCTGACTAGGATGGTAACGAATATATTGCACTTCAAATGCAATAAATATGCAACTATGTAAATATATAGCCTACATTTACTGTATATTTATTTCAAATTTGCTGGGCATTTGATGCTTTATGCTGTAATTACCCACTAAAAATAATCTGCCAACTGGCATAAAGGAAATATGACTAAGCAAAATTTTTAAATTTGTCAACATATCTGTGCTAGATAATTTTGTTGATTTCGGTTTGCCAGCAGAATTGGTTCTTGATTGTATTTATCGAAGCACCACTGTGCCCATATACGTATGGCCCGCGTGTGCGAGCTTTTGTGCGTGTGTGCAAAAATTAAATGGAAAATACCATTTCGCTGTGGCGGCTCTCCAGCCCAACTCTCCAACGACAGCTCGCCAGCAGGATGTGACCGTTGCTACGCGTTGCTGGCGTCTGAGGTTGAGTGGCTCCCATCGCCTCCCAGCGCCGCCCCTCGGCCACGCCTGCCACCGTTCCGCCCCCTCATTTGCTGGCACACGCACACAGTCACAAGTGCACACACACACACCACTGTTAACTGATGGGCCTGCACGTGTCTGTGTGTGTGTGTGTTCTATGGCTTCATAAGCTTCAATCTTGCGTCTGGTCGAAAGTTTCCCACTTGCCATAACTTGCAACTTTAAGCATAGCTTATGGATCGCCTTAAGTAATTGCATTCGACAGCAGGGCAGTTACGGCACACAGTAGCCGTTAGTTAAATTATCCACCTTTTCGTTGGTTCCAGCAACAAAGTTACTGATCACTACTGATAAGAAATGAGTAAAGGCAAATTTTAAACTAGCAAACTTTGTCATCCCAGAAGTTAGCACCAGCCAGCTACTATAAATATATATAATAATACATACTTTAATAAATTAAAATAATAGCCTTACTATTTGTTTTCCAAACTCTGTAAAGGTTAAAACGAATAATTTATCATAGCTGTAATAATACTTTACGAAAGCCATTGATTAATCTTTTCCAAACATTGTTGACCTTTTATACTTAAACTGCAAACTTAAACCTAGAATAATTTTATATTATTATTATTACTTCCTGGTACCATAAAACTTACCAGCTGTAACATCTTCAGATTTATAAATAACATGCCGAAACTAGTCTTGTTTGTAAACATGTAAACTAGAAAATGAATAACTGAATCAAATCTCAAAAGTGCAAAGTCGGAAGAATTTTATGCGCCTTCAAAGTGATTAAGAAACGGAATGTTCATATTTAGATTCACTATAGTAATAACCCAGGCTTAAAGAAGATTGTAAAAGGAATCGCTAACGGCGATTATGCAACTGCGGGCGCCATTCTGGTGCTTAATTGTGAGAAATGAAATCGGAAAATTCGGAGCGGCCGGCCAATCGCACTTGCCCCTTACAATACAGCGTTGTATTACGACCTCGCTGCCAGCCACCTCCGTTTTTCCGCCCAACGCCACCCACCTCACACTTACGGTGTCTGAGCGACAGGCGCCAGAAGAAGAAGAAGTGGCAGAAGGATGGGGCGGGGGCGGGGGAAAGGAAGAGGAAGAAGAGAAGCGATGAGCGGATGGTGGGTAGGGGAGGGGAGGAAGTGTGAAGAGGAGAGCGCAGAGGAAAGAGGAAGAACGGTAGCCGTGGAGCCACAGCCAAATTCACATTGATTCGCTTTGCCCGGCGTTTGTTGCACCGCCCCCGTTGGTTCTTCTTCTTCTGCTGCTGCTGCTGCTGCCGCTGCCGCTGCCGCTGCCTCCTGTCGCGTGATTTTAACGAGCCTCCTCTCTTCCGCCCGCGCCCCCTCCCGCACACCGCCCGCTCCCCCCGTGCACCCCGCACTCTCTTCATGGTTTATGCTTTTCGCTCGCTAGCTCGCTCGCTCGCTCGCTTCCGCGCGTTGATTGTTGTTGGCTGAGCATGCAGTAGGCAGTCAGGCAGGCAGGCAGGCAGGCAGGACAGGAAGAGCAAAGGAAGGAGAGGAAGCACCGTGGCAGAGAGGAGCTGGAGGGGAGCAGGCCACCGGCTCCACCTCACACAGACAGCGCGGCTGGCTCTCTCTCGCATGTGTTTGTGTGGCCGTGCGGCTCTGGGCGAATGTGTGTGCGTGTTGGTGTGCGTGTGCTGGATAGCCGGCAATAATATGCCCAAAAGCAGCAAGGCAAAAGCAACAACACGGTGAGCCAGAAGCGAGCAAATGGCGGCGGCCGTTTTTAGCGTTTGTGCGCGCTTCCCCACCTCCCCCGCGCTGGAACCCTCCTCCTCCCCCTCCCTCCAGCGCGCAAACACACAAACACACACACACACACAGGCACACATTGTGTACGCATGTATGTCGCGCCGGCAAAAGCAAAAGCAAAAGCTTGTGGCGTGGCTTTGGCTCTCGCCTGAAACTGAACTTAACTGCCAGCCTGCTGACTGCTCTGCCCCACTGCCCCTCGCTGCGCCACTCCGCCCAATGGATGGTCTGCGCCTCCTCGCTGGCGTTTTTTGCGTTTCAGTGTGCGCTTCTCATGCCCTCTCTTTTCCGGAGGGTATTGCCAGTTTGACGACTGCTTGGACATTCGGGTGCGAGAATTAAATCCCCCATCCAGTATCTTTTTTAGAACTCTTTTAATATTTAAGGTATATCTATAAAAGAACTTGATTTCTTTACCACAAATTTTGATAACTACATTTACGTACACCAACTCCTCAAAATACTTTTGAGACTCTTAAAATACAGTAAGGACACTCAAGACCAAGACCTTCTTCATTGTGTTAGTCACATCCAAAAAGATTAGCTTAAGATATAAGCGTGGAGTTTTGTTCGATCGCGTTTGCTACGCTATAATTCCTAACTTTTTTTAGCTGCTTTTTGCGTAATGGATGAGTTTTAACACTGATTTCAAGTAAGAATCCCCATCGATCTATTCATCAATGCGATTGATTTTTTATCAATCTAAACCACTATCACTATATGTATATGTACAATAGTTAAAGAACCTAACGCTACTTATATGCATTCGGATATTCAAGGCAAGAGTATCTTCATTTTCGTTCTCTCTAGAAGGCCTTTAATACTTTTTTTGTTTTTTTTTTTTTTCATATTATTTTGCCTGCCTGCTGCTGCTGGTGGCTGTTGGCTGTTTGGCTGGCGTCGTTTCAGCTGCCGCCGCTAGTTGGCACGTTTTGTTGGCTGGCTGGCTGGCTGGCTGGTGGCTCTGGCTGGCTCGCTTGGCTTTTGGGGGGCTTGTGGACCTGGCCGGGGATTTGAATTTGGTGTGGGAACGGTAAGGGGAGCGGGAGTGGGAATGGGACTACTACGACTGTGACTGGGCCTGGGCCTGAACACGGCCTGCTGGATGGCTGGCTGGCTGGCTCATGGCTCATGGCTCTCGGCCTGATGGCGGATGGCTTGACTGCAGCCTGTCGCAGTGGCAAATAGCCGATGGGTCAGAGGGAGTGTGGGGAGTGTGAGACAGAGAGAGAGAGAGAGAGCGACAGGAGAGGTGGTGGGGGCAGGGGCAGAGCGGTCTGTGTGCGGCAGCGGTGGCGGCGCGTCAACGGCAGCAAAGGCAAAAGCAACAGCAATAACGCTGCGACAGCCACCAGCAGCAGCAGAAGCAGCGGCGCTTCGCACTTTGCTCTGCTGAATTTTCAATTTCAGTTGTAAGCTGACTGCAATCAGCAGTGGTTCGCATTTTGGTTCGGAAATTCGCAATTCCGCAATTCGGCTTCTCGACTTGTCATTCGCGCTCGTGGAAAACGCTCTCGGGACATAACGGAATCTACGGGCCGGCGCGGCTGACCGAGCGCACAAAAAACTTTTCGATTATTATAAACTTTGGCGGTAACAGAAACATACACACACACGTACACACACATACACATTAGGCAGTGACCACCCACTGATTCACCACCCCCTGAAAACCACCCACATGTCCCGTTAGTTGCGACTCCTGGCGCGCTAATTTTTGCATATGTATGTTAGCGAGTGAGACACGCACACGTGTGTGCGTGGGTTTTATTGATTTTATAGAGCAAACTATGGTTTATTGCCTCACTCCCCCTCAGAGTCCATCATTCTTGACTCTTCATTCCTGGGCAAATTTCAATGACAGTTGAAGCGAGAAGGGGGAAGTGATGGAAGTTAAAGATTTGTGTGGGAAAAGGAAAGAGTATAGTTGGACCTAAAAGAGAGGGGGAGTTTGAAGATAAGGGAAACACTAGGAGCCCAAACACACAAATGGTTTACAAATCAGATGAGCTGGTATTTGAAGCTACGGGAAATAATATTAAAGCTTTATAAACCGAGGAAGAGAATGAACTTCAATGCAATTCTAAAGGCAAGGAAAAAGACGATGAATAAATTTAAAACTTAACAATAATTGAATACAAATATATTCAACTGACCATTTCCATTTTGTTTCATACCATTTTCCTAACATTATATTTTTAAAAATGCATATAGAATTTGTTTTATAGTTTTTACGTAACAAGAGTTTTTAGTATTCCTGATAAGCCAAGAGTAGTTTTCAAGCCTCGTTATCTAGCAAGTTACCAAATTAACATGGTAATGTAAATTACTCACTTTTAATGTAATCTGAATTTTCTGCACTCGTCGGCTTTTCATGGGTTAAGCAAAAAGAGAGTTGGAAGTGTTCGGAAGAATTCCAAGTTCCCATTCCTTCTTTCAATTCGATCAATACATCGCCTTTATGCAAGATCTGACCTATAAATAGTATGGTTATTCAGCCAAAGAAACGCTCTTATCTCTTCTTTCCTTGACTCTCGTTGATAAGCAGCGGGAAATCAAAGTTGAGGAAATGATTTCCAAATCCCCACAGTGTTAGTCCACTTAGCTGCCAATTTCCTAGCCAAACAGCTTCCAGTTGAAAAAAAAAGAAGCGAGTGTGTGTGTGTGTGTGAGGAGGCCTCATAACTTTCCACGGCGGGTCGAAACTTGTGAAATTCTTGGCTACCAGCAGAGGAGCTGTTAGTTGCCCAGCTCCCAATCACCTCGACAGCAGCTGGGCCAGCTTTTCAGCCCGCTTTTCCTACCCCCTCGATAGCCCCCCTACATTTTTCACCCTGCCCTCGCCTAACAACAACAACGGCAGCAGCGGCAGCAGTGAAACACACTGTCGCCGGCAGTTTTTGCCCATAAAAACGGCAACGGCAACGACGAAAACGAAAATTTAACGACTGCGCAACGTGACGCATTATTTGTCTGGCTTGGCTTGCTTGGCTTGGTCTTCTGGTCGGTCTCTTGTCTGCTCTGCTCTGCTGTGCTGTGTGGTGCGGTGCGGTGCGGTGCCTGCAGCAAAGCTGTAGCTGCCGCCAGAAATTGCTTTTGCTCGCTGGAATATACATACATACATAAGTATGTATGTTTCTGTATGTGTATGCTTTTGCGGCCTGTGCCTTCGCATCCGCTCCCCTTGCGGCCCGCCCCTTTCCCTCCCCCTCCCCCTCACACAATCCAAAGTCTCCACACGCTGCCGTTTTTAGTATTTCGCACTCTGTGCACGGCAAACATTTTTGCATGACTGACTGAATGCCGCCGCCTGCGCCTGACTCACTCACACAATCAACACATGTCCACATTCACACCGATGCACTGGGGCCAGACGATGCACTCGAAGAAAATGGGGGATGGGAATATGATATTGGTAATTAGTTGTGGATAGGAGCACTACAACAGGTGATTTAGAGTATTGCTAGTGACGCCAAAAGTTTCTTATCAATAATATTTGACAAAGCATTTGCTTTAAATGTTCGTTTCTTATACGGATTTTAAGTTAAAAAGAAAATGCGGCTTAATGCGGAAAAAAAGTTTACTTGCTAAATGCGTGACCCCTTGCAATCCTCACGATTTCTAAAATGCAATACCTAAATCGTTCACCTGTTTTCCCAAGTGTATGCAGTGCAGTGCGGAAGGGAGAGGAGCAAGGAGAGACAAAGTCAGCGGAACCGGCGCGTAATCGGGAGTGGGAGTGGGAGCGGGGTGCAGGCAGAGGCAGGCAGTCGGGCAAGCAGGCAGGCAGGCAGGCAGGCTCGTGGAGTAACCGTTGGCTGGTTGGTCTCTCGGTCGTCGCTCATCGCCGTCTGTTCCTGTCTGCCCCGCGTGCCGCGCCCCTCTCCCCGCTCGCTCGCCCAGGCGTGTTTATAATTTGATTTCGCTGCTTCTTTCCTGCCGCGTCGTCTTCTTCATCTGGCTCTGCTGCTGGGGAGCAGAGTGCGCGGGAGGGAGATGGACGATGGGGAGCAGAGTGGAGCAGAGCGAGCAGCGCGGCATTTCCTGTCGCCCAGCTCGATTTTGGGCCTAAGCCCAAGGAAGGAATCCTAATGAAGTTATTGTGCTTACAGTTTGGGGAGCACTGGCTGCTCATTGATGGTCGGGGATCGCAACTAACTCGTGGGTGGGAGCGGGATGGCGGCTTTAGTGAGTGGTCAAGAAGCCGACTAATGCTCTTCATTCCTCTCATTTCTCTCAGTGAGTTTGGTTAGTGGTGTGTATGCGCGCGTGTGTGTGCCGTTTTGAGCATGCAATTGCAATTCACCGTTAGCTGAGCGGACAAGTGAAAAAAAGTGTGCCCGCGAAACAGAGACAAAAGAGCTAACAAAAAATACATATATATAAAACTCACTCAATCGCTTTGAGCGCGCTAAGATGGCGCCAAAAAAGTCCACCATCGTGCTCAATGTGGAGCAGTTTATTCACGACATCGAGGAGCGCCCGGCCATCTGGAACCGCAACTTCCACTGCAACAAGGCCTTCCTCGAGCAGATGTGGGACGAGCTGAGCGGTGCACACAAGCTGCCAAGTAAGTGGAGCATATGGACAAAAGGAGTTCGTAGAACAGTGTTGCCAACCGAAATTCGATGAAGCAGTTTAACTGAAAAGTAGCCAAATTTAATAAAGTTTAAATGTAAATGAAATCAAACATTTAAGGCGAAAAATGTTTACATTTTTATTTTTGTTCAAAGTAAACTCATTTTATATGAGAAACCTTTCCCAAAAAAGTACTGTTTTTTGCAAAACTTTGTAAAAGGTATTTCAAAGTATTTAAAGAAATACATTTTAAATAACATTAAAAAAGACCGAACCTTTTTACTCTTACAAACAGTAGTTAAGCTAAATATGTAGTTTCCTGTTCTAATCAGATTTGGCGAGTAAATAGCTAAGTTGGCAACACTGACAATGACTCCAAGCGCGAACAAAGCAGTTTCTATCGTTATCCCACTCTCTCTCCCAGAGATCGTTCTCAAGGCCAAGTGGAAGGGACTTCGAGACAATTTCCGAGTGGAGTACAAAAGGATACCTCGGGCGGATAACGGTGATTTTATGGTGGACCCGGCCACCTTTGAATCCAAATGGCTGCACTACTACGCGTTGTTGTTTCTAAGTGAGTTAGATTAATGCAATCATTTACTTTAATAAATGTGAATCCCTTTCTATAGCTGATCACATGCGTCATCGTTTGCCAAAGAACGAACAGGATCAGTCATTCTACTTCAACCAGCAAAGCGAGGACTGTGAAAAGACAGTGGTGGAACCGGATTTAACAAACGGTCTAATACGTCGCCTGCAGGACAGCGACGAGGATTACGACGAGGAGGAAATGGAACCGGACGGAGAGGCTAGCGAAGCCACTATGGAGGAAACAATGCCCACGCCACCGGCTGCCCATCAAATGAATCAAGTGAGCACCACACCACTGGCCACCGGAGCTTTGCGGGCCCAAGAAGAGGCACATCAGCACGCTTTAATCAAGGCCGGATTACTTCGCGCCCAGTTGATGGAGCTGGAGAAGGAGGCGGAAGATTTAAGCAGAAAGCCGCCACCTCCACCACCGCAACAGATATCTCCAGTAGCACCCTCACTTCAAGTGCTGGTGGAACCACCAGCCGCACACTGTTCCCCACCGCCAATGGTGACCACCACATCCGCACAAGTACAACAACCAGGTTCAGCAGCTGTTTTGGCGCCGGCAACGACCACATCCGCGTCATCTGTATCGTCGAACGGAGCGCCAATGGGCGGAAAAAGATCTGTGTCGCCACCGCCACTATACAACAAAGCACACCATCCGCTGGCCACTCTGGCAGCAGCTCATCTAGCGGCCAAAGACCGAAATGAGGATTTCGGAGCCTCCTCGGCTGTGGGAGGAAACGGAGATCACCTGAGCTTCACTCAACACTCCTATGCCAATGGACTGATACCCGCCCTTAAGCTAAAGCGGCCGCGTCTCTCCGAGGATAGCAACTTTAATGGATCCTCGACAATGGACACTCCGCTCGTACCAGAGGACGATGACTATCACTACTTGCTCAGCCTGCATCCGTACATGAAGCAGCTGACCGCAGCCCAGAAGCTGCGCATACGCACCAAGATACAAAAGCTCATCTTCAAGGAACTCTACAAAGAGGATCTCGAGGAGTCCAAGTAGTGGAACAGCTCAGAACGCCTAGATTAAGCCCAAGACTGTACATACGCCCACTAGCCTAGATCGTAAGCATTACTATTAGTTCGTGTCCATGCCATGCTATTTGATTGATTTCTAGTTGAGCGCCACTCCAAGGAAAGCTGGGAGTGCGCCATTTACGCCTAAGCACAAATACCCTGGAAATAAAAATGTAACATTAAAATGTTTTCAGTTCTTTTCATTTTCACTAAGAAGGGTGGTCCATAATTTATTGAAACCACGTATTAATTGTATTATTTTTTTCTGCAGGTGAGGTTTACGTTTTGGACGATGGAGCCGAGGTGGATCTGGATCTGGGAAACTATGAAAGGTTTTTGGATGTCACCCTGCATCGGGACAACAACATAACCACCGGAAAAATTTACAAGTTGGTCATTGAGAAGGAGCGGACTGGCGTGTACTTGGGCAAAACTGTTCAAGGTGAGTGACAATTCTTTATCCTTATTCTTTATCCTAGTCCATAAATTTACTTTAAAGACTTTATACCCGTTGGTCGTAGATCAATAACCGAGTCGAACTGGCCATGTCCGTCCTTCCGTCTGTCCGTCCGTCCATCTGTCCGTATCAACGCCTCGATCTCAGGAACTACAAAAGCTAGAATGTTGAGATTAAGTATGCAGAGACATAGACGCAGCGGAAGTTTGGTTCCAAATGTTGCCACTCCTACGCCCACAAACCGCACTAAACTGCCACGGCCACATTTTTTGTAATTTTCTATCGATTGAATTCGAAAAAATTAAGAAATGTTCCAAGGCTGAAGTTCTAAACTCAATTATTCAACTTATGTTAATCGGATTTTGAAGTGGCGTAGCTCTAAATGTTTCTGGCGCAATTCTTTAAAAATCTGCATTTAAATTTAGAAATTAATTTTTTTGTAAAATTTTTGATGTTATGATGTTGTAGAAATTCGAAAAAATTAAGAAATGTTCCAAGGCTGAAGTTCTAAACTCCTTAACACGGGACCACTGTCGAGGACGCCGCAGGACAACGAAGGGCATCAGCAGCGTACAGGAACCTGGCACGGGCAGAAGGGTCAGTGGAGTCATTGTTCGGTCAAGGTGGTCCTAACGGGTATCTGATAGTCGGGGAACTCGACTATAGCATTCTATCTTGTTATAACTGGAAACATCAAGTAATTTAACTTTCCTTCTCTTACAGTTGTCCCACACATTACTGATGCCATTCAGGAATGGGTAGAGCGCGTGGCCCAGACACCCGTTCAGGGATCTTCAAAGCCACAGGTGTGCATTGTGGAATTGGGAGGTACGATTGGTGACATCGAGGGTATGCCATTCGTAGAGGCCTTCCGTCAGTTTCAGTTCCGCGTAAAGAGGGAGAACTTCTGTTTGGCCCATGTGTCGTTGGTTCCCTTGCCCAAGGCCACCGGAGAACCCAAGACGAAGCCCACTCAAAGTTCGGTCAGGGAACTAAGAGGTTGCGGTCTGAGTCCCGATTTGATTGTCTGCCGATCGGAGAAACCCATTGGACTGGAGGTCAAGGAGAAGATCAGCAACTTCTGTCATGTGGGCCCGGATCAAGTGATTTGCATCCACGATTTGAACTCTATTTATCATGTTCCGTTGCTGATGGAGCAAAATGGTGTTGTTGAATATCTGAATCAGCGTCTACAGCTTAATATCGACATGAGCAAGAGGACCAAGTAAGTTAGAGTCTATCTTGAAACCCTGAAAGTATGCTAACTAATCACGTATTATTTGCTACTTGTAGATGTTTGCAGAAATGGCGTGATTTGGCACGTCGCACGGAGACCGTTCGCCGTGAAGTTTTCATCGCCATTGTGGGCAAGTACACTAAGTTCACGGACTCGTACGCCTCCGTGGTCAAAGCCCTGCAACATGCCGCCCTGGCTGTGAATCGCAAACTGGAACTGGTCTTTATCGAGTCTTGCCTGCTGGAGGAGGAAACTCTCCAGTCCGAGCCGAGCAAGTACCACAAGGAGTGGCAGAAGCTATGCGAAAGTGATGGCATCCTAGTGCCCGGTGGATTCGGTTCCCGTGGAATGGAGGGCAAAATTCGTGCGTGCCAATGGGCGCGAGAGAATCGAAAACCATTGCTCGGCATCTGCTTGGGTCTGCAGGCAGCGGTGATTGAGTTCGCACGCAGTAAACTTGGTCTTAAGGATGCAAACACCACAGAAATCGACCCGAATACAACCAATGCCTTGGTCATCGACATGCCAGAGCATCACACGGGTCAATTGGGTGGCACTATGCGTTTGGGCAAGCGAACAACAGTTTTCGCTGATGGCCCTAGTCTCATTCGGCAGTTGTACGGAAACCCGAAGACCGTGGAGGAGCGTCATCGGCATCGTTACGAGGTTAATCCCAAATACGTGCCCCGGCTGGAAGAGCAAGGCATGCGATTTGTGGGCACGGACGTGGAAAAAACCAGGATGGAAATCATCGAGCTCAACGGTCACCCCTATTTCGTTGCCACCCAATACCATCCAGAGTACTTGTCGCGACCCCTGAAGCCCTCGCCTCCTTTCCTCGGCCTGATACTGGCCTCCGTGGATCGGTTGACACAATATATTCAGCGTGGCTGCCGCCTGTCGCCCCGCCAGCTATCCGACGCATCCTCGGATGAGGAGGAAAGTGTTGAGGGCTTAGCCGTAGCAACAAAGTCGTTCACATCCCTGAAGATTCCCAGCACACCCACAAATGGAATTTCGAATGGTTGCAATGGTAGCACCAGCACTTCCGACGGCGAAGGTGCCTGCGGAGGCAGATCAACGCCCAACTAAACTAACTAAACTAGTAAACGGTATCTTATATCTCAATGTGTTTAAGATGCGCTTATCACTCGTGTTTTTGTCCTCGCAAATCCCAAAATTTTGGGATTACAAATGGTCGAATAAAACATTTTGATGTTTTGAGGAAGTGACATTATGAAATCCTTCATAATTTGCTTATTTAGCTTAAGTAAAGTATGATTTTGACTTTGAAGTTTCCTACATTTGTAATAGTTACGTTATGACGTTAGTCATATGAATATATATGTTCTATTTATGAATGTTTTCCTATATAATTTCTATGATTTTTTCGCAAAAAGTCTAATTTTAATTTAACTTTGAAAAATATCTCTATAGGTAACTTAATATCCCTGCGTTCAGTCAATTGTTTAGAATGCTTCCTTAAAATCAACCTGGTATAAATGAATAGCCTTGTTTAATTAAAAATTGAAATAAGTTTTAATATGCTTAAATTACAACTAAAATTGTGTATTTTGATTATATTATGTATAGTTAAGTGCATATTACCTTGATTTAAACGATATGGAAAGCAAACAAAGTGAAATGTAAGCAATTAACTTAATCATATATATTTTTTAGATAAACAATATAAAAATTTTAAATGTTTGTGTTTTATTTTGTATTCAGCGGGCAAACAGGAGCGGTATTGTAAATAGTGCGTGGAAAATAAGTGTGTACTAACACATCTCTCTATTTTTCTTTTCAAATTGGGCGCGAAATTTGTACATTTAAAATCTGTACATCTTGATTAATATAAATCGCATAAATCTTTCTCCCAGTTCATTCAAAAATTCCTTCTCAAGCTATTGATACCTATTGCTTTGAATCGTGCATAAACTAGTGGAAGACAATTGTTTTAAAAATAAATAAAGCTTTTTGTCACCACGTAAAGTGTCAAACATCTTTTGAAACAATTTTTGAAAACCATTTGTTCTATTTTTACCGGCATTTCCATCAATACTCAGTGCTATTGACTTTTTGGCAACTGATCCTCAGTTTTAGGACAGTACTTTACTAACAAAAATGCCTGATTTCCAAAATTGTTGCAAAAATATTTTGGGATTATATATACATAATCCCTTATCTGCTAGGAACTATATTTTAAAGAGCACCATAGAGTGGTCTCTAGTGTGGTTCTCTGCTTGTTGACGCAATTAGTAGACATGGGCAGAGAATTAATCAAACGCTGGTACTCGAGAATAATAATGGACGCTAGCGCATACGGATTCGGATACAGATGCGGGATGCGGTTTCAGATACACCGGCTGGCGTTGTCAGACATCGGCCCGTGCTCAACAAAAATAGACAGGGCATACATTTGGGCTTGCGGCCGCGATGAGAAGCGATGGCTGGCGGCCAATTGAATCGAGGCGGACCGCAAGTCTTAGACCAAGAACAATGCGCATTCTTCATTGTTCGTTCAATTGAGCAACGTGCTCTGGCTAATTTTGCACTCGAACACTCGAATAGGCCCGGCAAATATGAATCAGTCGGGGGTCCACAAAAAGAAGCCAAGGATTCGCAATCGCCAGCGAAACAAGATCAACCAGGTGCAGCAGGATCAAGGGGAATCTCCAGAGGAAAGTGCTCCACTCAAAAGTAATGGCTGCCAAGCGGCAACTGCTGTACAAAGTAAACGTCCGGTTGAAAATCACTTACCAATTGGAAACCCTCTGCTTGAATTATTATCACAAAATGCTCAAGTGGCAAATCCGCAAGAGATCGATACAATCCGGGTAATACAGCAACTGTTACGCAGGAAATTATTGGCCAAAAATAGTGCTGTGCCATCTAATGAAAATAAGCCACCTCCTGATCAAGCTAAAATAGTTACCCAACCAAAGGAAATCAAAAGTGAAGAAAAAAAACCAAAGATTTCAACCTCTTCGGTAACTACAAAAACCAAAACCGAATCCAAGACATCCGTGCTTTCAAAAGAAGAGGAAATAAATGACCTGCTCAAATGCCTGGGCAGCAAACTGCCAAAGGGTTCGTAAAAGAAATAATTTAAATTCAAGATAACTAAAATATGCTTACTTGGTAGGAGCTGGTGAATCCCCAGCAGCGGCGTTGTTCAGCAATCTTGGAAAGCTTTTCAGCCAAGCGCCGCCCAGCGATGTCGAGTCATCCGATGAGGAAGTGGAGGAGTATGTGGAGTACATCTATAAGCCAAGACAATACTTCATGGCCTCGTTGTGCAATGTAATTTTCCATATTTTGTTTCATGTTTGTTTCATTTGAACCCTTAATTTTACTCGCTCAACAGTTCTGCAAGTCGGATCTGTGTGCCCAAAATCGGATACCCTGCTCCCGCTGCGGACTGAGCTACTACTGCAGTAGTGGGCACATGAAAGACGACCAGGAGCACCGCCAGCTGTGCTACGCCCTGCGCCAGACGGTGGACCGCAATGGTGAGTGCCTTTCGGCGATTCATAAATCACGCTAATTGCCAATTTGCGGGTGGACGGATGCAGGGCACGAGATGTTCTACAAGTGCGGTGACTTCAGTGAGGAGCAGTTCCGTTCCTACCGGATCGTGTGCATTCGCCAGGTGGAGAAGGAGATGAATCGTCAGCTCACCGCAACGGAACGGGAGTTGCTCCTATTCCCCCTCCTCTGTGCCGAGTCCAAGTGCCGGGAGCACCGCTTCAAACGTCTATCCATGTGCGGTGGATGTGGCGAGTTGGCTTTCTGCAAGGATAAGCCCGAGCACCGCGGCAAGGAGCACGCCAAGTGGTGTGGAGCCTACCAAATTTTCAAGGCCTTTATCATGTTTCAGGAAAAATTTGGCCGCATGGAGCCATCTCTGCCCAATAAGATCCTTAGAGAGCTGCCCATGACTTGCTCCAACACCAAAACGATGATGAAGAAGCTGAACTTTAGTAAGTATACTTAATATACTATGAATGCATGCGTATTTTAATTGCACATACTTTATTCATAATATTGGATAGTAAGTAGATTCCGCCGATAGATTTTATCAATGTAGGATCCTTTATATTTGGGACTTACATAGGCGACCATGTCAAATCTGGAAAATCAAGATATAAGTTTTTAGATCTTTAGCTGCAAAAAGCAAGGTTTTCAAAATAAACGGAATATATATTTCGAACAAATCAAAAATCGAATTACTATTTTTAGAAAACATTACATTACTCTTGAACATTAGAGTGTGTAACTTCGTAACTTCGTAACTCGATCGGTATTGGTTAATTTTAAAAACTTACTGGTTTCTATCACCTTCTTTTATAGATGTTACCAATGAGTGCGAGTACGCAGCGCTTACCCAGGTGTCCACAGGCCCATTGACTGCCTGGTTTGCCCTAAAACTTTGCGAGCGGCTAAGGAACTGCGAGGAGATGACTCTCCACCTAATTGGAGCGGAGATCGAGTTCGAGGCGGATATGCTACAGAAATGGGAACTCTTCCTGCTCCACATAACACCAGCGGTTAAGACGCTGAATGTGGTTTTTGTTGGACCTGAACTGAATCCCAACAATATATCGTTTGAACAGCTAAAGAAAATCAAGTGAGTCGCCCCTGTTTTTAGCAGTTACAAAATGATTATAAAAGTTATCCATATGATTTAGATGCTGCCGTTCCTGCCGAAAAGCCCAGAGAACTGTTAACTATCATTTTGAGAATAGCTTGTATCACGATTACTGCGGAGAAGGGAACTTTCTCAAGCCAAATTTGAGTAAGCCAACAGCAATTCAGCTGAAACCAATACTAATTATTACGCATTCTTAGTTTGCTTCTTTAACTGCGGCCTATATCGATCAACTGGATTCGCACTGGAAGATACTTGGCCAGAAACCATCCAAGCCGCACTTAATCTGAACTGCCCCATTGTTGTTACTTCGTATACGAAGTACGAGGCACCTTTGGATATGGTTCAATTTATCAACCAATCCAATCGGCACTTAAATGTCGTTATGCCACCAACTGTAAATCCATTTTCCTCGGAAAAGCCAGAACGTAATTTTATATCAGATAATGAAGCTCCATTTATGTATAAGAACTTCTATTGTTTTGTTGTTGACTAGTCGTTGATCCACACTGTTTAGTTTACGTTTATTAATAAATACACCAGTTTCGACAATTATAATTGCCGTGTACATGAGGTAAACAAATTATACCTTTTATACGAATAGAAGCAATGAAGAATATTGTAACTAAGTTTTAAAATTTATAAACGGAGATAATCGTTTACTTCGAAAATAAAATACTGAAGCATATTTTCAATAGATTTTGTTGTCGAGCAATGATGGTCACATTGTAGCTAGCGTTGGAGTCGATAACCGATAAATATCGGCTGTAGTCCGGTTTTGTTTTGATTTGATTGAATAGCATTGCATTTATTGCGCATTTTCTGAAATTTAGGGCATTTAGTAGATTAACTAGGAACTTTTTTGTTACTATAAGTGTTTTCCCATGAATATCAACGATGGCGACTTTAAGGACCTTCGCTGCAAACTGGACATCATGGGTTTCACACAAACATTGCCCGTTTTGGCCATTCCACTGGTCCAGGTAACATTCTTCCCTGTTAGTATCAAATTCTGGCATAATCCCGCTCCTTTTATATTGCAGGCTATTTTCGGGGACCTAATCAAGACCACAGAATGCCTGAGGGATACCAAGAAAAAGGTGGCCGAGCTGCTGGAGGTGTGTATACCAATAGGGAGTACAACATATATATGTCACTATAATATTAGTAATCATGCCAATTTCTTAATGAAGAGATTGATATTTTTAAACACAAATATATCTGTTATGATTATAATTGTAAGAATCCCAGGAGAAACCTATGGTGTATGTTTCTTTTTGGTTTTCTTATTCAATATAATCCAAATATGCTTCATTTTGAATGCTAGACTATACAAATTAAAAGGAACTCTCAAAATTGGAGGTGCAACGATATTAACACATTGGCTCTAAGCTTACGTTCTTCCTTATTTGTTGTGGTTTGTTGGTTGCTAAGCACTTCTTTTGTTGTGGCTCTCGTTTCGGCAGGAAAAGACCTGTTGGGAGCTGGGCGTCGAACCATACAAGTGTGACAACTCCCGCCTGCTGGCCGAGTGCAATGAACTGCATCTCCAGTTTTTGCGGGACAGGGAGGACTACGAGCTGCGCCTGTGTGGTATGTTTTAATCGATTTATGTTTGATTTTTAACTACATGTGTACATATGTTTCTTAAACCCTTTTGCAGAGTCCGAGCGCAAGATCCGAAATCTGGAGTTGGACAAGCAGCACTTGCAGAGTCACAATGATGGGCTTCAAAGCCAACTGGACGCTTTGCTCACCAAGCAAATGGTTTCATCCGTCACGAACAAAAAGTCGCAGGCTGGCATTGGTCGTCAAAGTAGGTCTAAGATATTTAGCTAGCAATTAGTTGGAATCGCACCTTCCTCACATAGTCACAAGTATAAACCACATGCTTAACGTTCGTCTTATAAAAATGTTCTGCTTTTCAGCCAAAAAACCCTTTATAACCACAGTGCGTTCGGGCAATGTGCTGCCAACTGTACTGGGCACTGCTCTTAAATGCACAAAATGCAATGCTGGGGTATTCCAGAAGACCACCACAACCACCAAAGATGGTGTGACAGTGACGCAAACCAGTGGCCAGGAGGAGCTAGACAAGATGCAGAACGATCTTACGGCAGCCGGCGAACAACTGGAGTTCTTCAAACGCAAAGTGGAGGCCAGAAATCGGGAGATTCGCCGCTTAAACGACATGTTAGCAGGAGGACGACCTCCAGCAGCTTTAGCCAAGGATTGCTGCTATAAGGATGTGGGCGCCCTCTCCCAGGACATCGATCTGTTGCAGCGCGAGAAGAGCGATTTGATGTTGCAAGTTCGCGAATTCCAGGACAAGATGCACGATGCCATGCAACGTGCTCTAAGCTCCGAGGAGGACAAAGTAAAGCTACAAACGCAGCTGGAGGAGCTCAAGGAGGCTGCTTTGCAAGTGGAACAGCAGGCCAATGCGGAGATCGATGCCAAGGAACTCGAACTACGGCAACTGCAGTTGGAGCTTAAGAAGAAGGGAAAGGATCACCGACTGGCCGGTGGCTTTGCTTCCAACCAAAGTGACAAGCATAATCTTAATGAACGCTTGAATCTTTTGACTCGTCGTGAAGAGGAACTGGAGGCCACCAATGAAAAGCACAAGAAGAAACTTCAGAAAATGCAAGCCAAGATTTTGGAGCTGCAAAAGGAGCTCAAGGATCAGAATAAACATTCCAACGTCACCCTAGATGAAGAGAAAATACGCCTGTCATCAGAGCGGGACTTCTTCCAGAAGGAGTACTTGCGCCTGATGAGCAAGTCCGGATCCGAGTCGGAGATCGCCTTCTTGCACGCCCAAATCAAATCCAAGGACGAGGAGCTAAGGGCCCTGCGATCCGAACTGTTCCCTGGTGGAAAGCTGCAATTTTCGCCACTCAAAAGTGTACAGTATGAGACACTGCCCCCCGCCACAGCTTCATCCAGTACTTCCACCGCCAATAGCAATCGGAGTGACTGCGTCCAGGCGGCCATTGCAAGGGTGGAGCGCGAACGGGACTGTGCCAGGTCCGAGCTTGAACGTGTTCGCTGCGAGCGGGATACCCTGAGGGAGAAGCAACTGTGCACGGTTCAACTACACGCCGAGGAGCTGCAGACGCTGCGCGTGCGTAACGAAGAACTCAACGACCGCCTGCGGCAGATGGAACGTGATAATCGGGAACTTAACTCGGCTCGTTTGCCAACTGAAACGAATCTGGTGCTGCTCAAGGAGGATTTGGTTCAGATGAGGCAGCGTGTGGCCTCCATGCAAAGCGAAATTGATAAACTACAGACCGAAAATGGTCAAATAACGTGAGTAAACACGGAAAACTGCTAAACAAGCTATCATAGTCTCTTATCTTTTATAAATTTGCTATGCAGCATGCTCAACGATCAAAACGAGCGCATCATAGCGGATTATCAGAGCAAGCTTTTGGTGGCCGAACGTCACCGACAGTCGGCGGATGTGCGGGCAAGCACCTTGGACTCCAGCCGGGAATCCAACCGCAGCGAGGTTGCTCAACTGCGCGTGGACATAGGAGCTCTGCGGCAGACTTACATATCTCTAGAACACGAGAAGGATACTCTTCTGGTAACTTCAGCTCATCCCATTTTCTAAATATATTAACAATATTTTTTCTGCTTCACCAGCATCAATTGGACACTAAAACGGAGCGGGCATGCAAACTGGAGTATGAGCTAAAGGATTGCAAGGAAAAACGGAATGCCCTGGAGCAGAATGTGAAGGAGCTCGAGGATAAAGTGCGGTAAGTGTGAGCAATTATGGTTGTTTTAGAAAACGCTTTTCTCTAAAAATGAAAAGACATTTCGTTTTTAATTTCTAAACTATATTGTTAGTCTTTCAAATTGTTTTATTTTATTTATCGGGCTTTTCCTTAAATACAACTCCGTACATTAGTCGATGTAATACATTAATGGCACTGTCTCTTCCTATCGAACACGTTAACCGAATATTTCTAAAAACCACCTAAAAGAGAACAAAATGGTTAATTGAATAACAAGTGATCGATTCGATCAAAAATCGCTGAGCATGCAACACAAAAACACAGGGTAATAGGAATGATATGGAGAAAATTAGGTGGGCATGCGGAGGAAGAGTAGAAGTCATCACAACCAGACAGAAAATAGCTTGAAGATTGGGAATTTTAGGTGGTCCCACCAACGTGCAGATCATTGAGAAACTTTGAATTGAGTCGCTCGTTGGTTAAATACCTCGCCAGGCTGACACTCGGAGCGCTGCAATTGCTCATGCCGCGTTGATCCGACTCCGAGGGCGTGTAACCCGGTCGACAGACGCACTTGGCCCGGCTGGCGTGGGCCAAAATTGAAGTGCCATTCGTGGCTTGCGATTTCAGTGGCTCCAGCCACTGACCCGCGCCGCAGGGTCCTCGGCTATACAGCTTGTGGCACTGCCCATTGATCTCGACCATTCCGGGCGTGGACTCGCATATATTCTGTTCCTTATCCGCACCCTCGCCCGTGCACTGCTGATCCAGATTGGTGAGGACACCGGAACAACCGCACATGCCATTGTAGGAGATGCCATCGATGGATGGCCTGGCGGTGAAGTCAAATATCACCACCTGATGCAGGGCACACGGGCCTTGAGATCCAATTCTGTAGCAGGAATCTTCCGCTGGGAAGTACAGGCGATTCTTGCCACAGAAGTTGCGCACACAACTGGTTCCGTTGACCAGGAACTCGTTGGGCCCACAGGGACCCCGTGTGTACAAGCGATAGCAAATGCCATCGCTCCAGGGCACATAGCCCTCCTTGCACTGGCACCGGGCACGAGGCAAAAGCTGCAGGCTGCTGCCAGTTGTCTCCTGGACCTCGTCGGGTATGCGAAAGATGTGGCCAGGTGGGCAGGGACCAGGAGTGTCTGAAAAGTGGGAGAACATTATATACGATATATAGGCAAAATGTGTAGCTATGTAGAACAGCATTTCCAAGGCCGGATATGGCCTCCAAAGTGTTGTTCTAAATTAAAGTTTGCCGCAATCCATGGCCAATCCTACCCAGCTCGTAGCACATTTGATGCGGAGCATGATAGTGCGGCAGGTGCCGCTGGCAGTCGCATCGACCGCCGGGCAAGAAGATGTGGCCCGGCGTCGAGCAGGGTCCTTTGGTGTAGTGCTCGTAGCAGGACTCCTCTGCCGGATAGTAGAACGAGGACAACTCGCCCACATTCTCGCAGCGGCACTCTGCCAGTCCGTCCTCGTTTTGAACTAGCAGTTTTCCCCGGCTGCAGGGACCCTTTGCATGCCTCGCATAGCACTTGTTGTCCTTTGGCCAGAAGAGCATGTCCTCCGGACACTGCAGCGGTCGCTTGCATGTTCCCCAACGGTTGCCGGTTCTGCAAAGGATTTGAAAAGGATTTAAAACATGTCATTTGCATACAAAGCGAATACTCGGATATAAATGAACTGTATTGGCGTACGAGAATCTTCCGAAGTAATAGCAATCTTTTAAAACTTGTGTATGGGAAGTCTGATAGATTATGGAAGATATCACATGAACTGTTGGGATTACTTCATTTTATTTTGGGACACGTAGACTGCGTCAAAATTGCCTGGGCGAAACACACACATCGGAAACAATGTCGGCTGAGTCTATTCCAAAGGACACTAAGGACGAATCGTTCTACGAGTGTAACATATGTCTGGAGACCGCACAGAATGCCGTGGTCAGCATGTGTGGCCACTTGTATTGCTGGCCATGTCTGCATCGGTGGCTATTGACGCAACCCAACCGCAAGGTGTGTCCCGTTTGCAAGTCGGCCGTGGATAGAAACAAAGTAATACCGCTCTACGGACGAAACGATACGAGGCAGGAGGATCCGCGGGACAAAACTCCGCCGCGTCCAACTGGCAATCGCTCGGAGCCCGAAGCGGAGGTGGGATTTGGTCGTGGCTTTCACATGTCCTTCGGTCTTGGTTTTCCCTTTGGCTTTCTTGCATCTTCCCTGAATTTGGGCGAGCCACGCCATGCTGCTCCTAATCGCGGCACACGGGTTTTGCAGCATGAACAACTCCTTTCCAAGTTCTTTCTCTACTTGGCCTTTATACTCATCTTTTGGATGCTTTTCGCTTAGTCAGTTGGGAACGAGATCAAGATCAACCATGAGTAAATTCGGGAAGATGTCGGTGCTTTTTAAATTATGTTTGGTGAAGTTTTCGGAAGATTAACACCATCATTGGATGCAGTGGTTGTCCCACAATGTGAAACAAAAACTGCTAGTAAAATGAAGCTATTTGAAAGTAAATATTTAAGTGCCCTGAGAATTAAAGTGCATTTCATGTTGCTGACACGACTGGTTTAGTTGTATTTACATAAAACCAAAAGGTTGCATGTCGTAAAAGTAGAACTGGATGTGAGTGTACATAAATTGTGGAAAATAAATTAACTTTCCTCGATTTGAAAAACGAGATATTAAAGTAGAATGCTTCCGGTATTGCTGAAGTGCACTGCAACTTTCTCCAAACCTATGATTAATGTTAAAACCCGAGTTTCGCAATTGAAATCAAAAGTAGAGAACCTTTGAACCTTTTGTAAGTGAAAATGAGAACATGAAAGTTGCTTCATTTTCGTAGCTCCAGCTAAGAACCGAACTCAACTCACCTCTTGGCCTGGTCCGGCACGGGTTGGAAGTACTCCTCGGGTTGGCAGGGTCCCCGTTCGTAGAGCCTATAGCACACATTATCGTGGAGCGGACTGAGTGCAGTTCCCGGAGGGCAGCGGCACTCGGCCGCCGGCAGATCCTTCCGCTTGGCACTCACTGCGGTGGGACTGAGCTCCATGGTTTCCGGACACGGATAGCCGAGGGTGAATATCTTGAAGCACTTCTTCAGAGGTGCCCAGTATAAAAGCTGCCAGCCACCTGACATGCTGGCGCACGGATTCTGTGCGGGATCACTCCACGGAGGTGGCACAATGCCGGCCGCCACCTGCTGCGGATTTTGGCCGGTGGTCAGTAGGAGAAGCAGGCAGGTGAGGATGGAGCTGCCCGCCTGCAGAGCAGCCCAGCAGATGAGCACTTTGCGACGCCTCATGGTGGCGCTGAAATCAAAAGTGATTGATTGATTAGTAACTTTCTGATTAGATGTGTAAATCAGAAATGGAAATTTCTAGGTCAACTTGTAGTATGTGCTAAAATCTCAGGATGGAGTTTCCGGTTTTGAAAGTGTATTGATGCAAAGGTGTCAGAAAACCGTAATATTGTATTGTGTCGAACCATTATTAATCGATTTGAATAATGAATAGATTTCGGCATTTTTGAGGGTCATTTATAACGAATCGTTTGCGTGAAAATTAGCCATTGACTGAAGGAGCAAATAACTTGATTTGAAGTCATTAAATTAAATTAAGTTCGAGCTGGTGTAGTTTTCCCCCTGCTCTTTTAATTCGTCGGGGGTGGAAGCTCCCATTAAACCGGATGATGGATGACTTTTCCATTGTCGTCGCTGCTGTTTAAAAATCAATTCAACGCTGCAGCGGCGGAGGGTTTAAAGCGGGTCCAATTCGAATTAGCCAACCCTTTGGGGCACTGATTATCATGTTGGCCGGACCGCAGCGCAAAAAAAAAAAAAAACAAAAGGCACAAAATGAAAACTAAAAGGCCAAAAACCCAAAACACTGAAAACCAGTAAACGGTTCGCGCGCGGTTAACCATGACCCAAATACCCATTTATCTTGACTTCTTTTCGCCTCAGCTGCCGACCGCTGGTCAGAAATCTTCTGCTCTTTTCCAATCCGGTGGCTACCAAACTTATGTAACCGGCCGCAGATGATGAAGCAACATGTGGCAGCAGCAACAGCCAGCCAGCCGCCGCTGGACACGAAAGGTGCCACACTTGGGCGGTACGGGTTGCGTGATTTGCGGCCCGTTTTGGAGCGCTCTGCTAACCCAGCGGTTGCATGGCCAACTGGTTTTCCTTCTGCGTCAGCGTTTTATTCTGGCTGGCTGGGGATTCTCCGGCCCATTTACTCCACTCGAATTGGCACCTTTCGCAAGCTTGTTGTTAACACACAAACTGGATTTAATGTGATCACCTTTGCACAAATCAATTGAGCCGTTTCACCTTTAGCTTGGCAATCGCTGCTCTGGGTTCCTCATTCGATTTTTTGATGAGTTATGATTTAATATTTTTTGCTTGCATTTCTTGAATATTTTCTTTGAATACTTTATTCTTCTGTTAACTGGATTTTCTTTGTTGAACGCTTCCAAGCGTTAATATTTAATTGATATTTAAATGATAAATGATGATATGCGTATTTTCTGTTTATCTAGCAAGGATTTCTTAGCCTTTAAAATTTGTATTTAACTCGCAGTCTTCCGGAACTTTAATTTAGTTTTGTAAAACATTTATTAGATCTCGCAACTTGCTTGTTAACACACCAACTTGATTTATTTGGGGTTGCGTTGTGCACCTAATTAAGAAAACTAATGAGCTCATGTTATCAATTATGACCCAAAATTGTATTGTAAATTTATTCAGTGCCCTTTTAGGCTTTTATTAAGGTTTATTGTGGTTTTATATTGCTTTGCTCCCTTCTATTGTTGGGCCATTTGTTACTTTTTTATAATCTTCCATAAATTATTTAATACACTTTCAAAGCAGCTGCTCCTTTTTAACACGCTTTGATTTAATTTTCAAATATGGTTCAGCTTATTGTTCGTTATAAATTGGATTGTATATGGATTGACAGCCACAAATGCTATCGAACAACGTCTCTTTGGAGGTATAATTATACACATTAATTAAATCTGCTTTTATTTGGTGCTAACTTGTTCGGTTGTTTCACTGATTAATACATCCATTGCATTATTGTTAAATTCTTTCTTGTATTTAGTAACTTGTTCGATTTTTATTTTATGAAAATAGAAACACTTGGCACTAAACCAGGTAAAAATCGGCTTCCTTTATGGGATAAGAATGGATTACTGGGAATTAAGTCGAGCAAATATTCTTGGTTTCCTCTTTCACATGGTATTTATTCTGGCTTTGCGGGGACTATGCCGTCCCTCATTTGCGATCGCACCTTTTGCAACTTGGTTGGTATGGTGTCCAAACTGGTTGGTTGGTGAGGGCTCAATTTGTTTTGATTTGGTTTCAGCAATCACGCACAATAACAAAACACAGATATTCGCTACACTTTTTGGATGGAGACGGTTCCCTAGGACAGAACTGAACCGACCAATCGACCAAACCGACTGACCAACCGACGCAACCAAGCGATCGCGGCGTCCGTTCGCTTGGGCAGGTAACAAACGTCTGAGCCATGGTTTTGGCCATGTTTCACTGCCTGAGCCAGCTCTTGAGCAGCCCGCTCTTGCCCACCATGTCCGCTCTTTCAAAGGTGAGGCCCAGTGGATGTGTGTGAGCGTGCTAAGCGCTTTGTCCGTTTCGCTCTTAGCCATCTCAGCCATCTCAGCCATCTCGGCCATCTCAGCTCTGCGTCAGCGGCGGCAGTGACGGGTATTTGAACTTTGTTTAGCCTTAATGACTGACTGACGGACGGCGATGGATTCGGCTATGGCTGTGGCCATTCGATGGCGATGGCGGTGGCGACTTTGACTGCCGTGTGTTCTTGAGCTTCTGGCCAAGTGCGGATGTGTGTGGCTACGTGCCTGGCATGGGTAGTTAGTGCTAGATACTCCTATCCACTTGTGCACTGAGCATGATTCATTGTTACTTTCATTGCAAAGACTCGGAAACAACTGAATCTGTTCATTTGAATTACATGTGTTTGCTAACTAAAATACAAAAGTAATTGTAAGCTCCATTATGTTTCAAATTAATTTAAATCTGAAAGATACACTAAGCTGTTATTCAACTGGCCTTCAACTTTAATCTCTCTTTATAATTATTTTATAATTATACTATTAATCTAATGGGAAAGGCTGAGCAAATGTTTTAAATACATTTTAGTGACATTTTTTTAAATCAAAAAGTACTGATTTTTGTTTGCCCATGTGCCCACTGTGGTTTATTCCAAGGTATAAGAAATATCACTTTCTATCATTTCCGTTCGAATTAAGATTTGCTTTTTTTTGGTAGTGCACCTATTGACTGACCACCTCTTTATGGCCATCGGAAGAGGGTCAGGTTCTGGCAGACAGTGGCATTGATTGCGCTACGCCTTCAGCATTGATTCCAATTGATTGCCCCGTCTCCTCTGCTCCTCCATTACAGAAAACTGACCAGCAGGAACCGACAGCGCGACTCAGAACTGACGGAGACCTCGACGGAAAGTAAAACGCTGCGCCAGCAGATTGTGGCACTCAAAGCCAGTCGCGATGAGGCAATAGCAGAGAATCGGTGAGCAAAAAAGTCATTAGCGAGGTGAAGATATCATAGAACTGCTTCCGCGCTGAGGCAAATCTCTTTTTTGCCCGATCATTAGGGATTTTTTCTATGGTTTTCGCCATGTACACACATACATATGTAATTTGTTGCCCCACAGTCGGCTGATGGACAAATTGAGCGATGCCCAAGTGGAGGCCAGGACGCTGCAGAAGAAGCTGGAGGAGTCCGAGAAGCAGGTGGTTAACATGAAGCAGCAGCTGCACAAGTACGTCCAGGAGGTCAAGAAGGCCGAGGATTTGCTCACCCAGAAGGTTAGTTGCTTCCTATAACTAGTTCATAAGTCCAAGATCTCGAGTCGGCATACAGGTGTGCTCTAAATTCAAGGATAAGGAGCGCGATGAGATGCTGGATCATTACCAGCACCTAACCCTCGGCCAAGCGACTCTGGAGGGTAATAACCAAAGTCTGGAGTGCGAGGCGGTTGAGTTCAGGTGGGTTTCAAAGTTCTTACTTACCTATCACTTGTAATATATAATCCCAATTACCATCCGCTTTTACGCAGGCGACAGATCTGTGAGCTGGAGTGCGAGGTGCGCAGCCTGCAGGATCAGCTGCATTGTCGCCAGTGTGCACTCGATGATATGGAGGTGCAGCTGACCGCCGCCCGGGCCTCGGTGCGTTGTGTGGAACGGGACCTGGAGAACGCCCGGGACGAGATCCGTGTGCAGAAGGTGGATCTGGAGGCCCGCAAGGAGCTGTGCGATAAGCTGGACGTGGAAAGGAGCAAGCTCAATGCGGAGCTGAATGAAGTGAATGACTTTCGCAAAAAGGTGAGCTTCAGCTCCGGTCCAGACCCGTTTCCGTATCTCTAACCTAGCTAGAACACTCTGCTGTACTCAACTTCGCTTTCTAACAATACTCGTAGCTTTATAGCCGCATAACTGAATAGCGCTTGTGAGTAGCTCTAAACTGTTCGCTATTCATTTTCACATGAATTATGTTCTCTGCAGCTGGTGAAAGAATGCGAAAAACTGCGCGATGAGCTGCAGCAGAGTTTGGCGCTTAATCAGGTCACCACCGAAACCACTGATCTCATGCTCGGGCGCTTGCACAATGACCAGCAGCGTCAGGAAGACGACGACATTAGGTCCAAAAACGAAGTGGACCGACTGCAACGTCAGCTTCAGCAGACTTTGGTAAGTTTGGGCAGTCAAGGGTAACCGCTCCACTTCGGCTTTCCCAATGATAATTGAGTGAGGGCTACAATAGCAGACCACTTAGTTAAATGTATTGCATTTTAATGGCTCCTTAAATACTTACAATGTATTCTATTCCCCAACAGAATCAGTTGCAGGAGGAGCGTGCCCGCTCCAGGCGCCAGGAGGAGCTGGCTGACGAGTTTGAGCAACAGGTAAGCGAGCTGCGCCGAAATCTCGTCGACGATCGCTACAATCAGGCTAGAACCCGCGAGGTTAGTCCCCGGGTGCCACCAAAGACTCTGTAATTCAAAGCAAATTTAACATGCGCTACTTGTTTATTGTGTTAACTCAAATTTAATGTTTTGGCGGGATATCGAAATTGTAAAGATACAAGATTGTTAAAAACTAAATAAAAATTTAATGCAACGACGGCCGCGATTATCTCGGGTCAAGGACTCTCGCTGAATGAAGCCACCTTACTTCTGGCACATGGAGGCCAGGTTCATGTAGGTCTGGTACATGCAGGGACAGCCATTAAACGGAGCTATCCGCATGTGGTTGGCCTGTGGCTGCGACTCCTCGCAGCTGGCGAAGTCATCATCGTAGGCGGACTCAATGCAAGTGTGCTCCGCAGAGCTGCTGGATCCTACGAGGTTACACTACTTATAAGTGCACATTTTGTAATGATATGAAGTATAATTTGAAATAAGTGTTTGTAATTAGGTACCAATAATATGTATTAGTGTAGCAATACTTATATCCGTTTTAAATAACCCATGACCCCTGGCAGAGTTTTGTAATAAGCCGTCGAACAACTTACTGCATGTGGAGCTGTGTTCCGTATAATCCATCTCATCGCCACGCTCTGCCGTGTGGTATTTAAGGGCGCGCTCCCAATCGATTAGACTGCGACAACTTTCCTGCACATGCTGCTCCTTGGTCATGTCCCCTCTCTCGTCTTCAAAGGTCACGGTTCGCGTACGCTTTTCACAGACTGTATCCAGAACTGGAACTTGTCTTGAGGAAGACATACACGATCTTGGGCTATGCTGTTGAGGATGCTTCAAGATCTCGCCTCCATAACGAACACATTCAGGTGGAGCGTCGGTACAGATGGGACAATCCAGCTGGGAGGATTCGTCATCACTCCGAAAACAGTCAATATTGCCGGACATATTTTGAGTATACTGGATTTTATAGCTTTCCTGACACTGACAGCATTGTGACTGAGAACTCGACGATAGAGTTTCAATTGAATTAGCTTGCGCGATCTGAGCACTTTTATGTTGTCTATAAGATTGCGGCGGTGTTCTCGTACTATATGGGGGAGTCTGGATGTGGTAGTCATCATGCGATTGCTGCACTTCTCTTGGTGTTCTGGGACTACCTTGCCGGCAATCCAACACCCTATGGACATAATCGTAATCTAAACCGGAAACCATTGACATCAAAGAAGAGTTTTGGAATTGAGATGGCGTTGGTGATGCAGAATACTGTCCTTCGCGGCACACTTGAGAGGCTTTGTTCATCCCGATCTGCCTCTCTGTTTGCGTGGGACTCTCCCGACACGGACACTCCGTCTGGGTGTTCTTTGTTTCCCTTTGGACATGTCCAGCCGAAGGATATTGAAGAGCTATCGAGGCATAGCTGGTGGGTCCTCTGCTTTGTGGTGTAACTGATCGCTGAACTGGATGGGTTCTTTTTTGCCCATCACCCTTTTCGCAAAGCTCCCGCCTTTCCTGTCTTATTGCTTCACAATTACTGTCCCTGGACCTTAGGAACTTGGATTGCTGGGCATGCGTGCGATTGGCATTTGTGGACTCACCGCTTTTTTGAAAGTTTCTTTCGCCCTGGAGCTTAACCTCCTTTGAGTCACCTCGCTGGTGGGTGATGTACTCCCATTCCTGATTGGTATAGGAATCCTTTTCCTCACAGCACTGATAGGGACCACTATCCGGAGTTGAAATGGCCGATCCCAAATCGTCCAATTGGTAGTGAGCAGTAATTTCTTTGTAGTGTAAGCAATCAAGTTCAGTTTCACCTTCTAATGAATCTGAGCTGCCATTCTCCGCATACTGTTCCTTTATCCTATCTGAATCAGTCCGAGGAGTGGAATCCTTAGGTTTTCTTAGTGCCATTTCGTCCATTTCCGACTTGATTTCCTCCTTAACTGCCACTCTTGTGTATGTGGGATTCGGCTGTAGAGGCTTGCAGTTTTGTTGTTTATACAGATCCAAATACTCCTGGTAATTTCGCGCCTTGGTCTCATCCGTCAGTTCCTCTGGGCAAAACTTGGATGGTTGAGCTTTACTGGTGATTTCCTTCGAGGCCAGAAAACTAATGTCGTTCGGCTTGCATTTTTTTTGGTCATGATCCTTGGAAGACTCGTGCACTTTCTTCTGTCCAATTTTGATTGGTTTTTCAGGTTTTCTTGCTTTATTGACAGCTGGTGAAGTCGTGCCCATGGAGGTAGTTTCCCTCTTAGCATTAGAATCCAGTTTTTTATAATTTGTGGACTTTCCAATTCTAGCGGGATTTCTTTTATCCGGCGCTTTAGCCTGAGCTGAACCATCCTTGCGCTCCTTGGGTGATAAAGCACGCTCGACTACTGGCCGCCAGTTGCGGCAGAATGCCTCCGTATTTAGGTCGGTCACAAATCTTCGGCAATTTTGACGCGGAAAGATATTATAGGGTATGCCAAACTGGGTACCCCTATGCGATGACATCTCTCCATAGAGACCACCGCAAGCACAGAACTGTTGATGACACCCCATGTCGCAGTTGCCGGTGTAGTTGCAGCAATGACAAGTTCCATAGCTGTTTTGGTACACAGTTTGGTGCTTAAGAGCCCCATATCCACAGTCACAGCAGCAGCAACCTCCACTGACCCGTTCAGCGACGCTCGGAGAATCACTCCTGACAGCGACTGCGATGGTGCGGCACTTGGCCCACTTGCCTTTCCGCTGGGCACCGGATGCAGGACTCCTGGCGATGGACAGGGCACTCTCTTTGGCTTGATTCGCCTTCAAACTCTGGCTCCAAGTCAGGTTCTTCACCTTCGCCTTCTCGGGACTCGCAGAGCGGCTCATGGCGTCCTTGACTTCGAGGAAATGATTGCGAAAGCGCCCCAACTTATACAACTCATTGCCGATCCTCTGGTTTAGGCTTTCCACCTTCTGGCGCGTCTGTTGGATTTTCTCAAAGGAAGATACGCTCTCTACCTTCGGATTTTTCGAGGCGGAACCGGAAACTCCAGCCAGCGGACGGCGGTAGAGTTCCCTTACCTTGGTCTGCGTATTCCTGATGTAAGTCCGTTGGTGTCCCTCGACCGAGACTCGCTCCTGTCGTTTCAGTAAATAACTGGGACCTGTGAAATATATTCATTGATACATCATTTTCGACAGCTTTTATATGGTCTGCCTACATTTACTGGTTTTGTTCTCCATTGACTTTTCATAGGCGGGCTCGCAATCAATACACACAGAAAATATATTCGTTTTGATATCATCGGTATTTTTCTTTGATGTTTAAGGCTGTGCTTATTGATTTGAAGTGATACAATTGCTATTAATTTCTCATACAAAACGAATTACAAGAAGCAGCAACGATTTCTGAACATACCACTCCCATAAGAAAGAAAAACTTATGTTGTTTAGATTATTATTAATTTACGTACAATTTACACTAATAATTTCGTTTTATCTCTTAGAATTGACATGGATAATGCCGGGGATTTGGTACGCGTTGACTTTAATGGGAAAAGTGTATTGCAAAATAGATGTATGCTAAAAAATCATAACGTTCAACAACTCCTAATTAACTACAATTAACCTAAGTATTACAGTTATTCAACAGTTTTACAGACGTTTCTTCGAAAGAATAAATACAAATACTATTGCAGGCCAAGATCAAAGGGATTGGATCGGCAACTGGAACTCGAACTGGGTTGCATGTGGGCTTCCTAAACTAATTCCTTCGACGACGCATATGTCTCTGACCCTCCGGCACTGAAGGAGCTGCTGGACAGGGGTGTGCTGACATCGCGGCTTTCTCCATTGAGCAAGTACACCGGCACGTGACTGGTCACCAGTTCCAGGTTGTGGGACGGCGAAAGTATCGCAGTGCTGTCTTCGTCCTCGGCCACGCGAATGGGAGCAGCAATCTCCAATTCGTTGCCCACCTCGGGCACCAAGTCCTGGTCGAAATCGTAGGCGGGCTCTGGTGTCGGCTCGGCAACTGGTTCGACTAGCTGTTCATCTGGAGCCGGCTCTGGTTGAATAGGAGAGGTATCTAGTGCGGGCTCTGCCTCAAATTCGAACGGGTAATCTATGAGCCACTGCACCTTTTTCTTACTCTTTCGGTGCGTCCAACAAGGGCGCTTGAATCGCCGTCTTCGCTTTTTCCTTTTGCCATTCAGTGTTGGCATAATTTGCTTGTCCAACTGCTCGTGACACAGTGACTGTTGCTCTTCCTGCTCCTCTGGCTGCTCCTTCAACAGCTGTTGATCCGTTTCCTGTTGCTGATCTTCCACTGAATGCTCATTGTGATTTTGATCTTCCGCTTCCTGGGCATCCTCTTCTACCAGAGGTTGCTCTTTCTCTGCCAAGTTTATGTTCTCAACATGAAGATGTGTTTCCTCCGGCGGTTGTTGATCCTCTAACAGTCGTGCTTCCTCGTGCGCCTCTGGTTCATCATCCATATGGTGATGCTCTTCCTCGTGATGCATCGCCAATTGATGTTGCTCCTGTAGCAGCTGCTCTTCCAGAAACTGTTGATGCTCCAGGTCGAGCTCTCGTTCCTGCTCAATTGGCGCTTCAGGAGCGTGGTGTTTCTCCCTATTCTCTTCCTTCTCTTCATTCATTTGATTTGGAGATGATATAATTTCTTGTTCCTGCTTTGTTCCGCTTTCTAGCTCCTTTTGCACTTTTTTGTGCCGCTTTCTTTTAGGCTTCTGCACCTTCGTTTGTTCATGTACCTCTTCATCAGAATTCTTACATCTTATACCCTCTTGGACAGTAGGAGCTTCTTCAGCTCTTTGTGAACGTATCCGGCTATTGAGATTACAACGTTTCAGTCTTATTATAGGCAATTTATGCGGCGCAGAATTCTTAATGGTCTCGAGATCCTGCTCCAGTTGCTGTACTTCCTTTTTCCGCTTTGCATTTAAGCGGCGAAGCTTCCGACAGCGCTTTGTGGCCTGCTTGAGCATACTAAGCTTATCGTCATTCTTTTGCACCTTTTGGCTGACTCTTCTATTCTTTTTCTTTTTCTGATTATTTAACCTACGTTGTCGGATATTTTCGCGCTGCAGGGTTAGCAGGTGATTGTAGTAGCTGGCTTCATCGCCCGCTGCCTTGGAGAAAAGGCGCCGACTGAAATCCAAGTCGGCGTTTGAGTTATGGCTGTCATTGTACGCACTTCGTATCTGGCAGGGACTACTCGAACTGTGCGTTGAAGCTGGCGGCGTGGGCAACGCCACTCTTTGTCCTCGTTGCGTGTTCCGGATGCGGGTGGGTGTAGCCGAGATCTTTGTGGGTGTGCTACTGGAGGCGTTGCTAGTGGTAGGCGTTAGCTGACTGACAGATACATTCACAGCTTCATTCCTGGCTTTGATCTTGGCGTCCAGTTTAGCGAACATTTTCGCACTGGCCTTTCGGTGCTCTGCCAGGATACAAAAGTTCGATCATTTGTGCTATATTTTTATATATATTTATTGTTCCTTACCTTCTTTCCACCGATGTGATTCTGTGCCATTGGACGAAGATGGCTTGTACTGCTTAATGGATGGCTTCTTGGATGCCCCCATCTTGGCGTTCGGGGTAGTCGCGCCCAAGTGCCGGGGACTGAAGGTAACCTGTTTCTTGAGCAGAGAAGACTCGCTACAGTTGCTGTTTTGACTAGAAGTTTGACGGCAGTGGTAAAGTGGGGTTCGCTGTCCGCTGGCATCGCTGGCATTGCTGCTTCGCGGGAAGAAGCCGTGGCTGTGGGCGCCTGAGTATGGGTCATCTTCCGCCAGATCCGGCTCCTCGTCGTCCAACGTTTGCACACACTGATCTACAAGATGTGGCGCCGTTGTGGACACCAAATGGAGACTATCACGGCGGCAACTATAGCTGTTTACAATCCGTGGGACAGTGTAGGTAGTGGGTGGAAGCACAGCCCTTTCGTAAGTCCGCAGGTTGCTGGGATATATGCGAGTGACCGGCACGGAGTCGTCCTCACCAAGGATCGTTGTGGATGTCTGATTAGCCGAATCGTTTGAGTTGGAGTTCGAGTTGATGCCATCCACGTTGGCAGGCACATTAAAGTTAACCGAAAACATCTCCACATCATCGTCAGAGTCGCGCAGTTCCACGATCTCTATCGAGTTGTCAATGCCGCTAAACAGAGCATTGGCCCTCTTGCACGGCTCCAGCTGGCGAGCATTCTGGCAGAGATTCTGCAGGAAAACGGGCGGGTGATTGTTAATTGATGATGTCGGCGTACCAGATATGTCCCACATCGGGCAGCTGTCCTCGTCATCAGAGCTAAGAACCTGTGCAAAAGATCACCAAAAAATATTACAATATTTGTTTGAAATCAATGCCCTTATAAACAATAAAAGTGCTCGGGCACTCAGTTGAGGTTGAAGTCATTTTGGGACAGCGAAGAGGAGCCAGCGACTGCCCGTCACGCGACTAACTGCGCCGGCGGTGGCTTTTGCCCCACCCGCTTGTCCGAATCAGACCTTTTACTAAAACATCATAGTTAAGCCAATACGAGCAACATAGTGATTTTTGGATGCATATTAAAGTTTCACGGTGTTGATAAGTTTGGTTTGAAATCATTGAAAGAAGATTTGCATGAAAGTGAAAGTAGCAAACTAACCACTTCGTTGGACTGGGGCGGTCGGTTGTCCACCTTGCTGACGACATGCAAACTGGTGCAACTGCTCATCCGCAGATGATTCAATATGGTGCGCGTGGCCGCATTCTGGTCCGTAAACTTTGGCAAGTAGTGGGCATAGACACTTTTTATGGCCAGTGATCTTGAGGGTCTCATAAACTTTTCAGCGAACTCCACGATGCGCTCCTTGACTGCCTCATCCGACTCCAGGCGCTGCCAGTAGTAAAATATGAGTATGTATTCAATGTAGAGTTTATCTGGCAGTTCTGCTTGAATCATAACGCTTGGCATGGACCAGTGGGGAAAGAGGCGGCTGCAAAAGAAGGAAAAGATTATTGAAATGCGATGCGAAAAATATACGAAAGCCAAATACATAAAATTTAAGTTTAATTCTTAAAAGACAATGGAAAAGATTTTCAAGAGCTGTTAATAATTTTAAAGTGGTGTTAAATATTAAATAATAATAAGTATTGACAATTAAATAAACCCGTATGTTTACTTTTTTAAAGAAGAAGTTTCAACATTTCACTTCAAATTAATGGCTTGTCGGTTCATTAATTAGCTCTTGTAAACAAAGCAAGGAGAGATCCGTCGATAAGAAGCTGAAAACTATTTGATTGTACACTATACCTGACTCATTGGATGAGTAGATGCCATACAAGTGCAAATTAAATAGTAAATAGTTGCCAAATGTTATCCACTTGAGTTGAACGAGACCACCTACCTGTACAGCATGGACAAAATGCTAGCTCTGTTGAAGAGCTTGGGTGCAGCGAGGAGAGTGCGCAGCACGTGCTCCCGGTGGACGCCGGCGCCACCATCTCCGTACTCCACATAGAGCTTCAGGCAGCTGTTGATCCGGTTGATGATGATCTCCTCCTTTTCCACCGGCTCCTGTGCGGAGCAGAGTTCGCAGGATATGTAGAAGCCAACAATATTGCACATGCGTTGCCTGTATCCCTCGTCCCGCTGCAGCGCTCGTCCCTGAACCATGGTGTGGATGACATCGGTGAGACCGGTTAGGATTCGCGCCAGCTTGCGGCATTTCAGGGGCAAATACTGTGCCCGCTCGAACTCTTCCCGAATGGCACTGAAAGGTTAATTGGTTTGTGTATTAGTGTGGAGTACCTGCTTCAATATGCATGTGTATCTGTGCTTACCCCTCGTACTGCATGAGCAACCGGGCCATCCGCTTATCGAAGCTATCATCATTCAAAGCAGCAATGGCATCGTGAATCTTCCGTCGCGTCTCATTCAAATGGCCAAACTCAGGTTCCGGCTCCGGCTCTGTCTGCGAATCCGGTTCGTTGCTTTCCGGCTCCCGCCCCGGATCCGGCGATGTACACTCGGTATCATCGGCATTGGCCAAAGTGCTGACCTTGTCGTATTCGTCCAGCGTGCTGCCGCTGTTCCGCTTACGGTTCCTGACCGAGCAGCTCATGGTGCTACCTACCAACGGAGAAAAGCATTTGAAGAGTAGTATAAATGCAAATGGATGAAATCGAACAGGGCCAAAATAACTCGTTGTTGTTGCAGTGAAAGTCGGAGCGCCCCCTTCGCCCCTCCGACCTAAACGCATAAATGACCAAAAACTGAAAGACATACCAAAAATTGTGTATTTGTGCCAAGAAGAACGCTCTACACGGGCAATTTCGATGTGCCGCGGTAAGTCACTAACGCACTGCACACCTGAGCGGATCCAAACATATTATCTTTGTAATATGTGCACTGTTTATATATACTTTTTGTATTTCGAGCAGGAGCAGTACCGATTAAGAGCTTCGTCGGATGAATATTGCGTTCATGCGGTGCGTAGATGCCGTTAATCGCACATCGTGATTTCTCAATTTTCATGATGTGGTTCAGGACTCGGCGCTCTTTGTTTTCCTTTCTGAATTAAACACTAGCTGATAAGCTGGCACGTGTGCTTTATTCCCATGTGTGATTCGCGAGCTCGCCGCACGTAATTATCGAAAAATTCAAGTGCAACTTTTGATGGTTTCATCTCAATGCGCAATTCAGGACAACGTGGAAACGAAACAGCAGATGCCGTCTTTTTGGCAGTGTTGGAGAACGTCGTCCTGTTGCCGATACACGTACACGGATTCAGGTATTTCACGCGATAATAGTAATTTGACTTTTCATCGTTTCGATACAAAAGCAAATTGCCAGAATAAATTTCACAAGATACTATTACTATTTTAAATTTACAATTTACAATAAAATTTAAAATATATAAAAGGTATTTCTTCACAGTATTTATTTATAGCTATTACTATCTATTATCTGTATTCGTAACGCAATTAACAAATAGTTTGTTTTATTTCATTGTTATATTTAATTTTTTTAAGAAAATTTTGTAAGTTCATTAAATCAGTATATGCTACTGTATAAACAGGAAATTTGAAATATGAGAACAGTACATAATTTTCGAAGTTACACAGCACTACCCAAACTGTTAGTCCTCGGTATCTAGTATCGATATTTTTATCAACTATCGAAACAACAAAACCACACATTTTAAGCATTTTTGTATTATTTAAACATTTGTAGTATATTCCTTTTAAAAATATCACTATTATTTCACAAAACAAGATCTGGCTTTAAAAATTCTCAAGAGAGTGCTAATTTCGATAGCCTTAAGAAGGCGGCAAATTTAAATTCGATGACTAATCTCAAACTGAACTAATCGGACTTTTGAAGTAGAATCTGCATCACTTAAGAATATCAATGCAGTTGATAAATGATTGGAAAAATACTGCGGAAAATATATTCTTATAAAGTGTACACATCCAATTCGTAACCTTACCAATAAATTCATTTACAACCTTAAAAAGGATTTTAGATATTCCATCCGTACCCTTAAAAAACAATGTCTTTGTTTTAATGTTGTTACCAACTTTATTTGTTACGTTCTTAATCAGTTCTTTCAATGATTCTAAAAATTCCAAAACAGAAAACTTATAGAATTACATATTAAATTTTATCGTTTTCTTTAATTCTTCATTAAAACTGAATTTTAAGTTCATGCAATCAACGCGCAGTGGGCGCTTAGAATCTGCGTCGCAAGTGTACTACATACAACGGAAGTATGCGAATAAAAAACCGTGGGCGGGCAAAAAGCTTCGATGGCTGCACTGGCGACCAGCTGACCCCATTGAACGACTGATAAAAACTCAACCGCCGAATGGGGAAACTCCGGAGGCCCACGTGCGCCGAAGCTTTAGAAGTAAACTACAGAATGTACGTTGCTAGTTGTGGCTTTTTGTTGTTTGTTACGCGGATGTTTCTGTTCATAGTTGTTGGATTTTTGTGTGTGTAGATGTGTTTGGGTGTGTGGTAATTGTTGGATTTACAACTCGTCCTTCTTGGGCGCCTCCTCCTCCTCCTCGGTCTCCTCTACGGGCTCGGAATCGGCCACCTCACCGTTGGCATCGAGGAACTTGACGAAATCATCGAGAGTCCTGTCCAGGTTGAAGTCGATGACCTTGTTGTCCTCCTTGCGGAAGTACTTGATTGTGGGGAAGGACGAGATCTTAATGCTCTCCAGCTCGTTGGCAGTGGAGTCCATCTTGGCAATGACAATGTCCTCATTGTCCTTGTACTTCTCGGCCAGCTGGTCGTAGATGGGGGCCAGCTGCTTGCAATGTCCGCACCATGGGGCGTAGAACTCAACCAGCACGCTCTTGCTCTTGTCCAGGGCAACGCTCTCAAAGTTGCTGGAGACCAGCACCTTGACGGGGTTCTTGTCCCAGTCCTCGGGCAGCTCCTGGGAGAGCAGATGCTGCTTCAGCTTGCCGTCCAGGAACTTCTTGAGGAAGGCCTCGATGGTCTCGGCGGACAGATCGTTCGACTCGGGCTTGTACTTGGCCATGTCCTCTTCCAGCTTGATCAGACGGATGGTGGGCACCTCCTCCTTGTTCATGCCGAAGAACTCGAAGATGCGGGTGTGGTCTTCCTCATCGGACGAGATGGTCACGAACAGGATGTCGTCACGGTACTGCTTGGCGATCTCCTTCAGGGGATCGACGTACTTCTCAATATGGCCGGCCTCCCTGGACACGAAGAACAGCAGATGCGACTTGATCGAGCCACCGAAGATCTTGGAAGCAGATTCGTGGTTGAAGTCAACGATCAGTGGCAGAGACTGCACCTGGGCGAACTTCTTCAGGTTTTCCTCGGTCAGCTCACCCTCGAACACGGACTTCTTGTCGTCGAAGGGCTTGAACAGAATCACTCCATTGTCCTTAGCCTCGTATTTGGCAATCACATCGGCATTGCTGCTCACACCGAAAACGAACGAGTCCAGGGCGTTGGCGGCCTTGGTGAAGGTCTTGGCCTCCTCCGATTCCAGGTCATTGAAGAATCCAATGATGGCGATCTCGTTGTCCTTGAGGAACTGCTCGGCATCAGCGACGCTGGTCAAATCCTTGGCTGGTGGGCCGGTCTTCTTGGTCACCCAGGCAATGATGTCAGCAGCCTGGCGGCCACCGCTGTACTCCACGGGAATGCCGCTGCGGAAGAACTTCAGAGTGGGGTAGCCACGGACGGCGTACTGCTCGGCCAGCTCACCCTCGACGGTGGCATCGACCTTGGCCAGCTTGATGGGCGACTCCTTCTCGGCCAGCTGCTGGGCAGCCTTGGCGTACTCGGGAGCCAGAGCCTTGCAGTGTCCGCACCATGGGGCGTCTGTAAAGATCGAGAAAAGAATCCACAGTTAGTCAACGAAAGAATTTTTGTTAGACTTGGTAGAGCTTATAAACTGGTTTGCAATTAGGCCAATTAAAATAAGGTAAAACGGCATAAGTTCTAGAAGTAAATAACAAGAGCATTAATTGCTTCCAGATTTATATTTTGTCGAGTTCATCATGATGTGACCTACACGTATGCTATTAACTATTTATAGATGCCAACAATATATAATTTATTTGATTTTAATTGAAGTGTAAAGCATTTGGCTTGACTTATAAATTGTAGAATGGGCATGAAAAGTAATTTTATTGTTTAATGTATTTTTATTTCAGAATTAGGTTAATAAAAATTATAAAATTTGTTGACAAAACAGACTTTTGTATTATGATTTATGAAGAACCACATAAGCTTAAATTATTCAAATTGTACTATGTAGACCGTGAAATGGCACAAATTCGATTTATTAATTAAATTAAAATATTCACTGACTGGCCTAAATTTGTAGAAAATGGATTAAATCTGATTGAATTAACAAACGGATGATAATCATTCGAAGTCTTCCTAAGTTTCTATGGTATGTAAATTAATCGTCATTTTTAAGACAATGCACCGCTCAAATGCTTTCGCAGTTGCAGATTATAATTCTATAGCCTCTGCTTTGAATAGTAAGCCGAGTGAAAGCGACAATTATGCGCTCGATTTGCCACGGATGTGGGGCAGGGCCCCTAGGAATGAGCACTCTATAACATCCAGCATATGTTGGCATTATGCAAATTCCACGTGTTGAATTCCCAATGCCCAAGTGCAGCTCCTCGGAGCCACGAAAGCAATTAGGTACGCATCCACGCTCTCGAATTTGAATGAAAACGGGGGGGCACCAGCTGTGGAAGATGAGATGACATAATGCCCGGCTTGACAACGTCCACAATCGGGATTGTCGTAATATATGTATGTACATATTGAATGCCGTCTTATCGCCGGCTTCTTGCGACTTGGCTATAGCTGCGGCTGACGTGGCCCTGGCATTGGTTCCGCTTCCACGAAGATCTTTTCTGTTCTCTACTGGAGATAAGAGCTCAGCCTTGGAGGTGCAGGGTGACGTTGTCACCACCTCCAAAACAAAAAAAAAAAAAAAAACAGGTGCAAAAGTTAATTAAGCAAACACCGCGAGAAACGCTGGCATAAACAAACCCACAAGTCCGCCATATTGCTGCTTCCCAAAGATGCCAGGCTAGCATTTCTGGCGGTTTAAGGCTGAGCGCAGAATTTTTGGTACTTTTTTAGTATCTCTGATTTACGCTTATCGCTGGAGTGTTTTTCACGCTTGCTAGATAAGAAGATCGATTTTTTTCGAGTTGTCAGTAGAAGAACATAAAACTTCATTGAAGATTATGGGCCACCGTGGCGGTTGCCTAGTGATTTTCTTTTTTTTTTTTTAATATCTTAAGGCTTATAACGGCCCCAAAGTATTCTTAAACTATTTTGTTTTATCTAAAAATGTCAAAGTTGACAAATCGCTTGGAAAATATATGTACAAATAACAAATTAAGTTAAAGATTTGTGTAATTACTTTTTCTGTTTTGTGTTTAAACTCAATGTCTAGAAAATATGTTAAGTTCTGTGTAATTAGTTTTTCTGTGTGTTCACACATTACAATGTATCAAAATGTAAGCTTTTGGTTAACATTGAAAGCCAATTATAGATCTTTGACACATACGAAAAATAAAAATAAAAAGATATTTCATACAGTTATAATAAACAGATCTCCCTTTTCAAATGTACTTTTTGCAGTGTTCGTTTTTATTTATTTTACAACAGTTTCCCTGTTACCCAAATCTGGCAACTGTCTAGCTAATTTCCCCGCTAACTAATCTGTTGCTCGTGCAGAGCATCACTGGCGACGCAACACCGTTAGGCACGCGCAGAGAAAGAGTTGAATGAACTTTCCAATGCGTGGCCGTTGCGCCGCCGTGGAAATAGGGACCGAAACCAGATTGTAAGTGAGAATTAGAACCAAAAAATCCAAAAAGAACAAAAGAAAGCAAATAGCGAATAAAAAGTGGTTTGGTTAGCTTAGGCTAACCTAGATTCGTGGGAGGAGGAAAGAAGAGTTGCCCGACAACTCTTTGTTGCCTTTTGTTTCCATTAGAGATTCTCATTCGGAGATATTGAAGCGGATGTGTGGATATGCTGTGGCCACGCCCCACGGGCTCAAAGTTAAAACAATAACTAGTAATGTCGATAAAACATGAAGCATACGCTGCGCACAACTCTTTGTTTCCTTTGGCATTTAGCATTTGCAAGAATACGAAATTATAGCAGGTTTATGGCGACAACAATAACAAGTAGTGCTGCAATATAAGGCTACATATAAGGCCCTCTCGCTCGCGTGCACAGGTGCGAAAAAGAGATGGCACTTGCGTTTGAGAGAGCGCGCTCCTCCCCGCCCTTCTCTAACGACACTAAAGATGACGCGAGAGAGATAAAAACGGTTAAACAAACGATAATTTGCTGGAAAATCAACTAAACAAATTTTCCAGGCCGCCGATTGGAACTAGTCCGTCAGTTGGCCGATTAATCAACTAGGATTTGCCGTGCAACATGATATTCCAGATTTCCAGTCAACAACAACTGCCACGCAGACAGATTTTCTGTGACGCTTTGAAAGACCACGTAGCCGCTAAACCGCATGAATCAGCGGGTGCGAGCGAGAGGGCGCTAGCGGCCGGCGCATTTCGCATTTTGATATTCGATTTTTGCCACATTTTGTTGAGATTTTCGTGCCTTATTTTTGATCTATGCATGTACTTACAGAACTCGACCAGCACGAACTCGTTGTCGGCAATCAGCTGCTTGAAATTGTCCACAGTCGCCACCAGAACGCCCTCCTCAACTTTAACCTCCGCCTCGGCGGAAGCGGCCACGTAGGACGCCGCCAGGAAAAGTGCACAGATCAGGAATTTCATCGCGGGCACTCGTCGTCGTTTGATATTTTATGAATTTATTGCCCTGTGTGGGTGCAGCACACTCGCCAACCAAAACTGGGATTCGAACTGCGCTGAACTTGCCCGGTTGCAAGTAGAAATTCAAATGAATTCGAGTCACAGTGAATCGCAGAGATATATACATATATAGCTGAATTTAATGAGGCATTTTTGGTATTTCTTGACATTTTCCGATACATTTTGTTAATATATCGATATGTGCCGGTATTCAACTGTAGGTGGCGCTTGCGTGCCCGGAAGTCTGGCAATACACGAAGTATTTCAATTTAAATCTATTTTATATACATATTTGCATTTTAATTTATTGCTAATTATTTTTTTATTATTATTCAATTTATTTTTTCAATTTAGGGGGTTCTTTAACTTTAATACAGGTTCAAATATTTTAAAACCTGAATAGTATTGTATTACACTTGATTTAACTTAAAAGGCAATTTGTAAAAACATTAAAATTGTTTTGTTTAATTTGATTAAAAACGTATTACGTCATCCAATAAAGTCATTTACCTTTAAAAGTTAAAGACGACCGGTGTTGTACAAACGTGTTTAATTATTATTGCAGTTGTATTGCCTTTCTGTTTCATTGTAATATAAAGTAAATATGCATTATTGTATCTTAAAAAAATAAAACTCCTTTGTTAAACAAAGGACAGACATTGGAAGAATATCATGCGGAAGTCAGGAGTCAAAAGCAACCACCTGTTGAACGCATTGTTCGACTATACTAAAAAGTATTTCCGAAGTCTTAACACTACTAAAAGGCTTATCAATAGGTGGTACATGGACGAACAGGCTACGTTTGCGGTCCATATCGAGCGACTTCAGATAGATATAGCCGCAGAGGAAGTCACCCACATTTTTGGATGCCTTTGTGGCGCTCGGGGTTTTGAGATTATCATTATGAGGCTGCTGCGTGGGTGCCACACAATCGGCGCAGTTCTCATTTACAACCGCCACAATCTTATCTACATCTAATTCTGTCTTCAAGACATTTGCGTGTCCATTGTTTTGGAGTTCGCAGCTACCGTTGGCCAGTTTTTTATCACAATTATCAGCTCTTCGAAACTTGTGATTGTACGCCAGTTTCTCGATGTAGACACATTTGGCAACGCCCGAAACACCGACATGGATGACCAGCTGTTTTTTTGGAAGAAAAATGATATCATTTAGCTTTCTATCTATTTATGGTTCAATTGCGATTCCTACATATGGCTGACGTTTCCAAATCTCTGTCACTGACTCGTCCACAGCCCCATATTCCACCGAAACCAATCGCTTTTCCAGATCATATTCCATGCCATCGTGCGTTATGATATCTGGCAAGAGTTGCACAGCTTCCCAGCTGGCGTTGACCGTTTCATGGCCAAGGAATGGCCCAAATCCGGACACCACAATGAGCTTTCGATCCGACGACGCCATAACAAACACTCCAACTAAACTGAACCGCCCACCCCAACAAAACTATCTTAGATACCATATGATTGCTACCTTCTTCTTCTTCTTCACTCTTTTAATTGTGGTTTTCCAACTGTCCGCTTCCATTGGTACCAGTGATGCCAATTTAGCCTTTTTCCGGACAGATCTGTCCTGTTTTTTACTGCTTCATCGGGAAAAATGTGAAACAGCCCCACACGGAAATCTGTCCGTTTTTTAGAATTTTTAAATATTTTTTATGAATAAATATTTTAATAAAAATATTATAACATTTCAAACATTATTATATTTATAAATCAAGAGTTAAGATGACGAGATAAATATCGATGTAGGTCGTACCTTTATCGAAATATCGATATAATGGTAGTTTTAACATGAAAAATGTCTGCGCTTGGACGTGTATAAACTGAAAAATTGAATTTCTTCGAAAACTGTGAATCCAATTTATAAATGACAGAATTTTTGAGCTACCGTGCAACTTGGAACACGGGTTGTGAGCGGAGCAATAAATATTTGAAGTATTTTTGTCAATAAAGCGGTTCTTCACATGGATTTTCCTGTGGTTCTAGTACTAGAAAAGGCGGCATTTTTAAATCCCTTTAAACTCCAACAAAGATATTTTAAAACTGCTTGGAAATATCGATAGAAAGTGGAACTTAATAAATTCAAAACATTTCCAAAAAAGTGGGCGCACAGTTTTGCACAGGTTGTGGGCGTGGTAATCTTCTCAGGCAAGATTGGCGCTGTGTCTGCTTCACTAGAATCAGCATCCCTATTCTCATACGGATTAAGACCAAGACATAATTTATCATATTTTATCATATACATTGCCTTTTCTTATCCTGGCAGATCACCGGGACCCGCTTCACATTAGTGAAAGAGACAGGTAGGGTCGAGGAAATAAACAATTTATGATCTCTAATATTAAAAGTGGCATTTCAGACACACACACAAAAGGATTGGCAACGGCTCGGACAAACAGTACATATCCAAACAATATTTAATTTAATTTCAAGGCCATAAGTATACATATGTATGTATGTACATATATCTACATTGTTTTACATTCGACAAACGTAAAATACATGTCACTTATATGCACTTACTACACACGTAGTAAGCATCTCCAAAAAGTAAGCAATAAATTATACTAACTTTTTGATCTTAAAATTGCTTGTAAAAAGTACGGCAAAATTTATTTTGTTTAATTTATTGAATGAAACAAATCGTATATACAAAAGGCTAGGCTCTATCTACCTGTTCTTCAAGGTCACCAAAAATTGAAATGGGTTTCTTGCTTGTTTGTTGACTGCCGGTTAAAAGAAGATCAAATGCTTAAATTAAAAACATTTTTGTAATAATCCTCCTGCATCGAAACATTAATAATCCTTCTGAATCGAAAAACTCAAACATATTTAAATCGTTGTTGTTTCGAATTCCCATTTTTAATTTACGAGGGACAATAAATGTGTACAACTTTAATTGTGCAAAAAACGTAAATATACTGGTGTAGAATAGTTACTACAGATACGTTTACACAAAAACAAGTTGACGTTCAAATGCGTCTCTTAGCGTATTAAAGTATTTGCCCGCTCGGCGACACTCTACCTCTCTCGCTCCCACAGACCCACAGACAACGACAACTTATCAGATATTTTCCCATGTCCAGGGCTTAAAAGAGTGAGAGAGAGAGTGAGTGAGGTAGAGAGAGGGAGTGAGAGAGGAGAACGCGAAAGAAAATCGTTTGGGTTTGGTTTTTGGTTTTGGTAGCATTCGCATATTAGTCGTCGAACGCAGAGCAACATATTCATAAAAAGTGGTCTAGCCAACGAGTCTATAGATGTTATTTTCGACGCGGTGGTGGAAATTATGAAATAATCGCTTACGGGTGTGCTAAAAGAGAAACGGCGTGATCAGATCTTCAGATATACCAAGACTATCTATACCATATAGATCCCCAACCATGGCGACCGAAACTACAAAAATGGTAAGTTCGATTTTAAGTCCGTGGTAATTATATATGTATAATATATAATAGGTGTTGTTAGGCTTTCACTTGTGACTAGTGGCTTGCAGGTGGGAATTTGGGAACGTGGCAGTGTTCTTCGTGTTTTTCGGTTAATTGCTTTTCGTTGACCTTGAACTCGCCGCCTTAATGCCCGGCAAGCCCCTAGTACTTTTGACGGCTTTTCGTAACGAACCTTTGAGATCCGATTGAAAACCTGGATTCGAGTTTGACTAGCGCGTGGCAATCGGGTTAGGTAAGAGAGCGTTATGTAAACAAAATCCTAAATCAGGTATTTTATTGATTTTGAAATGATTTTGAGATCAGTTGTGCTTAGCAGTTTTTGAGATTTTTGAAATATTTTCCACTCCCATTAATATTACGTAGTTATATAAATGCACTTCTATTCGTTTTGCTCTCTTATTCAGCAGCTTGTTTGAGTGCTCAATCTATAAAGTGTCGTCATACTATTTGCACACCCACTTAACAACCGATGACCAGTTTTTTTTTATTCTGCTGGTATGATATCTCAATTTCGCCATCTGTTATCTAACTGAAGAAGCCCACTTTTGTGCAAATCTTCGGAAGTGACACCGCCTTCTTCCCCCCATTCTTGCCATACATTTGTACATATTATCTATCTCGTGTGTGGACAACCACCTGACCGAAAAACTGGATGACGACACCGAACGATAACAATATGTACAAAATTATTCAGATTCAGCAAAATAATTAAACGGGCCGCGGGTTTCTCAAGGCAATTAGTGGAAAGGCTTAAGAGCGCTTAACTTTTTTGCGAACCCGCCACAATTCCTCATTTTATTAAGGAGCAAATTTAAACACGTGCGATAACGTTCATTCAGGAATTTCCAGAGCCACGCGGATTGCAAACAGACTTTATGGAACCTAGAAATTTCAGCTAATATTTAGACAGAAGCTGCTTGAAGTGTTTAGACAGGGATGTCATTATAGATACATATATTATATTATCTGCAAAGCGCATGATTATCAGTATACTTCGTTTGCACATCTTTCTGATATTATATGTAAACAATGTTTTATTGACACAACGTAAATCCAACAATTGAACTTATTTTCGGTAATGAATGAACATGAAATAGATACAGCTGATAAATGGATTATACGTTTGTGAAACCTGTTGTGTTCTAAATGTCAGCACACTTTTTCTGACAGAGGAGGGTCCAATGTACAATTGAGTACTATGTATCTGAAGTTCAAAATCCAAAACAGTCTGCATTAGAATTCCAAGTACATTATGGATATTTTTAGAATCGCCAAGCACTTTGGCTACCGAACAAATGTTTACTCACAGTTTTGGCTTATAATCTCCATGTTACCTTGAAGAAAATACATATTTTGGTGGGCCCCGCCCCCACACGTGACATGGAATGACGCAAAAGGAAAAACAATTGAAGACGTAGATGTTAATTTCGATAAATTTAGATACGCGCAAAATGTATCTGAACTTTGCATTGAGATACTTTTTGTGGCATTACCTAATGTGACAAATAAAAATGATTCTTATTCGATATGGAGTTTATGCGATTATGTTATTTATGTGATTATGTTCCAAAGTGATTAAATGTGGGTCAACGCTATCTGAGCCTTGATTTTCGATTTGTTTTGTTTTGCCAAACGAAAAACGAGTTGCAAAAATCTTGAGCCCAAATTTATTGACCGCTGCTAAACTGGTTTTGCTTTGAGCACAGGGGTTTCCTAAGTGAGAGCCTCTAGAGATCTGCTTAAAATTTAAACTTCAACTTCAACTTGCATGCTCCGCGTTTGAGTGGACAAGCCATTAAAGATCCGATGTAGAGAAGTGATTCCGGGCCAAATGCAACGAACTCCATTGGAAACAGCTTTAGGTCCTTTGAATTCTTACGACGGGTCTTGAGTAATAGCAGTTAGGGAATTATAAAGAGCACAGCAGGTTATTAGCTTAGCTCTTTTGTGAGTTAATTGCCAGCAAGTACAATTAACTAACAACTGTTTCAATAAAATGCAGCGCAAGTTGTTCAACAAGAAAGGGTATTTACCTTATTTGCAGCACATTCTTGTGCGATTTGTGCTAGTATGTTTTTCTACACAAATGTATGTATATGTACTATTGTATTCAACTTCGTTTTCACTAATTTATTCATTGCATTTCATTGTCGCCTTCCGTGCGGTTCAATTAAATTACAACTCAGTGCAATAAAATGATCTCACTTGATACATATGCTACTAAAAAACGTTTTACATACATACATATAAATGTATGATTCACATGAACATTTTCTTGTTTTCCTGTTTAAACAGCAAGATCAGTGCAATTTATCTGTTGTCCACCGATGCCTTTGATAGAATTATTAACTCCCTTGCGAAATTTGATATGGATGAAATTTGTGCTGGCAAGTTCCTTAAAGTATACTTCGTCGTATTGATTCCATGGACGTAAGTTCCCTAACCAAATCGTCCTCGTTCTCAATTGGATCGATCCAATCAACAATTTATGGCCTTCTTCTTTGCGACTTTTGTTCGTATTGATTTTTGCAAGGTGCGTTGGTCTGCAAAGTATCATTGTCCAATTATTTCCATATAAACTGTTTTAACAGTGGTGTGGTAATAACAATTACTTTTAAACAAATTATTTATTAATTTTGATTCAATTATAACTAATCAAAATACAGTTTTTACTATTTATTTGGTTAAAATTTGTTTCTTTCGCATTGGAAATTCGAGGTTCTAGAAATAGAATTCATTTCATCACCTACGATGGATGATTCAAGAACCTCAAAGTATCTCAACCGCTATCTAAACAGGTCACGCTTATTTTTATCAGTGTTAAGTGGAAAACCACCCATGGGTGGAGCATGCCAAATGCAGATGATAGAACATTTAAACGCGGCATGAACAGGAAAACCTTCACGTCCACTCCATTCCAACAATCGATGACAGTGGCAACCACTTGTCGCATTCATATCTTTTGCACTTGATGTACATAAGCAACTGAAACTTGAACAGGCAAACGGGTTACACGTCGAGATTGACTTGACTTGTTGAGTTGTTCCAGTGGATTCTGGACCTCT